ATGGCACCCCAGCTAGCTAGACACAAATTAGATCTTTGCGTTCCTTTTTATAGCTACATGACAACCCATCTAAAAGTGTATAAAAGGTTCAATGGTCGAATCAAGCGGTTCGAAAGCAGAAAGTTTAATATGTTCAAGAAATTCGACGGAAGTCGAATTTTTAAACATATTAAACTAAGAAGTTTGACGCTTTTCAAAATTTCGAACTTACTAAGCTGCAAAATTTTATGCTTGTCAAACTTTCGAACTTGATAGACTAAAAAATTCTATGATTTTCGAACTTTCAAATTTCTTCAACTAAAAAATTCAAAGCTTTTCGAACTTTCAAACTTCTTCCACTAAAAAATTCAAAGCTTTTCGAACTTCCTACACTAATAAATGTGATAATTTTCGAACTTATTAATCTAAAGAATTTGAAAATTGTCGAACTTTCGATTCCTGAAAAGTCAAAAGTTCGTCGAACTTCGAAAGACGGCGGGCGGTTTCATTTCGCCGCATTCCTTGCAAAAGACAATGCCGTTTATTTCAATCATCTGGCATGCTTGGTTTTAAAGAAATAGATTCCCGAAAGAGCAAGGAAGGACGACGGGTTTTTGACAATTGTCGTTTGTGCCATATTTGAAGCGCGCTACAGCTGAAGCTATTTATGGTAGAGATGTTAAACTTTTTGTAAGAATGATCTATGTATTCGCGTCTCCAGCTCGACGCTCGCCCTCCCGCGGCGGAAACGGGAAGCATTCTAGAGAGGGTCCCCCGATTCTCCTGCTCAGCGGGCATGGCGGAACTGCTCGCAATCATGGCTCGCGAAATGTTGTTTCCGAATGCAAACAACACTCTTCACTGTCCCAACGTATAGTGCTGCAGCCGGTATGGGATTGTACCTTACTGGAGAGTTTTAGTATTGGCAGAGAAGCAAACGCAAGCGGTGTGCATTTGCGTTAGAGTTGCGTGCCCCACGTTTTGTGTGCGCCTCATCGCCATGCGCCATCCAAAACCGCTATTCCGGGCTCCGCGCACGCGCAGTGTGGAACACGCAAATCTAACGCAAACACGCAGGGCTTGAGTTCGCTCGTATACGCAATATTAAAACTCACTACTGTTTCACCGGCTTCCAACACCAACGAAACGTGCTGCAGTGAGCAGACGTGCAAAGAGGTAGGCGTTCCTTTGAACTGGAAAGGCTGAGATTGGCAAAACGACGGCGAGCAAATACAAAAGTAAATAAATGTTATAAAAAAACTAGTAATTAAAAAAAGCCTTTTTTTTTTACTTTTGGGTATTTGGTTTGGAAGTATATTGGCGGCGACTTTGGACGTTTCGCCGATTGTCAAAAGTCACGACTTTGACAGCACAATATACTTTACCCACAATTAATGTAATTTTACATGGATTTCTCCCATTAGCTAGAATGTTTTAATTGATTTTAGACTTTTTTATTTTATTGGTAATTAAAATGCAGCAATTGGAACCAGTGATGATAATTAGCACAGTTTTCATTGCCATATTTCTTTGCACGTTTAAAATTAGATCATAAGCAACAAATTATATTAGAGCTTGAAGAATTACTTATTCAAATATGTGAATTTTAATATTATTAATATTAATACAAACCGCCGCAACGTATGCCTCCAATTAATGCCAAGATCACGAGAATACGCTATTTAACCATAATAGTCTTTCCAGAAAGGTATAATTCTGTTTTCTTTTTAGCATATGAAAAACTCTGACATAGTTATCAAGATAGACAAACAGTCAAACACTGGATGTAACAAAGTCCTACGCGTCACGCGGTGCTATAAACACACACACACACTTCAGCTGTCTGACTCGGATTCCGTCTTTGTGTTGTTGCAGTGAGAGCAGCATTTATTAGTTTATGCGTTTGGTGGACATATTGTAAAAATTATAATTATTCTAGTTCTTGTGCTGGGATAATTTTCATTATTTTCCATGACAATTATCTGAACGAGAAAAAGGCAGCGAGAACGCACAGATATGAGCACTGATTTTTTCAACAACTACAAATATCAGCCTGAATCGAACAGTATGTCACAAAATAAAGTTTCCGCGAACAACTTTTCTAAGTAAATAATTACGTAGTGAGACACATCTTGAGTCATGAAAGAATCGGAAAGTACGACCTATATCGAGAAATTAAATCCAAAATAGAGGTAAGTTTCGGATTCGCTCCAGAATTAAAACGCGCATCCTTCCGTATATAATACGCTAAACACCGTTCTTGTTTTCAGGTTAAAGAGGTGTCAGTGAAGCCAGAACACTAGACAGGCTCAACAGCAGCACGCATCTCTGACCCTCAGTAAACCCGCCATCTTGGAAAATGAGTGGCGCCACCTATAGTTGGAGTCGCGAATAGCCTAGGTAAGTGTCGTCTTAAGATCTGATTATTGTTGTTCAAGACGAGTTTCGAAGAAATATCCAAACATATATCTACGGGCCCTACACTTGGTAATTTTTTTCGTCTAAATTGTTTGAGGTATCGCATTTAAATTAACACCACAGACAGTATACATATCATTACCATCTGCAGAATACAAAATAATGTATTTATTGTTTTTTCAAGTTGAGAAATAAATTAACTCGTGAGGGAAGATTGAGTATCGTCAAACAGTGCGTTCGTGTGATCACTACTTCGTGATGCACGTTAATGACCCCCCGGGCTGGCGGTCACAATTACTGATCTATGGTCACACGTCACTTTGCACTGGCACATATTCCAGCGCATCCGGGACACTCGTCGTCTCATTTAATTGCCTGACCAACTTTGCAGAGCCTAGATATCACACCCAAACTTTTCTAAACCTGATTTCGTGAAAACCAGTGAGGCATGAAAGTGTTATTTGAAACTGAAACTGTGGCGGAACATGAAAACCGGACTTCGAACTTTGCGCACTTGAACTTGAAAGAAATTCAAAACCTTCGAAGTTGTTTTTCGAATTTAGCCCTAAAAAAGAATCGAAACCTTCGAACTTTTTTAACTTTATGTAGAAGGAAATTCTAAATCTTCAAATTTATCGAACTTTATGTATATAAGAATTTGAAACGTTAGAATTTTTCGAATTTAAGATCCAAAGAAATTCGAAACTTTTGAATCTCTCGAATTTTAAGTTTAGAAAGTTCAAAATCTTCGAATTTCTCAAACCTCGAGAAAAAAATATTCGGAATAATTGAACCCAAACATTTAGAAACAGTGAAAGCTTCGAACTCTTTGAATTCGAAACTCCACGATTTTCGAAAGTTGCGAATTTTTCGAATTCGAACCTCCCGTATGGTCGAAAATATCGAAACCTTTCGATTTCGAACATCAGTTCGGTTAAAAAATATCGAAACATTTCGAATTTGAACCTAGGGTGGTTAGCGGCATCCCTAGTCTGCATCATTTGCTAGCAGGCTGGCACTTCATGTCGCTGTTCTTTTCTAGTGTCATACTCTAAGTATGGACACAATGAGCAGTGCTTGCTTATGCGATAACATAAAAAGAAACATTGTCTGTTGACTTTTCTTGTTAATGTTTGCATTAAGTTTGCTTTTATAAGAGAATGTTGTACATTGATAGCATGCTTTTAATAGGGCGAATATAAATAACCTTCTGTGGCCCGCATGGTCTCATAAAAAATGTTAACATCAATGCAGTACATAAGCAAACACTAAACTGGGTGACAAAAAAAATTTAATGCAAGGCCAACAGGCGTAAAAGAGGCCAGAGTTTATACAACTTGCATGGGGGAGTGGCAACAGTCTTGGGAAGAGCATCTTCATTCTCTGTAGCATCATCGCTTTTATCGTTATGAGGTGGTGATAACGCCCGCAACCGCTCCTGCATTATATTTAACAGTTGAGCACACTGCACACAGTTGTCACCAAAAGGCCACCTGAACTGTATGCTCTATGGGACCCCAATCCTTTTTAAATAATTCTGCCAGCATCGTCACACATTGAATTCTTGGCATTTGCTGGAGACATTGCAAAGCACTGCATCGATGCCTAGCAAAGCTTCTTAAAGGGTGACCAAGCTGAAGTTCTTCGGTTAAATATCTCATAATACAGCTTACAAGTCTAAAAACACTGCACAGGGCGGGCATATCTTTTTGCCAGAAAAATAAACATGCACCGCCGAAAGCTTGTTCTCTGCCCGGATGTAGCTCTAGCGGTTAGAATCAGATGAAAATGGCGGCTGACGGAGTCCTTGAACACACGAAGCTGAATGACGCCATACCAAGAATGGAACCCATTTTTCCTTTAAAATTTTCAGAAATCATTTATAACTTTTTAATAAGGTGAAATTTCATTCTCAAACTACATTTAGGAAGAGAACGGGCGTTCAGCGATGCGTCATTTAGTTTTGCGGTGAAAAAGAATGTTCTAAATTTTGGGGGGCACATGCTGTTTGACTGTACCATGTCCGTTTTGCAAACCGACCAATAAAAGTCGGAGGACGCTTAAGCTTCGCCTTCAAGAGTGAAATGCGATAGCGTTATCGAATCCTCGGCCCGCTTGTGACAGATCGCCTGTGCACGCCTAGCCTTCGTCTCAGCCTTCAGTCTTGCACGGCTGGCCCTGTCACCGAGCAGGAGCATACGTAGATGTGACATCCGCATTCGGAGAAAACAATGACTCAAAAGAATGCCCCGCACTGGTAGACTGCCCTGAATCCATCGCACACGTGTTCTCCAAGGGCGGCCTAACAGCAGCGGCCCCGCGGCAAGGTACGCATTCTTCATAGACGAACGATGACAGCAGGATCGCAGCGCTACTGGGCAGACTCGGCGACGGACGATAACTTACCGCTGCTCCGCGACGGATGGAAACTGTACACTCGTCCAGATAGACAAGCCTAGGTCATGTGGCTGTGACGTCATGACCCTTATGACCAATCAGGATTTTCGCATCACGCTGACTTTTCTGGCACGCCTCTAAGGCCAACGCACCACAAGCTCCTTAACGCCATCGCATTAAAAATAAAGACTCGAAGATCAACATACCCTGATGGTGCTGTCCACGGAGAATCGTCTTCTATGAGTTCGGGACTCTCGTTGCCATTGGTGCTGCTCCTCTCAGCGTCAAACGACATCCTCCCAGTTCAAGGTCGCCCACGTTCCCAGCTGCAGACGACCAATCAGCAGGGTGAATAGATCCATATGATTCATGATCAGGATGCATGCAACACACAAAGACAAAGAGCCGTAGAACGCCAAAAAATGTACCCATGGCTTGTTTTGGTTCAGAAATTTAGAGGTTCATTAAAACTTAGGTTTGGCCCAGTTGTCCCAAATCTGTCCGATGCTGACAAGGCAGAAAAAAGCACTTTGTTCTAAGAAACCTACAGTGCAATATACTGAATGTGTCACGAATGTCGTATACGAGATATCATTCAGCTGCGGGAAAATTTGTGTTAGTGCACTATCTCTATTTTCTTCAAAATTAAGTGATGTTTCTGGATGGCTGTTTGTAGGAGGGGCGACTGGTTGTGATACGGGTCAAGCAGAGGAGCGTGTGTATATATGTGATGCTAACTTCTAACAAAATTAGTTGAGAGTGCGTGCCTGTCCAGTTGTCCTTCCTTGTCCTTGGTTTGTTCATGCTTTTTAAACCTGTTGTTTATCAGTTTGCTTAGATTCTTCTTGTCTTTTATTTTTTTCATCCTGAGAAATCTGTAAATCAATGTTTTAGCGTTCAAACTTGAAAGCCGAGGGTAGAGCCACTACGCTTATTTAGTAAAACAGTATTTTAAATTAATTAATAATTAAAAAATTATTTACATTGTTCAGCAATTAAATAAATTATGTAGTAAATAAGCGTAGCTCATTTAGTGGTTCTAGACAAGGGCTTGTCAACCTGCATCGTAACTCTTTTCTTCGGTCTCCTTGCGTCATTCCTTCTTTTGACGGAAAATAAACATTTTTATTATTATTAAAATACATTCCTACCGATTTAAGAAATAAGAGATCGAAATCTTGCAGTTAATATCGATGCACAACTTGCCAAATCAAAGATACAAAAATATAGGTGTTAAATAACCAAGTACGTAGTACAAACGACACGTGTATATACTGAATAATTTATTTTTCGGAAAGTGCTTAAATAGGCACCGCAAACCACAAACGACCTTGTGTATGTGGCGTTTTCAGTTTTTACCAAGAAGAGTGGTTGTTTGGGCGAGTTGGTAGTTTTACCCGCAGTCTCGGGGTTTTTGTCATGCTCAATAAACATGACAAACCCGTGTGCGAAAAAAATTATGGAGAAGCGCGCGACGATCGATCCTCCAAATAGGCATTACGCGATCGTCCAGTCGTAGCGAGGTAACAAAGTTTCACAGCCAAGGTCAAGCGACCGAGAGCGGATGCGATCCAACGCACCCGATTGTTTGAGAGCGAGAAAAAAAAACAAATCACAATATAATGCTTGAGGTTATAGCCAACAACCCGCGGAAGTGCTGTTCAAATGTCAACAGATAAGATCAAAATAACTGCAATAATGTCCCACGGATGTATTATTAGCAACGATAAGGGCAAAGAACTAGAGTAGTCAAAAACAAGGGAAAAAAAAGAAGCAGGTTTCGCCGAACTTGGTTTTGCTTTTCGTTACATGTGTGCATTTGCGGCTATCAAAAACGCGAAGCTGGATGCAAACACGCTTTAGGTAGATGTGCTTACTTTCAATAGTCGCTGCTTGCGATGGAGGGCGTCTTTCACCGATAGTCCTCAGGTTTTGAACGGAAAAAAAGTTTTGGCCAACGTGCTGCTCGACAAACGCACAACTCGAGGAAAAAGCGGGCACTCAAGTCGCGGCACCGAAACAAAACCAAAAAAATTTACAAGCAAGTGGTGCCCAGCGTTCGTAGGCGAAGCCGACAAGTTCGCACAGCCCACGCAGGCCCCCGTACTTTCTCACATAAAACGCAAACTAAAAAAATAAATATTAAACTATAAGAACCTTTATAGAAATAAAATAAACTCAATAACTTTTAGTTTATAAATAAACTAAAAAGGCGCACTTATTACGTTTTTGTTTTAGCGAATTTGGAGAGCACGTCTAGACACATTGTGGTAAACGTTTTTGAGGAAAGAGAAAGCGAAATTCAACGTGTGGTCAAGGTTGCCGTGTTATCGTCTGCTAGCATGAACGGCACAAGCCTGTGCAAGGTATCTGCTCCAGGAAAAACTATCCTACACGGCGAGCATGCTGTTGTCTACGGCAAGGTGAGACAATGGCCGATTTTTGTTGTGGTTTTTCGCCTTCCGACGCCGTTGGCCGCGGCTGTCCCCGTCCCATTGTTCCTGTACCACTGTCAGCTTGTGCGGCGATGCTGGCGATAAATCCGTCTTAAAGAAAAACCAACGAAAATAGCTGCGCTGTCTCAAACTTCCGGCACGCGTTCGTACGGTACATCGGCAGCAGAAATGTTTTCTCTTCCTCGTCTGCTTTCTGGAACGACAAGTTTTACAGCGTCTGCTAGCTCGCGCTTTTCCTTTGGCGTTTTGGTTTACCTGCCCGACAGGCGTGTACTCTGCAAGTGTATGCTTGCAGAGTGCTTGTGTACTCTGCAAAGAATCTTACCAAATCTGTCGGTAAAACGCGGCTCCAGCGGAGTTAATTTTATTTAGTATGCAGTCGACACGAGAAGTCATTACAATAAACTAGTTTCTTTAATTGCACGGCACCCATGTACAAATATTCATATTTCCTAAACTTAAATTATGTAAATGATATAAAATACACACACACAAAAGGAGTAAACAATAGTAACTCGCACAACATATCTGTTCTTATCTGGAAATATAAAATATGTCTTGCATTCTTCATATCTGGAAAACATAGAGTCCTCCAGACTTTGCCACTTATTTAATTTGACTCAACGAACCGTTCTGTGCCAGATACAAAAATCTGTTGCTACATAGTAATTGTTGGATTCCAAGAGACAAGTAGGAACACTCAATACAGATGCACCATTTCCCCAAAGTCACTGGAATGATACATACTGTAGGTACATTTAAGGGGGAACGTAAATGGACAGACAGACATGACTCCCAAGCTTATGGCCACCATAGTCTGTCCGTCCATTTATGTTCTCTCCCTGAATGGCTGTATTGCGTAGGTCCTGACCTTCGTGGAAGAGGAGGCATCTGATCGGTACCGTTTTTCAAGCACGCACAAAAGCGGAGTAACGCCCAATACTTCTCGGTTAATTGGGGCTCAAAGAGAGCATCGTCTGTTCAGCCTCCGATAGCCGTGAGCTCGAACCCCAGTTACGGTTCCCACGTGCAGGCTGCAGTGGCGGCCAGCATTGACCTGAGGACGTACGTCACAGCGAGTCCGGAAGAGTCCTGTGTGGTGCTCGAGCTCCTTGACTTGAAGTATGTCGAGTCCTGGTCCACCGAACAATTCACCCAACTTTCTGTGTCCGAGGAAGGTAATGCAAATTCCTCCCGCTTATCCGTTGCACTGCTCTCATTACGGGGGGAGCTTCCACGGTGCTTTTGCAGTGTGCATTCCACACCATCGACATTGTCAGTTTTAGCAGTGCACACAAATGTGCTGTCCGGTGCAGTAGTGCCATGAATCGTGGCATTGCCATGGAGTATGCCACACCCTTTCCTACTTTACATACTACTGTCTGTCAGCCTGCGCAATGTAAGCCCTGTAATGTAACTTAACACAAAAAAAGCTGCCCAAGAATACAGAATAACCCAGACCCCCCTCCCCTCCTAGCTACCTCAAAAGAAAGTGTTGATTGACTATACCACCACTATATGCGTCAAATAAAAAAAAAAAGGGTTTTACACATTGTTTACATGCTAAGCAAAGTAGTTCTTGCAAGATTTGATTGTCAGGGGAAGAAGCAATGCTTTTGGCATTTGAAACGTATAAGTTTTGGTAATATAACATATAGCCAGGGATGGGCAAAATACATGCAAATATGTATCAAAATACAAATACAAAATACTTCGTCAAAAATGTATTTAATTACAAATCTAATTACATTTTCAAAAAAACATTTAAGTACAAGATACAAATACAACCAAATGTATTTGGTCTCCTCCAAATACTTTTCCAAATACATTCCTCAAAATTTGTGTCAGCGACCTCAGGGCACCTGCAACGAGTTTCTGGGTACCTCATTTTAATTTTGCATCGCACGCTCGGGAGTTAGTGTGCGGGGCTCTAGTAACGTAATAGAAATATAATCACAAAAAAAAAACTGTAATCAGCTGCGACGTAATAGGTGAAAAAAGTACAGAGCTTCAAGCAGCTTTTTTTTTTGTCGATTACATTTTGGTATAGACCAGGGGTGGCCAAGCTGCGGCTCGCGAGCCGCATGCGGCTCTTCATGTGTTAAAGTGCGGCTCGCAACTCCCTCCCCTACACCCCCCCCCCCCCCCCCCCCCCGCCAACCTCCCGGTCACACGAGCACTTCCCCAAATAGGGAAATTAAACGCGTTTTAAATCGAAGGACAGGTTGCGGCTTGGTAGTCCTGTGCTACTGCTACCTTACGTACAGTTGGACTGCTTTTGACTCGGGTGGATTGTGCGTAGTTCGAGTTTCGTATAATGCTCTAAACGAAAGCCCCCCCCCCCGCGGTTCTTGGAAGTTTCGTGGTTTTGTTTGCGGCTCTTAGGCCGGGTCAGCCTGGCCACCCCTGGTATAGACCAACAAACAACCGAGACGACCAAGACGCGCAGCATTAGCTAGAGATTTTTTTATTGTTGCAACTTGCACCAGTTACAAAAATCTGGACGACCCGCGCATTTAGAATGTTCCAGGCAAAAATATGGATGGAAATCAGGCTGGAAAGCATCACAAGTTGTCACAGGCACTTATTTAACCAGTCTGCCTGTGAACGTCCATTTCATCACTATTCTTGCCCTGGACTAGCACCGTAATCACAAAGTACTAAACGCTTGTGTTTGATTGAGAGACACTGTATTCGGTGCAGAACGTAGTTTTCTTCCTGCTCTGGACAGTGACAATAAATTTGAGGGATGTATTTTCGCCCACAAAATTGTATTTAATTACAATTGTATTTGAAATACCCACGTTTTAGTATTTAAATACACAGGTCAAATACATTACCCAATTTGTAATTAAATACAAATGCAAAGTACACAAAGTATTTGAAATACGTATTTCAAATACTTGTATTTGAAATACTGCCCATCTCTACCTACATATATATTCACTAGATAAAGGAAGAAATTAGTAATGCTCAGCGAAAAGCCAGAGTTTTTTGTTGAGGTTCTCGAGTTGAATACGAGTGTAGATGAACTCAATTTTTTCTCCACAAGTGCACTAGCTAGTTGTCACACTCCTTCACAAGTTTAGCAATTAGGTACACGTAGCAGAGCGCGTTGGATGGAGTACAGTTCACACGGAAAGAATAAAAACACAGAAAATATACGAGGGACAAACACACACAGTTCTTTCATACACAGACACACACATGAAAGAACTGTGTCTGTCCCTCGTATGTTTTCTGTGTTTTTATTCTTTCCGTGTGAAAAGTTTAGCAATCTCTAAATTTGAAGCCTGCGTAAATTCTAAAAGGTCTCTAATATGTATATATGACACCTCCTCCCCCTACTCGACACACAGAAAACAGCAGGACAAAGGTCTGTACATTCTTATCTCTGTCTATTTTTCCCAAACCCCGTTGGTAAAACGAGGAAACCGCAGCGTGCGTCAGCCGCGAACCGGAGCGCGGCCTCGGACGTGCCACCTCGGGCGACCGACCTTTCCTCTTGCGTCACTTCCTCCAATCTGGTGGCAGGAAACCCCTCGCAAAAGTGGGGCAGGCCTTAGCCGCCTTTGTTCGACTCGGGCTCCTTATGGATGTCCTCCTCTCCCTTTTGGTGTCAGGAAGGAGGAAACAGAAGGAAGGCTTTTTTTCTTGGTGGGACCCCTCTATAATAGTAAAAATATGGAGTAGTTTAAATATGTGGATAATTAAACTGCAGCTTTTTTCCCTTTTTTTCCCGATCAAACTCCATCAAACTTGATGATGATGATGATTATTGTTATGTGGTCGAATAGAAATCAAGCTTAGAAAGCCGAAACAAAATTTGATGGAGCCAGCGTTTGAACTCCGGGTATTGAGGACTTCCAAGTTTGAATTCTGGCTCCACCAATTTTTGTTGTTTGCCGGCTTTCTAATCTTTCTTGCCATTCGAGCGAAGACTTTGTTAATCTGCACACTTCCGACTATTTGCTCTTAAGAGGCCAGGAAGAAATAATCAAAATGACCCACAAAATATGTACAGGGTGTCCCAAGCAAACCTTCCTCTGTAAAGCGAGCCGGAAAAACTGGCGTCTGTACATAAAAAGCTCAAACTTTCACCGAATGTGCACTAAGCAGGTCAGTTTTACAGAGTAAATTTTCAAGGTGCGCTTCTCTTCCTGCAAATAATGACAGCAAGGAACTTGCAAAAATCAAGACCGGGCACACGCCCGCCCTGTTGTCTGCGAAGCTCACAGACGACAGAATTAGCGTTGCTATTTACTTGTGGTGCCATCTACCGATAGGTGCAGTGAGTGGACAACGCACTCTGTTGTCTACTTGCTGCACCTATCGGCAGATGGCACCACAGGTAAATAGCGTTGGTAGCTAGGTAGTCTTTTAAGGGACGAGAACTGCGCCTTGAAATTTGACACGGTAAAACTGACCTGCTGGGTGCAGTTTTCGTTAAAGATTGAGCTTTCTATGTGCAGGCGCCAATTTTTCCGGCTCGTTTTACAACCAAAGGTCTATTTGGGACACCCTTCATAGAGTTCAGCAAACTTAGAGTATTCTTCTACCATAACTACAGGCGTTTGAGGAATTGACGTTTCACATAAAACTAACTTCACTAAACACGGCTGCTACTACATTTTACCAGACTTGCTGTAAAATTTTCTGGCCACAAGCATGGGAGACAGTGAGCCCTTATACTGGGGTGGCAGCTAATGAAAGGGCTGGTTAACCCCTTAATCAGATTTCTAACCATAAAAAAAATGGGAGAAATTTTTTTTTTTTTAAATTTCAGTGATGTTTGTTGGCACAAGCACGAACTAAGCCATGAGCCGAGCCAGGTTCGTCCAAAACGGTAGAGTGCGTGAACCGGGGAAAGCAGACAAGCTATACTTGTCTCAAACAGGTTAGGGATGGCTCCACGTTGTTGAGCCAGGCTTGTCCAAGGGAGGCACTCACTTGAACGAATGACGTTTGAGCAAACGCCCACGTTTTACGAATGACACTTTAGTGAATAGTCGGACGCCGCGAAGCGGCATTTTCGGATGGGTCAAATGGGTTCACATTTTTGTAATGAGCCGCCGCAGACTGTCGCCGCGAAGCGGCGTAAGCGCAGCGTGGCGGATGGGTTAACGCGTGCCCCTGTTATTTGCTAAAACGTCGATTCGCTCAAATGTCGGTGTTCGCTAAAACGTCATTCGCTCTTGTGATATGAACCCCTTGTCCAAAACGGGGTTAAGACTAGTTGACACATTTAGGACTGCTTAGGACCGTGTGCCTTAAAACTTCTTTAAATCTCTTACGATGAGAGAATAGACTGCCTCCACGTATCAAGTAGCCTTGAAACACTTGCAATTTCCATATACTTCCTTTCTTTTTTTTTTTTTTAGCTTGAGAAGTTCTTGACAATGTTATAGATAGCATAGACATTTGATCTACTGAAATGCAGTTGCAAGGTCAGCTCATAAATGGCGCCAGCTTGCCAGTGATTTTACTCATTGCAGGAGATCACAAGGACCCGGTCCTAAGCAAAGGCAAATGTGTGAAGGGGCTGTTAATAGCACAAAAGCTGCGGTGGCCATGCAGTGCTCAAGTGGCGAATCTGAAATGTTCTGCAAGCAATGACTCAATGCTTGCAGATTGCAGGGACAATGTTGTCCGCTCGGAGGCACTGGTGCCAAAGCTCGCTGACCTCTTCAAACTCAAAACGGGCTCGAAAGTGCCGACGGACCAAGCCAAGCTCGCCTTCCTCTTCCTCTACGTCGGCACCTCCTTGGCACACGGACGAGGGTAGGCAGACGCATAGAGTTACTTTCAGCAACTGACACCGAGACTACCTTGGAATTTGCACTGAATAGTAAATTGGGTGTGAAGTCATTAGTCCAGAAATAATGACTTTCGATTTCAACCGACATCAAATTTTCAATGACCTTCATAACCGTCCAGGGGCAGGCAAGTGCGGAAGAAATTTGGGGGATCGCATTTAATAATTGTGTAGTCGACACGTCTTTAAGTATTGAACGGAATATTCCTGCACAATTTTTAACACAAAAGTAAAAGGCCTAAAGCGGCCCTTTGTGGGATTTATGTGCGGTATTGAACGGTAAATGTTGCAGCATTAAACCAGGCATTGGTTTCTAAATTTCCCTGCTGATGCAGTCAGAATCAGGAATGCTATTTGCAAGCAAGAAAGTTAGATGACATAGTGCTATGCGGCCTACCGATACATAATATAGGCAATATGGACAAAAGTAAATTTCGAGGAAAATATTGCTTTTATTTGCAATTCTTCTCTGTGTTCCTGCAGGTCGGTAACATAGACAAGTTATCTATATTGATGGCGGAACGACCCTCTGGCATTGGCGCAGGCGATTCCTGCCCATCAGGCTATCAGTGACCTCCGAGCTTCCCGTGGGGGCGGGGCTGGGCTCCTCCGCGTCCTACGCGACGGCCGTTGCGGCGGCACTGCTGGCACAGCGAGGGGCAGTGCACCGACCCCTGTCCAGTTCGGACCGGGACCGCGTCTGCTCCTGGGCCTTCCAGGCCGAATGCATCCTGCACGGGCGGCCCTCGGGCATCGATAACGCCGTCTGCACCTACGGTGGGTGCACTCGTTCAGTCGTCGACGTTGGACGCTCGTATAGCCACAGTCGTACAAGTGAAGCATATACCTACTCCGTTTTGTTTCTTCTCTGCGTTTGTGCAAAGTAGGCCTCGCAATGCTAGGCCCAGGGGCGGACGCAGGTATTTCTTGAGGGGGGGGGTCAGGTGTTGGTCAGCGTATCATATGTTTAAGACCCCCCCCCCCCTTTTCCCGTTTCCACGCCCTAAATTTTTACACATGCAGAAATCAAGAGGGGGGTCAGGACATCCAGACCCCCTCCTCTGAATCCACCCCTGGCTAGGCCTACTCCTGGAATACTGCGGTTTCTTCTTTGAGTTTGTGCAAAAGTAGGCCCAGAAAAGTGTGGCACAAGCGGATCCGACCGCGTAAAACGAGCCGGAAAGATCGACGCCTGCGCAAAAAAAGTTTAAACTTTTGCCGAATGTGTACCGAGCAGGTCAGTTTCACCGTGTGAAATTTCGAGGCATAGTTCCCTTCGTGTAAGAAATGAGAGTGCTCCCCGGCCAAGTGTGACTGTACATAGTGGATGTCTGTTGAGTGCTTAACAAGGGGGGGCGGGGGGGGTGGCGGCATTTCAGGCGGAGCAGTCCTCTTCAAGGGGGGAAGAGTGGTGGAGACATTGAAAAGGTGGGGGAGTGTCAATCTGGCTATCTCGGACTGTTTCAGCGATTTTGGTGCACAGAAAAGCGGCCGCTTTTCCTTTTGCGCGCAGATGCTTACTGCACATGTTTATAGTAATAGGTATAGGTACAGTGGAATCTTGTTAATTCAAACTTGCGGATAATTCAAACTAACATTCAGGTCCCATCCCATGCGTCTCTATAGGGGGAATCTCCTGGTAATTCAAACTTTGCTATCTTCAAACGAATTTTCGGTCCCCCTCAAGTTCGAATTAATGAGATTTGATTGTAGAACTTTTACCAAAGAAGGATGACCTACTGTAGTTACCAAAATTTCCAAACTCATAGAGCCAACTGAGATACTCTGACAGGTCAGCCGTTTCTCCTAGCGCACCTGTGCAGAGCAGTGAAGCTTGTGCGCTGGTGCGGAGTGGCAAAGCTTGAATTATGAAGACATCTGCAATTTTCTAATATTAAAAAATACTTGAATACTTCAAAAACTTAGTGCAATATAAATCAAATAAAACAGGAAATATTATTGGCAAGTTATTTGAATTTCGAATATTTGCACACTTCTACATTTTTTACATCCAGTGTTCTAAAAGTGCAACAAAACTCTAATCCCTCTGCAGGAAAAAAAAACTAAAAAAACGCAGCTTGAAACAGTTTTTTTACTACAGCTAACCGCTTACGCTTGACCAACTGTTTCAGCATCCCAAGCTACAAAGTGGTGCTGATCAACACGGAAGTGGCCAGGAATACCAAGACCTTGGTGGCATCTGTCAGGACTAGGCATGATCAGGTATCTCTTATACAGATGTTGATTTGAGTGAAGCGATACGGGCACGGAAATCTGAACAAAGATAAAAGGGACTCCCAAGAGCAAACACCTGGCAAGATTGCAGCACCGACAAATATGCGTCATTTCTTGTCCCTACAAATGTCACTGGGGGACCACGGGATTTGTAGTTAGATTGTGCTACCACAAAAAAAAAAAAAGACTGAGCGTGGCTGCGATACTATTTGAAAGACTTCCCTCTCTAAAAAGTACTTTTCTTGCTCAAACATAAAGACAAACAAAGCTTGTTGTTAGCATACCCACACTTTGAGCAGGTATTACGATGGTATTATTAGGTATTATTACAATGGCCCGCAGAAGCCGTGAGCAATGCCTCATTGTCCTCACTGGCAAGTCTTGACTGTGCCATTGTTGCCAGTACCCGGATGTTGTGAAGCCTGTCCTGGAGTCCATTGAGGCCATTTCTGAGACTTGCTGGAAACTCCTCAAGCACCCGGAATCTTCTACAGAAGTGCTCTTCAGACAGGCCACGGTGAGTTCTCCGAAAGACGGAGCTTTCGGCAGTACCGGCCTTAGGGGTCGGCGATCTCGGCAGTCGCACAGGGTGCCGGCAATAGGAAAGCGCCCGCCTCTTGAATTGTTTTCTTCAGCCTTTTGGTTAATGTGCTTTATGCTCGATCGTCGCTCGTTTCTGGAAGGCGGTTTTGTACAGACCGTCATCCTACATACACCAACAGCAAAGATGCCAGTGACTCGCGTAGCCCTGTCACTTTCAGAGCCGAAAGAATTCTTTGGAAAGGACAGTTTTGCACGTTCCTCAGTTGGTTTGTTGTTCACCTTAATGTTCCATTTTAACCCATCTTGAGTACAACCACAAACAGACAATCAACAACTCCTTCGTTTGGTCATGGTTAGCAAAATGCCTTCAGGTTGATGGACTTCTTGGTATGTAAATTGACCCATGGTGGTTTTTCGTGAGCACATCAGCAAAATGGGATGCATCGGAACCTCTCCTGGCGTGAAACTAGCATGGCCCTTTACTTTGTTACACTAGTCTTTATGTTACTGGGTATAGGAATGACCAAGAACGTAGGTACCACCAAACCTGCCTGGGGGCTCAGTGACAAGGCGACAGACACACCAGAATGGCAGTACCAATTAGCTCGTTTGCGCTGGTTGTCCCGAGGAAACGCCGCAACTCTACAACCCATCATACTTTGCATTGGCACTGGTAAAACGGAGGGTTTGCAGCTTCAACTCCTTGGTGCAGAAAGCACCGTCGAGAAGATGCAGTGGAGATCACAGATAGGCACAAGAGGCGAGCGCTTGAAGCTGAACTCTCTGTGCCCCTTGCAATGCCAGGAGCTGGTACGCATGAACCAGTGCCTGCTCAACTGCCTCGGAGTGGGCCACACCAGCCTGGACCAGGTGGCGGCGCTGGCTGCCAGCCAAGGTTTCTCGGCCAAGCTGACCGGTGCCGGAGGCGGCGGCTGTGCCCTGCTCGTCTACCACGTCGGTACGCTCCCGGCCCTCACAAACCGCGAAGGTAGTCGAATCTAGTTGGAACAACTTGGCCAGGAACCTCGGGATGGAAGTCGACGTCGTGCCGAGAGACTTGGCTTCCTCGAGGCATCCGTGCCCGATCCTTAGTTTGTTGAGGCTAATGCGTCAAATGTGCAGTTACCGTTCCTTCTGCCACTCTTCATGGTCACTTTAAGAAGACTTTTTCAAATGCACGACACCATTTGGAAGATTCAGTTTTAGGGTCAGCGGTTCAGAGTGCTTGTATCGAACGTTCTAGACCACTTTCCCAAAACTCTGCGATAATTAACCGTTCCCGATCGTGCCACTCTCGATGCAGGGTCGGGGGACACGGGTGCCCCTGCCGTGCAGGACCTGCTTGCCGCGGAAGGTTTCCAGTGCTGGCGGGTAGAGCTGGGTTGCCCGGGAGTCACCCTGCACTGATCCACCTCTCGACGCAGCTAGACTTTCTGTCCCCATGAGATTGGCTGAACTTCGCCTGCACATGCTTCCAGTTTGTACACCTGGCAGTTGTGGGCAGAAGCGACTCAAGGAGCATCTACATTGTAGCGCCGCTTAGTCGAGGCAGCTAGGTCGGAGGCATCGGGTAGAACAGCGCTTCCGACTAACTGCAAGTTTCCGCATTCGCGCGGCGGTTGGCAGCCGGAGAGATCGGCCACGTAAGATGGCTGCCTCTACAGTTTGGCCTTGCAATGCCTCCTTTCCTGCTCTCTTTTACAAGGTGACCGAATGGAGGTACAAATCGAAAATACGGGTTGCCGTACCGTGGTCACAAAATGTGCTCCTTACAGATCTGAATGCTGCCTCTTGATGGTGGTTGTCACATGAACAGCCTTGTAGTTGTAGGGGGTGTTTCAGTCTGCACTTCAAATCGTGCATTTGTATAATTCAAGTTCGCGGAAGCCAGGCAAAAAATATGAGCAGTCCCGAGTTCAGTCACAGCGATAGCTGCGACACGTTACGGCGGAGTCGCTGGACATCGGTGTCGCACTCGTGCACCGTGGGATCTTGACGGCGAATTCTCTTTGCCGCGTTCACACGAGCATACACCTCACTGTTCTCTCCGCGATGAACAGCAAGGCGTGTCAGCGCCGCCGCGAGCACGTCACAACAAGTGCGACCGTAGCATATGGCGACGCCAAGACGAAAGCGTCTGCTGCTTTGCCCCATACTCTCGCCAAGCTTTGGCGCGTTTGCCACTTGGGGTGGCTAAGGGTCCTCTAACAACAATAGCAAGTTTTAGGGAACCGTTTTTGCACATCTGATGCGGTACGATGGGCCTTCCGGTACGAACTGCGCACGTGTTGCCACAGAAGACTCGCACATCCGCAGCGCGCACCGGATGTACAAAAACGGTTCCCTAAAACTCTCTAATGTGATGTGTGGGTCTCGTCTTCTAGGTAGCATTAAATAGACAGATATGACCGAACCCTTTTAATCGGGGAACGGATTGCGCCACCTAGCCGTAGTTATTAATTTCGGCAATCAACTTTGATTAAATTGAGAATTACAAAGAATTTTCTAACGCGATGCCACGGCAACAGTGGCCACCGCATGAGACTCTCGCACACGTGTGTGCTCCACAAATGTTGTACATAAAGCGCGTCGTCAAAGGTGCGGCGTAGCCCTGTGGTAAAGCGCCCGCTTCACACGCAGCGGACTTCAAATTAAATCCCGAGGGCACTGCGGCGGCGGGCAATCTTTTTCGTGCGCTTGTGTTATTTTCTCTAGCAATGTTCCTGGAGCACCCCCGGGTCGGGCGCCGAGGGTTTTGGAAGGAAGTAACTGAATGCAGCCACAAACCCCAATTAGCATTATTCCCATCTACGTGTATTCAATGTGAGCTTTGCAAGTTTGCTTTTTATGCAGTTTTTTATGGTTCACTGAACCTCCAAGAACCGCCACAAAAGCGAGATTTCCATTCCTCTTTGGGAATCAGATTTTGTTCACTCGCTGACGATCATTTGGACCATTCTGCAACCATTCAGAAATGACCGTCGGAAGTTTGCTGCAACACAGGCAGCCAGTTTAGGATTTGTCCTGGCAAGCTGACCCTGCCTCAGTGTCTGGCAATCCCTCACAATCTCGCCACATTTTACGGGTAGTTGTACGTGTGTCATCAGTTAGAAGGGTCACAAAGAGCGCGATACTACCTCCAACATACCATTCTGGGTCTCGAGTCTCTGTGTATTTACATCACAATATCAAAACAAAGTAGCCAATAAAATGTAACCAATGGCTGGAATTAAATGTCTGTTTGCATACCATGCAGATAGCAAGTCGTCTGCTTCTTGCACAGGGGTTGCGGTGACGTCAGGACGCCACCTGTGGGTAGACCTTAGTGCTACATGCCTTCAGGTCTACCCACTATTTTTTTTTTTTTCAATCAGCCAATAAGAGCTTGGCGTTCTGACATCATCGGCAACCCCTGTGCAAGAAGCAGACAAACTTGCGCTTTTCATTCAGCTAAATATGACAAGGTACTGCTACATTACAAGTACTTCCCATTGGTTTTTGCATTGTGAGAAACATTTTTCGCTAAAGGCCCGTTCACACTCTTGCAACCGAGTATGACCGAGAGAGACGAGATCTGTTGAAACTTCTTAAAATTTCTTAGGACGAGGGAACTCACTGGCATTCTGGCGCCATCTATGCGTGACCCGCGGTGACCCTGGAACTGCATTTCACATGAGCGAAAGTTTCGCGGGATTTCCGAGGTCAAATGTGCGTAATACCTATAAGAAAGGCTCATTTATAATGTTGACGAAAGTTTTTCGAGCCAAGAAAGAAAGGGTAATGCATGAGAGAAATAGAAAATGTGCCAGACCGCCAAGTTTACACTGCTACCCAATAGATGGCACCAGTTTGTCCTCTGGTTGTAAGAGGTATTAAGGAACCCAGTTTTAAGAGGTCGCAAGAGTGTGAACGAGCCTTAAAAGGTGCTATTAAATTGTGTTTTTTTTCTTTCTAAATATACTAAACAGCCACAATAATTCTACACAAACTCTCAACAAACTAATCCTAGAAATGTAACCCTGAAAGGTTCTAAAAATGTCATCTACCGGGTGAAACAAGGAGACGGTAGGCTCTTTAAATCGACCGGAAAATTCGGTTTCTTAACCTATCGCGCTACGACTTTGTGCAGCGTTGCCCACACATGGTGCATTTTTTTCGTAAAATTTGCAAAGAGCGGACTTACCTGAGAAAAAAGTAAAGAAAGAAAAAGGCTTAGCTCCTATGGAAACGCAGCGACGCCACCGGTCTGCAATCAACACGGCGCCGTTTTGCACGGTAGACAAGAGATGGCGCAAGCGGTCGCGACGCCAACTGCCGCCAACGAACGAGCAGACGACGCCGAGAGCCGGCATAATTAGCAGACAAGGAACTGCAGTTCCTTGTTGTTACCGCGCCTGTCTTTTTTGTTTCTGCGACTGTCGCCGCCTGCGGAACGCGCGCCGCTTTTGAGTCGAAAAGATTGTCTGCTAAAGAGCCTTTGAGGAATACCTCGGCTGGCTCTCGGCGCCCGTATGCTCGTTCGTTGGCGGCGTTCGTTGCGCCATCTCTTGTCTATCGTGCAAAACGGCGCCGTGTTGATTGCAGACCGGTGGCGTCGCTGCGTTCCCATAGGAGCTAAGCCTTTTTCTTTCTTTACTTTTTCCTCAGGTAAGTTCGCTCTTTGCAAATTTTACAAAAAGAATGCACCATCTGTGGGCAACACTGCACAAAGTCGTAGCGCAATAAGTTAAGAAACCGAATTTTCCGGTCGATTTAAAGAGCCTACCGTCTCCTTGTTTCACCCGGTACTTTGCTTATAAATGTCATGTAAAAGTTCTGCATGCTCCTATTCATGTGGTATTACCAAAGCTGTCACAACACAGGATTTCAGTGTAAGCCTGCAAATATTTTCCATCAAAGTTCGAAGTGCTTACTTCTGTAACCTAACCATCCTGTGTGATTCATAGGGAATGAGTGTACTACTGTGTTTGCATCAACAAAGTGTTTGATTTGTATCTATACTACGGGCCAAAATAAAGTATATTTCTTGAGAAAAATCTTATTTTCCACATCGCAACCTTGAGCAATAGCAGGCGGAGAGGTTTTTTTTATGGAGAGTTCTCCCCGAGTGGGGTTAGGCCTTCCTGCAAGCCCAGAAAGTATTTCAGTGGATCAAGATGGCTAAGTAAGACGGACAAGGGGTAGACAAAATATGCTGTGTCCTCTCTTACTTTGCCTTATTCATTGTCGTGTTCTACGTGTTAACAGCTGTAACTTTGGTTCTTATAACTTTGCAAGTCCAAGGGAACAACTTTTATTACACTTGCTGGTGCTGAGCTGCACTGGACACAGCAACCGGTTCCCTTGCACACATCTTCCTCTTTCCCCTTGTTCTTTCCCTTTCGCTGCCCTCGCACATGGCAGCACCATCTGTCGGCTCTTGCAAGAGGTGTCTATACTGGACGCTGTGGCGCCATCTGGTATGGATGCATGCACCTAGCACATGTGTTGCCCAACACCAGGTTTGAACCATCCATGCTATTGGGGAGGAGATAGAGGAGTGGCGCTCCCCAGCGGCCACGTCGGGAACTAACTCTGCGTGGCAAACAAGCCCTCCGGCTGCAGGCATTGGTGCATTCGCTGCCTTGGAAGACCGTGACGCGAGGCTCGTGAAAAATATGCAATATAATCTTCTTTCCTAAACGCACGCAGATAGAAGTATTCTAGTCCCCTCCTGCGTTCAATGTTACCCAAGTCCTCTTGGCAGGCAAAACAAGCGCATCTGTGGTCACGCGCGTGAGTGCCAGGCCAGCCGCGTTGTGTCGGCCGCATGTGCTACATTGTGCGTGGCCGGAGCGGCGTCCATGTTTTCTGACTGATTCACGAAACACGCACTTCACTTTTCGGTTACCCTGTCTCTCGCGACAATCATGGACAACATCGGCGAAAGCAAGTGGTGTCTCATTGCAAGAATGGACATGCCCAACTGCGATCATGTCATCGAGTGCAGCGTTGCAACAGAGCCGACGGCGGACAATGTCTGCATCGTCGCGTACAAGCTGCAGTCCTCCGCGCTTAAAGGGGCGGTGCAATGATTTTAACACTGAACGAATGTGCAGCTTGTATTTTTTATATTGTTTACTTCGGCATAAGTAAGAGAAAAAGTGCCACCATACCCCAAAATACCTCTATTTCGCTGCGTAATCACAAAATAAAAAACACTTTTTTTTCCCAACCTTGGGCCACATGGCGGCCGCAAATGGAACCTGTGGTGTGACGCCATTCGGAGTGGTTTTTGTAAGTGATAGTGTTAGGCAATTGTAAGCTTGATTTAAGGTTAAGTTTAAAAAATCTTGTTGTTTAGGCATGCAGAAACGCTTCAAAAGCCTAATATTGCCGCTAAAAGGGTATGAATTATTTGTGGCGCCATCTACCGCAAGTCAACGAAACCTGCCGTCGCCATCATCCGTCGACGCCCGAGGCGCCTACGGCGGCTACACGAGCAACCCGGACGTTTTGTCTTTCCCTCGCTCGACGGAGTGCGTTGGTCGTGGTCCGCAGTATCATGGTATCGTTATTGTTCCTGGTGTCTCGACCTCGACTTCGACTTCGACTGCCCGCCGCGTCGACTGCCCGCCGCACAAGTCCAACTGACTTACTATACGCAAGCATCTTGCGCTCGACGTCGCTCAGGCCGTCCGCCCATGCTGCCATGTTGGTCGGGAATCGGCGGGAGAGCGGGAGAGCGGCGAGCCTGGCGAGCCGGCGAGCGCTGGGGAAACGGAAGCCAGAAGAACCCAACCGGAAACCAACGCCACTCCGAATGACGTCACAGGCGAAGCTGGTGCCGCTTCAATGTTGAGTTAAGGGGTGCCAGAGATACCAATTTCTTTTATTTTTTTTAATGAAAACTAGGGCAAGCAGGAAAGAATAGTTTTCGGTCCTTCGTTTTATATGTGGCCGGGATCGATTCCCGCAATTAATTAGCCAAAGTCCACAAATTGTTGCACCGCCCCTTTAATATACCCGTTTCAAAAGCATGCTTTGAGCACTGTAGTACGCAGTAAGTGCGCACCATATCACTACAAACAAATATGTAGCGAGCGCGGAAACGATGCAGCGTACGCTAGGCGAGTGCTTGTGTCGGAGCTGTTTGCCACGCAGCGATTGTTTGTGGTGATGATGATGATAATGAAACTGCGGCCCCTATAGTTCAATCTCCTCACCAATAGTACAATACAATGTAATTCAGCGTCGTGTATTTACTTATTCCAGAGTACATTACAGCCAGACACCACAAAAGTCCACCCGAGGCAAACATCACGCTGTAATTTAGCCACAAACCTCTTTATCTCATAGTATATACATAAACTCAACCTTAAAACCTTCTAACTAAATACTACAGCCAGAGTAAAAAACATCACAATGTTGCCATTGCTCAGTAATAATTCACTTCTGTCCCTACTCGGTTGAAAAGATGACATGCCTAGCAGCAGTTGATCGCAATGAAACCATCACCAATATCCCATCACGAGTATGTTTTTCAGAGCTACTGTTTGTAGTCAGTGTTCTCATTATGTTCGCCCATACTGTTAGAGCCAAGACGAAGCAATGTGTACTGCAAGGGCCACTCGAGGAGTTTACCATCGAAGTCGGCTCGCTGGAAAAATATGGAAACTCCTTATTTGTTCCAAAGGTCTGCTTCTTAAAAAGGCACAGCACCTCACTTGGGGTCAAATACAAACCATAATGATCAATTGTTCATCATTAGAAAATTCCCTCGCTTGCCAGAACACATTTAATGACTTAAACATACTTAGCATATATTTAGTCTAAATCAGACTCCAAAGAACAAATTGTTTTGCCGAGGAAACAAAGAATTATCTTCTTGCAAGGAAAGACTTCTTTCAGAACTAATGGAAGACCGACAAATGTGTGTCAGCCTGGGACAGTGAATTTTATCTCCTTGAAATTGTGGTCCTTTTTATACTATACACTGAAATGGGAGCACTGCTCCCAGTTTTTCCGAGCTTTGTCCTGGGGGAACTCATGTGGTGGAAACTATGTTTTCGAGGGACACACCATAACCCTTGGAACAAATCCCGAGGTTACTTTCACCGAACTTTACATCATTTTCAACATCCAATTTTATTGATAAAGTTGCAACCCTGCATGTGTTCTTCCAAGAACTCCTGATGCAGCAAACTGGGTTTTCGCCCGATTCATTCGAACGGACAAAAACTTTACTGGAGTGTGACATTAAGACTTTATCCGAGAGACCTAGACAAATCCTAAAAGCTAAACTCGAAAGCTGGCAAGCAAACCCCAGCTGAAAAGACCCAAAACAAAGATTGGAGTCTGTCCCCAGAAAACTACCCCACGTATCTGGGTGCACAACACCCGTTGAGTGGCCTCCGTGTTTCCGAGTGCGCAGGCTGAAGACAAACTCGACGGACCGATTGACAGAACTCCTTTACAGCCGAAGGAAATTAGACCCCCGGCTGGGTCCACGCGTGGGGTGCGAGGCTACTCCAGCAGCTCGTCACCTTCCAGGACTTCCTTGAGGCTGATGACCTCCAGCTGACCTTTGCCCCGGGACTCCTTGCTCACCAGCTCATCCACGGCACGGAAGTTGCCGGGGTCCGTCAGGAACACCTGGACGAAAGCGCGGCCATCGGCAAACACATCGACCTGTGCCTTGCAGGGTCCCGCACGACTACCGTATTTACTCGCACAATGAACGCACTCGCATAATAAACACACTCTTCAAAACGGGCACCAATATTTCGACTTTTTTTTTTCCCCTCGCGTAATGAACGCACTTCACATGAACGCATAAACGGGCGACCGAGTCGTGCCGAGAGGTTTAGCCACGAGCCATCGAAAGCGGACGACACGAGAGATCGAGGCTTCCCCTGCAAGCTCGCACGCTCGCATCTGCCTTCATGTTCTTCGGTCCCAGCATCGGCCTCGGCATGCACGAATAATTCAAGAGCGAAGCAAGAGATACCGACGGCTTTAGAAATGTAGGGTGCTCTTTGTTATGTTCATGCTTAGTTCTTCGGTCGGCAACGCTCGCATTTGCTCGTGCTTTCTGCCGGAACTTCTACCAACGACCAACGGGATCGCGTCAGACCGACCCTCCGGCTTCCGCGACGTCCTCTGTCGCTGCTTCGGGACCATTTTCGACGCACAGGCGGAACGGGACGCCAAAAGCATCGGTCGTAGACGCAATCCGAACACCGCAGTCAGAACGACCGCCGCGTTGCACCCTGCACCAGCGGGGTTCGCTCACCATCTCGAGCTCCCCGGTGGCGCCCTGGATGACGTCCTGCTCGATGGAAGAGGCCAAGGCCTTGAGCAGTGGCCGGGCCTTCTTCCCGTTGGGCACCACCACGCGCAGCTTCATCTGGGACCGCTCGATGGGCATCACTTCCTTCAGCTGGCGGATCACTTCCAGGGACTGTGGGGGAAGGGGCATTACGCAGTGTCGCTTGGTGCACGACGCCAATGTTACGTCGTGCTTGAAAGGGTCGAGGAGAGGGCGAATCGTGCAATGACGAGCGGTACGGTGCCGACGCTTGCCCGTGCCACGTTTGTGATCCAATCAGGCCAAAGGGTCACGAGAGGGTACTCTAAGGTCTCCTTCCCACACTTGCATTTGCTTCGACCGAGTTATTGCCATCTCTTATGACGAGAATACAGGCTTTCACCATCTTTGAGGTGGTCCTGGAACTGCATTTCACTAGGGCAAATGTTTTGCCGTGTTTGTGAGATCAAATTTACATACAGTGCTATCCACTTATAAGGATACTGAGAAAACCCAAACATTAAATTGTTGTAACTGATAATCGTATCTGAACTAGAAACTGATCATTATGAGCAGTACAACATTATATGTGGTATCGTTATAAGTGAATTGCACTGTACTATCTGTAAGAAATGATCATTTATAATATTGTCAAAAGATTTTTAAACCAATAAAAAATGATGCACGAAAAAAAAAAAACAGTTGGGATTCACAAATGTTTCACAATATGGCGCACCGTGCATTCACGAGGGCACCCATTAAACCACTCTGGCATAATTGCCGCGAGGTGGCTATGCAGTTGCCACGCCTCAGACACGATCACATGGTCGCGTCACCGCGGGGTCGATTGGGATCTTTAATTCGGCTCCCGACATGCCGCTTGCTCTCCTAGCCACTGGATGGCGCTGCAGGTGCCCCAGGGCGGGCAAGGAGAAACCTCCTCGCCCATCGATCGAGATATAGTCGGTGGACCAGGGGGTGTACAGCCTCTTAGGACTCCCGACGCTACCAAGACCAGGCAAGTGTGTGGCGACCGGATCTAGGGTAATCCCGGCACACGAGGCCTGGGGGCCCTATTTGTGTTTAGGTTTGGCTTTTTGGCTTTACGTGTTTTTGTATATATTTGTGTAATGTCGAGTGTATTTGCAGTTTAGATTGAGTGTTTTGAGCGTTGTGTTTCATGTACCAATAAACGGGGAGCGGAATCCCGCTCCTGTGAAAGAACCAGGCTGGACTCGGGTTGTTGACGGACCACGTGGGAACTGGCGTATCGGTGGCGGTACGCGAATTCCTACAACAGTTACCCGATAGATGGCAATAGTGTGTTCTCTTGTCGTAAGAGATCGCAAGAGGTTGTAAAGCACTCAGTCATAAGCTGTCGCAAGTGTGTGAACCAACCTTAAAGAGGTGACACTCAGCAAAAATGCAAAGTTTAAGAGGACCAAAAAACATTTTTCAGATGCGATAGCATTTTTAGGGCCATCGTACCGCGAGATTGTACGTATCCACCCTACGTGGCTCGATGTCTAAAATCCTCGATATCGAGATATCTATGTGCCTCAATATCTCAATATCTATGGAAAACCTCGCTATATCCAATAAGAAAACCTTAATTGTCAAATAATAAGACACCAAATCAATTTAAAAAGAATAGGCGCAAAAACGGCGCCGAGCTGAGGCAAACCGGGAGCACCGAGCTCGATAAAAGTCTGAAGAGGTGCAAAGCATCCGAAATGTTATAACATTAGACATCTTTAGGCAGCAGCCATAGCAAAGATGTAGCCTTTACGCTTTGGCGAGCTAGCGCTCAGAGTGAACGCCTTGCACTCATAAAACATGACGCACGAATTGGTTTTCCTTTATACACACCGACACTTTTTTCCCAAAAAAGTGCATTTATGAAGATCAGATTCCTTTTCCACCTCTGCTTATCGATCTTCCCGCCTATCAAACAGCCCTGCACCCTTAACAAAACAAACAAGGGACAGAATACATCTTGGCAACATACCTCGGCAAACCTCACTCATGAGGGCCCTCACTCACCCTCACTCACCCTCATCTTCACAGGTGAGGTGAGGGTGAGTGAGTTTTTGAAACAGGAAAATTCATGAGTGTGAGGGTGAGTGAGGGCCGTGAGGGCTGTGAGGGCGGTGAGGGCGGTGAGGGCGGTGAGGGCCGTGAGGACCGTGAGGGCAGTGAGGGCCGTGAGGGCTGTGAGGGCCGTGAGGGCCGTGAGGACGGTGAGGGCCGTGAGGACGGTGAGGGCCGTGAGGGCCGTGAGGGCCGTGAGTGGTGTGAGGGCGGTGAGTGAGTGAGGGGTGTGAGGGCCATGAGTGCGTGAGGGCAGTGAGTGGCGTGAGAGGCGTGAGAGCCGTGAGGGTGGTGAGCGCATGAGGTGTGTGAAGGCCATGAGTGCGGTGAGTGCGTGAGGCCCCTTCAGATCGAGCATCTTTCTCAGCAATTTTGGTGTTAATGGCGGGCTGTTCCCTAGTTTTCCTTAGATCGGCATGAATTGCTGAGATCGGGTCCGGCTCGAAATAAGCAAGCAACTCGGAACAATTCGAATGCGTTTGAAGCGGCTGCATCCAATCAGGGACGCAAAATTTTCACGTGATACCTGGTGCCGGTGAGGATGACACCGAAAGACTTGGTTCTGGTTTGAAATCGATCGTTCTTTTTGGAAATAAACTGTTTCAGAAAGGTGCATTAGTATTCTTAACGAGATTTAAATGCATAAAAACACGTCTATAACGCGTAATTGTGTCTAAATAGTGCAAGAAAAATAAAATTTTATGAGGACGATGGCAAATTGCAGCAATTGGTTGCCGCGTGTGATCGCGGGCGGCCCGTGTTGCTGGTGTTGCGACGTAAAGTTTCTGGGCGAATTTGCCCCATCTGAAGCTGGCCTGAGTGGCGCGAGGGCCATCAGTGCGTGAGGGGCGTGAGGGGTGTGAGGGCCGCAAGGGCGGTGAGGCGCATGAGGGCGGTGAGTGGCGTGAGGGCGGTGAGTGGCGTGAGGGCGGTGAGTGGCGTGAGGGCGGTGAGTGCCGTGAGTGCGGTGAGGGTGGTGAGTGGCGTGAGGGCTATGAGTGTGTGAGGGCCGTGAGGGCGGTGAGGGCCGTGAGGGCGGTGAGGGCCGTGAGGGCCGTGAGGGCGGTGAGGGCCGTGAGGGCGGTGAGGGCCGCGAGGGCCGTGAGGGCGGTGAGGACCGTGAGGGCGGTGAGTGGCGTGAGGGCGCTGAGTGCCGTGAGGGCCATGAGGGCCATGAGTGAGTGAGGGGCGTGAGGGCCGTGAGGGGCGTGAGGGCCGTGAGGGCGGTGAGTGTGTGAGGGCCGTGAGGTTCAGTGAGGGTGAGTGAAGGGCTGAAGGTGAGTGTGACTGTGAGGGTGAGGGTGAGTGAGGGGCTGAAGGTGAATGTAGCTGTGAGGGTGAGGGTGAGTGAGGGGCTTAGGTGAGTGTGGCTGTGAGGGTGAGGGTGAGTGAGGGCGACCTAAAATGCCGACCTCTGCTTGGCAATGGATCATCTGCTTAGTCGTGCTCGCCAGAGGGTAAACAATAAGTGTATGTGAGTGACGGAAGTAACAAGACAGAACACATGTTGTGCAGAAAAACAGGTATGGCCCTCACAGCACAGGAGAGGGAACGGTCATTGCAGCAAGCTAGGCACAAACACACGGACAGAAACGTCGAGAACTTCTCGTTGAAGAGCCGCAGCAGAAATGGGCAAGGCTCACCTGTTGCTTGGCGCTCTTGTTGGGCTTGACGGAGAAGTGCATCTCGCGCATGGACTTCTCTATGATGCTCATCGGATAGGGCCGCTTGGTGTCCGGGTTCACACACTTGTCCGCCACCAGGGTGGCTATGTCCCGGAAGCTGGACTCCAGCTGGCTGTGCCGCTCCTTCTCAGACACCTGCAGCTCCCCCTTGCTCAGGATCTGCACACCCGAGCGACTTCTCAACCTCAACATCCACATGCTCAAAACACGCAATACTCGCTTGAAACAGGACGAATGCTAGAGTTAGCAGATATTCACGATACACCAAACCCGCCAAGGTTTTTGCCAACTCTCTCCTAACGTTGGAAGTATGCGACTCTAGGAAGCTCGGTAAGAAAAACTGATATGCAACTACCGTATTTAACAAACTATAGCAAGCGCCGGTGCATAGTCCGTAGGGCCAAATTCGGGGTCAAAAATAAAAGCTTTTGCTTAGATAGTTCCACACCGAATGCACAGTCCACACATAGTCTGCACATAGTGCCTAGTCCGAATGTAAGTATCATACAAAGCACATTCTGACAAATGCCTACTGTATTAGCTCACAAAAAAGCATGTATCATGCATAAATCATCATTAATATACTCTGTTATTCATGAAATTCTTCACGTTTTGTCACAGTCAATGACCTAGAAAAAAAAAACACCTGTAGATAATATGCAAATTTTTGTATAGTCCACAATTGTAGATAGTCTGCATCAGGTGAAATTTCAACTCTTAAACATGTACCTACCGCATTTTACGGTGTATTGTCCGCAGACCAGGCACGTAGCCAGGATTTCGTTTCGGGGGGAGCCCGCCCATGACAAAATGCTGTATGAGGGGGAGGGGGGATAGAAGGTCCCAGCAAAATGGAAGATTTCGGGGGGCGGGCCCAGGCCCCATGGGCCTGGCTACGTGCCTGCCGCAGACAATACATGCTTAAAAGTTAATATTTCGTGCTGTATGGACTATACAGGGGTGCAACTATACGCGGTTTGTTTTTTCTAAACGTTGATACTTGATGCACTGCGGTTTATGCACGACCTGTTTTTCCTAAATGTTGATATTTGATGCACTGCGGTTTATGCACGACCTGTTTTTCCTAAATGTTGATATTTGATGATGTGTGGACAGTACACAAGGTCACCGGTTCCGGGCTTTTGTTTTCCGTGTCAACGGAACAATGAAACAAGGTCACAATGGCACAGTGTTTCCCTCACCCTCAGCCGAAATTGGCACCTGCGGATTATACTTTTGGTGAAAACTATCTAAAGAATTTTTTTTCTCCAGCTGAAATTGATTTTTGCGGATTTTACACTGGGCGCGGACTATAGTCCGGAAAATACAATATAGTTTGGAAAATACGGTACAAGCATCTTGGCACACATTCATTCTAAAGACTAGAAAGTCAGCAGCCGAAGTGAACAATACGAACAATGAAGCCCCAGTGTTTCGCCGTCCACAATTATTATTACTTCACAGTGACGAGTGATGAATGAAAAAATTTCCATTTTTTTACGATTTACGGACAGTCAGACATTTGCGTATGAAACTGTGCACCTTGTCATACTCCATCACGATAAATATCGCCACTAGCAACCAATCAGTGAGCTCTTCTATCCTCCAGCAGAAGCCAGAATACAAAGCAGACTGACAAGCTGTTGTTTATAAAAAAAAAGTATGTTGAACAAATCTGATGTGATAAAACATCAAAATGTTATATTTTGTATAAGCACAGATCATGTACTGCCTGAAATATTTACTGGCTTGGAATCAGTTATCGAGATCACCAAAAAGGAAGCCAGGCTCGAAGCATGTTGCGTCTAAACTTAGGCCTGCACAATATAACAGGTACCCTTGAATGCCTTTGAGTGTAAACAATGTATACTGGAATTGACATTCACTATTGGCAATCAGCAATAAGAGTTGGGAAGGAGTCATATCACTCGCCTCTTTGCAAATCTTGGTTTGATCTTCCGATCCGAAACACTTTATAAGGTCCTCCTTCTTCGCTGCCTGTCCTTTGGAGACATTGGTGTACACTGTGTGGGTCTGGAGGACTTCGTCAATATCTTTCTCCCTGAAAAGAAGACCCAACAATTCGGCATAACCTTCTCAAGTCTAGTGCGCTGATACACCACCGGTATTCCTGTGATTACAGCTCCTATCTCAGTGGCTCTCTGTTTTGCAGTCTTTATTCATGTTAGGTATGTGACCCTATACTTTCGACATACCAGAATTGCAATAGATTGAAATACGAACAAAGGAGCGCATGACTTTCTGTGTATGCTGCACAGCCTGACGACGGGCCAGGGAAGGCTGCACATGCGCAGTAAGTCCAGAGATAAGAGGATTTGCATCTAACTATGATATGCTTGACCATCGCCCAATGTGCTAGCGCTTTGGCTCGGCGGGTAAGCACTTTGTAACAGCTAGCCACAGCTGGGAGATGAGATAACGGCGGCGCGAATTCAACTCAACTGTGCGCATCATCTGGCAGTACTAAATGGTCTTTTGTACATCAAACAAGGGATAGGCTCTGACTACAATCAACTAGGGATGCCGCAAACTTTTTTCGAACCGAAGTTGCGATGATCGAATCAAGCGATTCGAAAGGTTCGAACGATTTCGAATTTTTTATATTGTAAAATTTGATGGAAGTCGAATTTTCGAACTTGTTAAGCTAAGAAGTTTGACGCTTTTCGAACCGTCGAACTTATTACGGTAAAAAATTCGATCCTTTTCGAACTTTCAAACTTATCATGCTGCAAAATTCGATGCCTGTTGAACTTCCGAACTTGACTGACCAAAAAATTTGATGATTTTCGAACTTTCGAATTTCTTGCTCTAAAAAGTTCGAAGCTTTTCGAACTTTCAAATTTCCTATGCTAAGGAATTCAATAATTTTCGAACTTATTCATCAAGAGAATTCGAAAATTTTCAAACTTTCGAATCCTGAAAAGTCAGAAGTTCGACGAACTTCAAACTTTTAAGGGAAAAGTTCGACGTTCGTCGAACTTCAAAAGTCCGGCGGACGGTTTCATTTGAATTCAAGTAGTAGTGAGGTACATTCGTGATTTTTTTTCTCAAACTTTTACATGCGGTGCTGCATTCTTTACGAAAGACAATGCCGTTTATTTCAATGTTTTCGCATGCTTAGTTTTAAAGAAATAAATTCCCGAAGGGGCGAGGAAGGACGACGGGCTTATGACGATTATCATTTGTGCCAGATTTGAAGCGCGCTGTAGCCGAAGCTATTTATTGTAGAGATGTTAAACTTCTTAAGAATGATCTATGTATAGTTATAATGCAATTAAATGCAAAGGGGCAAGCGAGCTGGACAAGAATGACGAAAATAATCCCTGGAGAAGGGGAACAAGAGGGACAAAGGACAAACACAAATCTCCAAACACAGATAGGTGACTGGTGAGCGACCGAAAAAATCCGCCTGGTCCGGGTATCGAACCAAGGACCTCTCCATTACAAGTGGAGCGCTCTACCAACTGAGCTAACCAGGGGTTAGACGCCAGCAGAGCAAACGGGTTTTATCAGCTGCCACCTGTCTAACACACCTTTGCATCTAATTGCATTATAATTATAACATTAAAAAGCTTCACCCTTGTTGGTGTGTTAGACTGGTGGCAGCTGATAAAACCCATTTGCTCTGCTGACGTCTAACCCCTGGTTAGCTGAGTTGGTAGAGCGCTCCACCTGTAATGGAGAGGTCCCGGGTTCAATACCCGGACCAGGCGGATTTTTTCGGAATAAATTAAGTTAAGGAATAAATTAACTCATGGGAGAAGATTTCTAATATTGTTCAAGTTCAGCCCGTCATTAAAAAAAAACTTTTTTTTTTTTTTTTTTTTTTTTTGTTTTACGTTACTTGGACGTGTTTCTTTTAGCCTGTACAAATTTTGGTAGGAGAAACTTGTTTCGAAGTTCTGAACCTCTAAATATGCAAGAATACAACACTTCCGGCGAATTCTTGACAGTTTTTTTTTCTTTCTCCAGCTTTTTATCCCCACATTTACTAATATGTTTTTTTTTTTCCACCATTGGCACAGTTATTTAGGTCGTAAAGACATAGCTTTGAACTTCCGAACCACTAAGCATGTGACGAGTAGTACCTTCTGACGAGTTTCTAACAACGACCATCTACGCGATCTTTTATGCAGTGAAGAGCGACAGTAGCTATACATATGCATAGATAATTTCAGATTAAAATAAGCTCGACCACACCCCACCCTCTTTCCCCGTATTGTTTTCCTTAACAGTCCAAAATATCTGGAAGGGGGGGGGGGAAGGGGGCTGAAGCCCCCCTCCCCCTTCCCCGTTTTTCCTCTTCCGACGCCACTTGTACGGTAGAACGCTCCTCGACCTCGAGTTGTGTCGGCTTCTGTGTTTTTGCGAGGCGATTCCTCCGTCCCAAAAAATAAACCTCCAGGACAATTACAAAATTAACTTACTGCAGACCTTTCCAGCGGCAGTCTCGAACGAAGCGATTTACAGCGGACGTCCTTGGTTTTGAGAGGGTACGGCAGTGTTGCCCGACTGTGCTGGGCTGTAGGTTTTCTAGTCAGTGGGCTGTGGCAGCCTGCGTAGGTGCACTTCCGGACGCAGGTGGAGGCTAAATTGCCGCGTTCTCTTTTTTATTGTGTATTCTGGGGCAAACAAAATTTCTCTGAGTTTTTAAGAATGCATTGTACAATTTTTTTGGAACAAAAACATAGAAATGAAAGCTGTTTTGGTGAGTCCGTGCATGACAGAACAAATTCAACTGGAATGTTTGTTTCATTTTATGTTGATCTTTTTACGGCACTATAGGATCAGCCGTGTTATCCGAACAGGAGTTGAGAAAGGTCTCAAATAACACAGCATATCCAATATACAGTGACGGCGATGGTCACTTCACGACGATCGGACGAATCCAGCGTGTTTTGGAGCATATGTAGAAGAGTTGCTTTTTTGCACAGCTTCAAATCAAATGAACGAACGTGCTTATTCCGTCCCCACACCGCGGACCCTACCCTATCAGCTATTTTTCGCGAAGACCCAGAACATAGCCAGGAAGGCTCTTTAGAGATTATCGCAACCGAAATAATCCTCCAAGAACGTCGAACTGCCTGCGTCGCGGGCTGCTTGACGTTCGCTCTCTTCGTTTGTTTCCTGTGAAGGCCGAGCAGGCTACGAGCTCTGGTATTCCCTGATTCTCACAGTGCAAGATAACACACAAAGGGTAAGCATCTTAAACAGGCAAATAAAATAAAAACTTCCAAGAAAAGCCGGCGAACTTCGAATGCACAATGCAGGTGGGCAGTCACGCTGACCGGGTTTCCACAGCTCAGGCGGGTGCCAGAAATTTCTGGCTGATAGGGGTCGCTCGACTCGCAAAATGGCGGCGGCCAGAGAGCTCTTTTTGCAAAGGTCTATATGCCAGCGTCACTCGAGCGGCGTTCGATCGGATTACTACCAGCGTGCAAGGGGTGGGAAGGTAGTTTGCCAGGTCGCTTCAAGGTTTTTCTGAGCCTCAACCTCCTGCCCACCCCTGGCCATTTCGAACTGGATGAGTATCGTAAAACAGTGTATTCGTGTGATCACTACTGCGTGATGCATGTTAAAGACCTCCCTCCCCCTCCCCTCCCCTCCCCCTAGGGGCTGGCGGTCACAATTACTGATCTATGGTCACACATCACTCTGCACTAGCAAATATTCCAGCACATCCGGGACACTCGTCGTCTCATTTAATTGCCTGACCAACTTCGCAGAGTCTAGATAACACACCCTAACTTTTCTAAGCATGATTTCGTAAAAACCAGTGAGTCGTGGAAACGTTACTTGAAACTGAAACTGTGGAGGAACTTGAAAACCGGACTTCGAACTTTGAAAACTTGGACTTGAAAGGAATTCAAAATCTTCGAAATGGTTTTTTTCTGAATTTAGCGTTAAAAGAGAATCGAAACCTTCAAACTTTTCAAACTTTATGCAGAAAGGAATTCGAAAGCTTCGAATTGTTCGAACTTTACGTCTATAAAAATTCGAAGCATTCAAAGTTTTTGAATTTTATTTCCAAAGAATTTCGAAATCTTCGAACTTTTCGAACTTCAGATCCCAAGAAATTCAAATTTTTCGAATATATCGAATTTCAAGTTAGGAAAGTTCGAAATCTTCAAATTTATCGAACCCCAAGTAAAGAAATATTTGAAATATTCGAACCCAAAATTTTAGAAACCGTGAAAGCTTCGAACTTTTCGAATTCGAAACTCCACTGTGATCAGAAGTTGCGAATTTTTCGAATTCAAACCTCGGTCGGTACGAAAATAACAAAATTTTTCGAAATCGAACCTCACTTCGCTTCGCAAATATCGAAACCTTTCGAAATCAAACCGAGGGTGGTTCGCGACATCCCTACAATCAACATTTGAGAAAACCAAAATGGCGACTATCTACTATTTTGCAAATGCCCGGTTCGAGAGTTCTTTGGTATGAAGCTAGAACCTGTTGGCCCTGCCGAGCTTCGATGACCTAGAAACATCGCCTTTGTGCCCACTGCGGCTTATGTTTCGCTCCAACAAATGAAGTTTCATCCACCACCTTCCTACTGGCGCCTTTTCTTTCCTGAAGTTTCCTACTATGAATCCTCGAGCCAAGCCTCCGACAGGGGGCACCAGTTCTTCTGCAAAAGGTGGATTCCACCGACAAGCAGCGGCCCGGCTGGGGGCACTATGCACTAGTGCGTTAGTGCACAGGCAAAGCCGAGCAAGAATGGGAACTTACACGTCGCTTCTCCAGGCCACCACTTTGTTCTTGTAGCACGCAATCTCGAAGCGCTTGCCGCCCTTCTTCATACGTACCACTGCCACATTGGTCAGCCTTATTTGGTTGGTGGGAGTAAAAATAGACATTGCGACGGTCTGGGAACTGTCAGTGGGACCGTGGGACTGTTGAGGGACAGAGCTACGCCGAGTTGAGGGTCAGCCTCGTGTCAGCTGGTGCAGCTGACGATATCTCGTTAAAATTGCTGGCATATACCTTGACGCTACAATCGAAATCTGCTGTGGGACGTAAACAGTTGATGATTGGCACTTGGATTGGATTGGATCAAAAATGCCTTGGAAGTCGATTGACGATGAAGGCAAACTTTTGCATTTATTTAAATAAAATTATATTAAGGTTAATCAAGTTAATTCATAATAAAGCATTAACCAAATTGTTATATTTAATGGACTATTATACTTTGTCGACAAACAAAAACAACTGTTAGTGCTGCCTGGTTTTGTGAGCTTTTTAATGTTTACAATCGCGTCATTTAGCAAACTCTGCACGAACAACCTATTATTAAAATAATAAAACATTTCACAATAGTCTTGTAGGGGTTTTCTTCGGACGATCAAAGCTCAAACGGGTGCACAGTCATAGAGGTCAGTGGGTGCACAGGGTGCACACACATACTCAATTGGTCGTTTAGTAGCGCTCCCGTGCCTAACATCGCTTTCGGTATCATCCCATTCAATCCCTTTCTCGGCGTTTCGGGATGCTGATGTAACGTCAGCCGATACTTCGCGGCGCCCCTGAACTCGAAACGAGTGTTTTACGACGTTCGTAGCTCTCTGTCAGCGACTTGAAAACGCCGGCGAGATGCCGCTGAAGCTGACCTGCAACGTGGGCGAGCCCCCGGTGGGAGCCCTGCTCACCGCCGAGCACCTCAAGCCCGGACTCTGTGTCAACGTGGACTGGGCTACGAGCACATGTCTCCAAGTAAGCGGGAGCCAGATTAGATCAACATTTACATCCGCGTTGCACGGAAATTGCGTCATTATATTGCCCCGCGGTGTGGGCGGAGTAGGGAGGTGTTGTTAAACTTGCTAAACTATCACCCCGATTGTAGTCGTGACCGGTTGATCGTTGTGTGATCGCCGGCACTCTTGAAAATATTTGGCATATGACAATACCCCCGTAGGTTTAAATGGATAACAACATTTTTTGCGACATTGTTTATTGCTATACCCGCACAAGCACTGTTATAAAATTTCCCTTCTGAATATTCTACAACAAAAAAGAAAAAAAGTCAAGGAGAAAAAAACTCGCGCTTTCCGGCGCGCCAGATGTAGACACTGGGCGGAGAAATTTATGTATTTGCCGCCCGTTCTTTTTTGTAGTTTCATTAAACGAGGACCATACGTTTCTAAATACATGCATCTCAGCGCAAAAAAATGAAAAAAAAATGTTATTAGTATGAAAGTAATTTCGTAACAATTTATTTGCGATCGTCACATCACTGTAATCTGTATGTTCGTAAATATTTCGCTCCAAAACTCTGTTATGTTCATTGTCGATCAGGAAGAAACCCAATTTATTTGCAAGGATTCCACACCTCTGACATCCTAAGTTTTGTTTTTGTTGCAGGTAGATGGCGGAAAGTCCTTTAGTTCGTCGCCGCTCATCTCCCGCTACCTGGCACGCCTGTGCCCCGACGAGCAGTTGTATGGTAGCAGCGCCCTGGAGCACACCGAAGTCGACCACTGGATCGAGTTTGCGGTGGGCAGGCTGTCCCAGAGCGACGAGCTACCACGGGCGGTGCAAAGTCTGGACCGGGCTCTCGGCTCATCATCTTACCTTGTGGGACAGCGGGCGACCATCGCCGACTTTACCGTTTGGGGTGCTTTGTTCGTGAGCCCCGCCTGGCAGGGTCTGCTCTCGGCCAAGAAGGCGCCGCAGAACGTGTCCCGTTGGTACAACCTCCTCCTGTCACAGCCCAAGGTCGAGAGCGTGCTGTCAGCTCTTCCGCCCCAAACGAGGCGCGAGACGCCAAATCAGATGAGCAAAGAAGCGGCCAGTAAGGTCAGTAAGGAAGAAGGCAAGTTCGTGGACCTGCCCGGGGCCGAGGTCGGCAAGGTGGTGGTCCGGTTTCCGCCCGAGGCAAGCGGCTACCTCCACGTGGGGCACGCCAAGGCAGCGTTGCTCAACCAGTACTACCAGGAGGCGTTCAAGGGCAAGCTCATCATGAGGTTCGACGACACAAACCCCGAGAAGGAGAAGGAGGACTTCGAGAAAGTGATCCTTGACGACGTCAAGAAGCTGGAGATCACCCCAGACCGATACACTTTCACGTCAGACTACTTCGAGCTGTTGCTCCAGAAGTGCGAGGAGCTGCTCCGGAAGGGGCTGGCCTATGTGGACGACACAGACCCGGAGACGATGAAGGCGGAGCGCGAGCAGCGCCAGGACTCCAAAAATAGGGGCAACTCGGTCGAGAAGAACCTCCAGCTCTGGGAGCAAATGAAGAAGGGCACCGAGCACGGCCTCAAGTGCTGTGTCAGGGCCAAGATTGACATGAAGTCCAACAATGGGTGCATGCGGGACCCCGCCCTGTACCGCTGCAAGATCATGTCCCATCCCCGGACAGGCGACAAGTACAAGGTGTACCCCACGTACGACTTCGCCTGCCCAATCGTCGACAGCATTGAAGGCGTTACCCACGCCCTCAGGACCACCGAGTACCACGACCGGGACGAGCAGTTTTTCTGGGTCCTGGACAGCCTCGGCATGAGGAAGCCCCATATCTATGAATACTCAAGGCTCAACATGATGAACACCGTCCTCTCGAAGCGGAAGCTGACCTGGTTTGTGGAGAACAAGATCGTGGATGGATGGGATGACCCGCGCATGCCCACTGTCCGTGGCGTGCTCCGCAGGGGCATGACAGTGGAGGGACTCAAGCAGTTCATTGTTGCCCAGGGCTCTTCAAGGTCTGTTGTCATGATGGACTGGGACAAGATCTGGGCGTTCAACAAGAAGGTAATCGAACCTGTCGCTCCCAGGCACACGACTGTGGAGAAGGAAAACGCCGTTGTGGTCGAGGCCCCAGGCTTGAAGGAAGGGAAACTCGAGGTGGCCGTCCATCCGAAAAACACTAGCCTAGGAACTCGAGATCTGGTAGTTGCTCCGCAGCTTTTGGTGGACCAGTCAGACGCTCGGGCCATGAAGGCCGGAGAAAACGTCACTTTCATTGGCCTGGGCAACCTGAAAATCAAGGATGTCTCTCGAGGTGCAGACGGAAAGGTCACCAAGATCGTGGCTGAACCAAACCTTGACGACAAGAATTATAAGAACACTCTTAAAGTTACTTGGCTCGCCGTCAGTCCCTCCGCACCCCTTGTACCTTGCACTTGCGTCTTCTTTGACCACATACTTTCAAAGCAAGTGCTCGGGAAGGATGATGACTTCAAGGACTTTGTGCGGAAGGAGACCCGCGTGGAAGTGCCCATGCTGGGCGACCCACTACTTAAAAATTTGAAGAAGTCTGATATTATACAGATTCAAAGGAAAGGCTTCTTCATCTGTGACCAGCCATACGATCAAAGTGCAGCACGACATATTAGTCAGGAAGGACCCCTTGTCCTCTACCACATTCCAGATGGAACACAGAGCACATCTACCCTCCCCGAGATTGTCCAGAGGTTTTACGAATCCAAGGAAACTCCCAAGGAGCAACTACAAAGGGTCAAGGGCAAAGCCGCCGAAAAATCACCAGTGGAAGACACCAAACCCCTGGTTGCGAAGGCTGGTGAGCTCGAGGAGTTGAGCAGCAAGATTCAGCAGGCTGGAGACCAGGTGAGGCAGTTGAAGGCAAGCAAGGCTGAAAAGTCTGCAATTGATGGCAGTGTTGCGGTCTTGTTAAAGCTCAAAGGCGAGTTCAAGAAACTTACTGGGAAGGATTGGCAACCGTCATCTGCTCCTCAGACCAAGTCTCAAGGGGCAGCTCCGCCGTCTTCAGCTGATTTGGATGCCAAGATTCAAGCTCAAGGTGAAAAGATCAGGAAAATGAAGGCTGACAAAGTCACAAAGGATGTTCTGGATCCAGAAATAAAAGAACTGCTGAGGCTGAAGGCAGACTACAAGTCCTCCACAGGCATCGAGTGGAAGCCCGGAGTGATGTCGCCATCAGCTGCAGGAACTGGGGATGCCGCTGCATGCGATGTGCAGAATCTCGACAGGCAGATTGAAGCGCAAGGCGACAAGATCCGCATGCTCAAGTCGAATAAGGCAGCCAAGGATGTCTTGGACCCCGAAATCAAGCTTCTTTTCCAGCTGAAAGCAGATTTTAAATCTGCCACTGGCCAAGAGTGGAAGCCTGCCACTTCGCAGTCGGAGAACAGCTCTAAACCCTTGAAGCCTACAGAAAAGCAGAAGGAGCAAGCCGACAAGGCCAAGCCTGCGGCAAAGCCAAAAAAAGCAGCTAAAGAAAGTACTCCCACGCCACAGGATGGTCCCAAGAAGATCACGCGCCTGGGCCTAGAGGCCAAGAAGGAAGAGAACCTCCCTGACTGGTACTCGCAGGTCATCACCAAGGCGGAGATGATTGAGTACTACGACGTGAGTGGCTGCTACATCCTCCGTCCGTGGGCCTACAGCATCTGGGAGAACATCAAGGAGTTTCTTGACACCAGGATCAGGAAGATCGGTGTCCAAAACTGTTACTTCCCCATGTTTGTTTCAGCTCAAGCTTTGGAGAGGGAGAAGACTCACGTAGCTGACTTTGCACCAGAAGTGGCCTGGGTCACCAGGTCGGGAAACAGCGACCTGGCAGAGCCTATTGCCATTCGACCAACGAGCGAGACCGTTATGTACCCCTCGTACGCCAAGTGGGTGCAGTCGCACAGGGACCTTCCACTCCAGTTGAACCAGTGGTGCAACATTGTGCGCTGGGAGTTCAAACATCCACAGCCCTTCCTGCGGACCCGAGAGTTCCTCTGGCAGGAAGGGCACACTGCCTTTGCCACAAGGGAAGAAGCTGTGGAGGAGGTTTACAAGATCCTGGACATCTACACGGCAGTCTACGAAGAACTCCTTGCCCTCCCTGTTGTGAGGGGACGAAAGACTGAGAAAGAGAAGTTTGCTGGAGCTGACTTTACGACGACAGTCGAAGCCTACGTCCCAGCGAGCGGCCGTGGTATCCAGGGTGCCACATCCCATCACTTGGGCCAGAATTTCAGCAAGATGTTTGAGATTGTATTTGAAGACCCTGAGACACGAGAGAAAAAGTTTGCCTTCCAAAACTCGTGGGGGCTGACTACGAGAACCATTGGTGTGGTGGTGATGGTCCATGCTGACAACCAAGGCCTTGTACTCCCACCGCGGGTAGCATGCTACCAGGTTGTCATCGTGCCTTGTGGCATCACTGCAGCCATGTCAGAAGACCAGAAGGCTGCACTGATCAAGTTCTGCCAGGACTTCGAAGCAACACTTGATGTTGCAGGAGTTCGCTGCAAGGGAGACTACAGAGACAACTACTCTCCAGGCTGGAAATTCAACCACTGGGAGCTAAAGGGTGTGCCCATAAGGGTGGAAATCGGGCCTCGTGACATGCAGCAGGAGCAGTTTGTTGCAGTGCGTAGAGACACGGGGGAGAAGCTCACTTACAAGACCTCCACGGCGGTCAAAGAGATGAAAGACCTGCTTGAGAACATCCAGAAGTCCATGTTTGACCGAGCAAAAGCAGACCAGCTCAAGTATCAAGCAGTCACAAAGAGCTGGGGCCAGTTCCTGGAAAAGTTGGATGGCAAGTGCCTCATTATGGCACCCTTTTGTGGTGACATGGAGTGTGAGGATGAGATCAAAAAGAACAGTGCTAAGGACTGTCTAGAGACAGAGCCTGGAGCGCCAGCTATGGGGGCCAAAAGCTTGTGCATCCCCTTTGAGCAGCCGGCCAAGATTGAAGCTGGAGACAAGTGCATCAACCCAGGGTGTGCCAGGAAGCCCAGCGCTTACACCTTGTTCGGTCGCAGTTACTGAGCATCTTGTTTTGTCACAATGCCTTGGTGACTGTATTTATTTGATCTGAGACAGTAAACATCTTTTTTTACAAATATGGTCTTCTTATGCAAGATCTTCAGTAGCAGATTTGCCCTTCTGTATCAACTTGCATAAAATATTTTTTTTTTTATTTATTTCAATACCCTCAGGGCCAACGGCATTACAGAGGGGAGTGGGTTGTATTCAACAAGAAAAATTATACAATGAAAAACTTAAAGGCAAAGCACCTATTAGTTATGAACAATAAAAATTAGAAAACAGTTTTAAACAAATCATCCGCCTGGATTATGGCGCTGGAGGTGAGAAGGCGGTTCCAATCCAAAGAAGTTTGGGAATGAAAGATTGTTGAAATGTGTTCGTGCTACTTAGTGGTACGCCTACTTTATGAGGATGATCAAGACCGGATGAAACATAGAAAGGTGGTGTGAGGAGACGTTGACTGAGGAATGAGTTAGTGTGAAATACTTTATGGAAGAGACATAAATGGGCTACCTTTCGGCGTGAGGCAAGACTAGGCAAAGATAAGTTAGATTTCATAGAGGTGACACATGCAGTGCGTGGATAATTACTGAGGATAAAACGAGCGGAACGATTTTGAACAGCTTCTAGGGGGTTAACCAAATTTAAAAGGCTTGGGTCCCAGATAGACGACGCGTATTCAAGCTTTGAGCGTATAAGTGTTTTATAAAGAGTTAATTTCAAAGAGGAAAGAGCTAAAGAAAAATTACGTTTTAAATAGCCAAGCATGCGATTAGCATTACTAATAACGTATCCAATATGTATTTTCCAGGAAAGATCAGATGTATTTTCCAGGAAAGACCTTGAGCTTGCAAGATTATGTGACAAGCAAACATTTTAGCATCGTTGGCTTGCCACATGATGCGGTTTGTATCGTTGCTAATTCATGAGCTTCGCAGTGAACTTCGAGGAACATCGGGTTTCAAAATTTTCGACTTGGAAGGAAAATGACGCGTCTAAACGAAACCGAAAACGTAGCTTACGTGCGTTCCAGTTATGGCTGAGGTCGTTTGCTGTATCACTATAGTCCACATACGACGTTATAATATCAGATTACAATAAAAGTGATATATATATATATATATTGAAGTAAGGTACATCATCATGGATATATTTATTGTGGAACACGCGTACCCGTCAGAAATGCAAGAGCCAACCGATCCAATCCAATCCAGTTTTGGACAGGTTGAGTTGTTTTCTGGACTGTGGAGGGGCATATTCTGTTTATTTTGATGCACTTTATGCGATACGTAACCCCTGATATTTTGTATTTTAGTGTTGACTATCTTTCCCTATTAATCATCTATTCAAAGGAAAAAAAAATGCCGCTTGGTTGCAGCGTGTGCGGTTCCCTTTGACGAGCCGTGGCTGCTCTGCTTCGATCACGGACTCTGATCTACGAAAGCTGTAAGGTAACGGGTGTTCGTGAAGTGCCTCCTCCTCGGGAGCACTTGCGCGTGAGGAATGCAGTGTGCATCTTCCAAATTGCCTGTCTGGCTAGAGGCTAGAGTTGTGTTAATTGCCATTCAGAATTTGCCTCGTCACTACCCCGTTTTGTGTTGATCACGGCGACGAAAATACGCTGGTGCTAATACGGCGCGAACTTTCGGAAAAGTCAATACCGGCCAGTAAATATCGCTTGACGAGTATGGATTTTTAAGGATGCATGGCACATCCGACACCTTTTATTTATTTTATTTATTTCTATATTTTATCCTCAGGGCCAGAGCATTACAGAGGGGAGTGTTGGAAAAAATAAATAAAGCAGTACAGTGACAAAAACAAACAATAAACAAAGAGTTAAGAAAGGGAAAAACAAAACATGGTTTCTGACACTTGAACAACAAAGAGCACACTCAACAAAGGATGCAGGCAACTGGTTCGATTCCTTCGAAACCCTCGGGAGAAATGCGGCAAAGTATTTGTTATAGCAGCAAGGTTCCGCCCACTTTGTGATGGTGATCAAGACGAGCTGAAACGAATGATGCTGGGGTTATTAGCTGATTCCTGAGTGCAGAGTTGTATGCGGAATATTTTTGAAAAAGACAAATGCTAGCAATTCTACGGCAATGTGCAAGACTTGGCTTCTACCGACCACATGGATGAATTGGGGTCAACGAGACGACATCGGCGTTACTTACCGCTAGCTGCGAGCGACAAAATATTAGGACCCAAAGAAAATTAATAAACATCATCGAAGCTCACTATATTAATTGTATGTGCCTGCCTGTTCTTACTGCGACACCGTTAAACGTTCCTCTCTTTTATCCAAGCCGTCGCAGAAAGGTTCTCTCGAGCATGCCTGCATTGTTCGAACTGAGAAAAAAGTACAAATGGCAATTTCTTACAAAGTTCACATCGTCTTCCACACCAATGGTTTGCTGCGTCCTCGTACGTACACGTGCCTCCATGTGCAACGCCTTGTCCACCCTTACTGCCCGGGAACCCCGAGTGCTACACAGCCTAAAAGAAATGTGGCATCTCCAGCAAAACTTGTCATCCAAATTCCTCCGGTACGAGGTACCTCTTAGCTGATGAGAGGATAATTTGGAAAGAGAAGAGGAAGTCTCACAGTTGTCTTGCCGCTAGCATGAGCTCCCTGGTTTCAGACTACTTTTCAGCTCCTAGCTCCCATTGTAGCTTGTTCTGGAAGTTTTGAACAAATTGTTTGGGGCCACTTCATTGTCTAAGGAGTGTAAAGTTTGTACTGTGCCACATTTTAGCTGTTTTTTCAATGTCCAGCTGCTTACATATACCTTAGACTGCCTCTGTCTCATTAAATTTCAGCGCACACTCGAAGGAAGCGGGTACAGTGGAAAGTAGTTGCTGCCTCGTTGCCTGTCGTGTTGACGTCAAAACGTGAAGCAACGCATGGGTTTACTTCATTCGACTGCCAACTAACTTTACACATAAATTTCTTGTGTGCTCAGTGTCAAGTTTAAAACAATTTTGTATGTTTGTCTGTGACAGACACGTATGGTGTTGAAAGAAGTGAGTGTTGTATTGTTACCTTGTTGTCTGCACTTACAATATTGGTTTAGTTTGTGCTGTCTCTCTGTGCAGGATCTATCTATGTTTAATGGAGCATTAGTTTGGCGTTTAGTACTTGTCCGTTGTCTTTGCGCTTTAAGATTATTTGCCAAGATGCCAATGTGCACATGCAGCTTTTTATCTGCATTGTGTGTTACATTTCTGCAGTGAGTCACAATCATACTTCCACTGATATCGTTTTTTTGTTTTTTTTGCATTTTATTAATTTGAATTAAACCTAAATCAAATTGCATATATAATTTTTTATGCATTGTGAACCCTTAAAGTTGCATGCTTTCAAAGAAGTATGATGAATGGCTTTAGAGCACATAAAAAGACTTTCTCTGTGTGTTATCTGCATATCTAGTAACTTGGAGTTTGGTAAAAATAATGCCTAGATCTAAAATGCATACCCGCAAGAAGTAAGAATTTACTTACAAAAAGAATTTGCTTACAATAAGCTGGGCCTCTGTTTGACCCATGAGCTCTGTAGCGGTTGGATGCAAACTGGACACAAGGCATACTGCAGTGAGAGTTTAAGAATGGCTAGTTGGGCTAGTTGGTTTTGCATCATGGTGTAATACGCCAAAACAACAGGGACAAAAAACAAAGATAAAACCAGACAGGACGCGGCGTCCTGTCTGGTTCTATCTTCGTTTTTTGTCCCTGTTGTTTTGGCGTATTACACCGTGAGAGTTTACTTAAGGGGCAATTTCTCCCAGCAACTTGACGTTGCAACACCAACATTGTTAGTGGCCGCCCGCATATTCCCACAGCAACCAATTGCTACGACTTGCCATCATCATCAAATTTTATTTTTCTTGCACTATTGAAACAAACAGTTCCGCGTTACAAACTTGTTTTCATGCCTTTAAATGGCATTGAGAAAACCTTTCCGAAACGGTCTATTCCCCAAAACAATCAATTTCAATCAAGAACCAAGTCTTTGGTTGTCATCATCACCGGCTGCTGCCACTTCAAGCATCTCCGAGTGGCTTGTCCGTTTCGAGCTGGACGCAATCGTAGCAATTCGTGTCGCACTGTGGAAAGCTGGGGAATGACTCGCGAGCAACACCAAAATTGCTGGGAAAGTTGCCCCGTCTGGGCGGGCCTTAGAATTTCGAGCAACACCATCTCGCTTGTACAGAAAGTTAAGTGACCATATAACTTTAGGAAATTGTGATTAAAGCCATGCACATTTTGCAGGGACAGGTTGGATATACATCTTGTTATTGTTTATTGGTTTCGTGATCCTGCTATACATTTGTATATTACTGAAGATAAACAATTTTATATGTTACAATTACCCGAGCTGTGCGTTTCAGTACCCTGCATAAAACCTCCACTGTCGTAGCATGTTTCAAAGTTAAGGTTTTTTTAATTTTTTTTCTGCTTTTAGAAGTGAACCTAGAGGACTAACAAGGTGAAATACTAACCTAGTTCTTTTTTTTCTCTTGTGTTCCAAGGTTGCAGGAGGTACAACCAACCACCATTGAGCTGTTTCCTCTGTCCCGTTATGAACAGCCAAAAGTGCAAGATTGCGAACCAAGGAGCATTTTCTGCAAAATGAAAGATTTGAAAAATGTATTTCACCTGGAAGTGCATTTGAACCAACTGTACCACGGTGATCGCATAACTTAAAGGCCGACCAGCAAGCAGAAGGGAGGGAACCCTCCCTCAATTCCTCCTTTCCATTCGAGAAAAAGAGACCCTTTTCCTTTCTGTGGGGAGTAACTCAGAGACCTGCTCCTTTGGAAAAGGAAGGAGGGAATAGAGAGAAGGAACCTGGGAACCGGTCTTCTTGCCAGCAGAAGTCCATTCTGTAGGTCGGCCTTTAAGAAATTTGTAATGACCCATTCTAAGGTGCCGGCAAAGACCAAGATTGCGAGAGTTGGACCTTTGGAGCTATCCTCATTCGAATGTTACAATATTTGAAATTGTTACTATGCTGAGCACAATCAAATCCATTGTTGATAAGGGAGCTCTTGTTGGAGCGCTGCCATATGACATTCTCTTGCCAAGAATTGCTATCGGCCTCGCGCTTGTGTGGAGCTGCAGCCGTCTGGACTTCCAGAGAGACAAATCTTGCTTCCGTTTAAGACCTGCAAGAGAGGGGGTTTTTTTGCATTCACAGATGCGGATCCTTACAGGACAGTCTGCAGACCTAGATATTTTCGGAATGATAAATCAATACAAACACAGGATATGTTCAGAGTAGTTTCTACTTTATGCAACTAGTGAAGTGATGGGGAAGTACACGCGTAAGCCACCGACCATGCACCACCTGGCTATATTGTTTCCGGGTTCGCTATGTGGAGAGTGCAGTCATATGACCCAAGGTTGAGAGCTGATTGGTCTAGGAATTGTGTAGCCTACTTGTCTGTCCTACTAGTGTCTGCATTTGCTTGCGAAATTGAACCTTGTGTCTTTTTCTTTGAAATGCAAGCACCTCAAACTTGTTCTCTTGTGTAAATGTTCACTCAGAGTGTTTATGACTGTCTTACATGTTCCCATACTACATGGTTTGCAGTGTTCATTTGTACAAGCTCTTTTAATAATTCCTTGATGACATCTCTACCAGTCCTTGTATTAGTGGCCTTTGTAATTGATATGTATTTTGATGTAGTTCATGCCCCGTTAGGGGTATGCTGTCCTTGTGTCTACCGTAAAATAGCGGCCAAGCGCCCACTTAAACTTTGGAGATAATCGCAAAAAAATGGGGGACGGGTGCTTCTCGAGTCATCAATTTTACATATAAATGTACTGTGCGTATTTTCACAGATCTTACGAATTTGGTAATGGGCGCTTTATGTTAAATAGGCGGATGCGCGGTATTCTACGGTACACATAAAAATAATTAAATAAAATGTATCTGGAAAAAAAAAAAAAAAAAAATCTGAATCTGTACATTTTTCTAAACACTGCAGTCCTGCCCGAAAAAAAAAAAATATATATATATGTATATATTTATATTTTAGCTAATTGGCTTTACTATATAAGAATGTATACTGCAGTCTAGTGCATCACTAGAATCTTTAGAATTCTTTTCTAGGGTGTCATGTGGTTAACTTATTGGGACGTCTTCTAGGAACTCTTGCATATGCTTTCATAAAATCTGCCTACTACATACTTCTTTTTTTATTTCCTGCTCTTGGATAAACAACTTCTTTAAACAATCGTCTGCATTGTCTTCTATGTCCCACTTTCGTTGTTGTAATTTAGAAGGGTGGAGTTCCTGTGTCTACCAAAGATAAATTGCTCCGGGAATTCTAAAGAGCATGCAAGATTCCTACCAGAACTATTGCCAAACATTTTATGGCTGTCTCTGAAAAAAAATGTTTTTATAATTAAGGAGCTTTTGTTGCGGATATTACAGGTGCTGTCCCAAGCATTAAATCGGAGCCGCCTAGCATCGCACTTCGGCATGGCATCCAGAACAGTGAACAATCATTTGGTGGTAAGTGAGTGTTTCTATTATGTGCAGTTGATTAGTGAAACAGGTTTAACTGTAGCAACATAAACCGCAGTTTAGTGAAGATTTCTCAGCTAGGATGTCATGTGATTAACTTTTTAGCTTAGTTTTGAAAACTCTTGTGTATAGTTTTATAAAATTGGCTTACCTACATACCACATTTTTATTTTCCTTTCATCTCCTGCTGTTGGATAAAAAATACTTGGAGCAATCTTGTTGCGATGAGCAGAAGGGTAGAGTTCTTAAATTTACAAAAGATAAATTACGCTGGGAATTCCGAAGAGCATTCGAGTTTCCTTGTGGAAACTATCCTTTCATGCTCACATTTGATAGCTGTCTTTGCAAAAATGTTTTTCATCATTAAGGAGTTTTTTTTTGTAGATATTACAGCTGCTGCCCTAAACGTGAAATTGGAGCTTCCGAGCAATCAAGTTTTGCGTGGCACCCAGATCAGTGAAAAATCACTTGATGGTAAGTGGTCTTTTTTTTTTTTCCTTGAGTGAGCATTTTTTATAAGCAGCGTATCTATTGTTTGCAGTTGGTTGGAGTGTCTGTTATGTGCAATCAGTATTAAACCCTGCTCTTGATGTGCTAAATAAATTTCAAAATGAATATTCTATCCAGCACTCTGCTCGAATGCTTCTGAAGACGAAGACTTGTTTGAAGTGGAAGCCAAAGAACACGACTTCATATGCAGTAAGTGAAATACCTAATATGTGTGTCTGCAAAAAAAGCCAAATATTTACAATATTCTTTTTATTGTAAAAATAAACTGCACCACTGAATGCTCAGTCTCCTCCCAAAGGTATCACTAGCAGTCCAAGCTTCAGTGGGTGCTGAGCCGTTATCTGGTTCAAAAATTTTGAGGGACTCGGAAATTTACGTCGAGAAAATGGGAACCATAGGTAACCTATGCCATTCACCTCTGTACATTTGTAAGCATCGTCGGCCGCCATTTTCTCATTGAAACATTCCAAAGTCGCTTACAACTTATATGAGCGGATAAGGGCAAGCTCCAAACTTTGATATCTGGTTCCAATCACTGGCGCTACGTTTGGGCCGAAATCGAGCGTTCGGCAATGCGTCGATTATTTTGTATGGTAAAAAGATGCCGCAAGTTTCTTTTGTAGACCCTCATACACATAGTTGATGGGTTTCATACTATTTGTAGCTTACTCCTCATTGTAAAAACATCAATCACAAAGCAGGATCTTTGGGTGTCGTTCATCTGAAGTTGATGAGAGGTGAGGGTCGTGTCGGGAAGATGATGTGGCGAAGTGAAGATTGGAGCCAGAGAAAGGAATGTGTATTCAGGCGGCACAAAAGTGGGTCCGGAGCGTTGGCAGCTCGCCTTTAATTATTTCTGAGTGTTCGCGCCTCGTTTTCTAGCTGCGAAGAATCGGTCGAAACAGCAGCCCGGAACTTCAACGAGTGGCTTGACGGCCGAGCCCGTTGCAACGCAGGTATGTGACAAGTCTTCGTGTAATGCTCGTAACACCGAGCATATTTTGACCGCTACAAGTTCGTAGCTACCGAGCTACAAACCGTAAAAAAAAGAAGTGCGGTCTGACAGCACGTGGTTCGTGTAGCGAGCCGCGAAATGGGACGCCACAGACCAGCGTGAGCAGTCGACAAACGGTGCTGGCCGGTTTCTTCACCGTCGAGTCCCTTTTCGTAGACGGTGTAAATAAAGGCAGGCACACTATTTCTGATGACTCCTAATGTACGGTCCCAGGAACGCGGCTCCGACCGACGTGTTTACCGTCCCGTCTCGTCCGTGCATCGAAAGTGGTCCCGAAACGTCAACAAACGACGTCCCCGGAGCTGGCGCGTCGTGCTGTCGGATGTCGCGTCGCGACATTGCGAGGTAGGAAATGGAGGGGCCACACCTGGGGACGCCATAAGCACGCCGGTCGGAGAGCCGCTCCGGGCACTGTAGTTTGAAACTTTCTCGGGCCAAGAGCGAAGATGGAGCATACTTGTGCGCGGAGGTTGCGCACTCCCCGTTTGGCCTTTTGTACGTCGAATCTTTAGTCTGTAAGTGTCCCAAATAGCGTGTTCCAAATAGCGGCCAGGCTCTTTAAATCGACTGCAAAAATCAGTTTCTTAACCTATCGCGTTCCGATTTTGTACAGCGTTGGCCACAGGTGGCGCATTTTTTCTATAAAATTCGCAAAGAGCAAACTTACCTGAAGGAAAAGTAAAAAAAAGAAAAAGGCTTAACTCCAATGGAAACGCAGCGAGGCCACCGGTCTTCAAACTATAGGGCGCCCTATGGTTTGAAGACCGGTGGCACAGAGATGAAGAAGATGGCACAGAGCTCAAATCAGCTCTGTGCCATCTTTTTGCTTGTAATAAAGGTTTTTTTTTTCATTGAACACGACTTACATATATTTGTTTGAATCCCTCAGAGCACCTAGTGTAACTTCTACTCCTTGCTTCGTAATGCAGCTAAGGCTACCAGATGGCGCATGTTTTGGGTCACTTATATCATGGAGTTTTGACTATGTTATTCAGCTTCTAGGGTACAAAACATGCGCACCACCCCCGAGGAAAGTGTACTTTGGGGAAAGGTACTGCAAGAAAGGCTGCTTAGACCGTGTAGTAAAGTATGCTGCATCTGGCAATAAAATGTTTTTGTTTTTTTACACTTTCATTGCATCAAGTGCAGTTTACGAAGCAAAATGTGCCTCCTAGGGGGTTTTAAGTTCTTGCACCAATTTGTTCTAGACTTTGACTTTGTTAAAAAATGCTAGACTTTGTTCTAGCATCTGTGCCATCTAGAGGCCACTGCATCACTTATTCGAGGTCGCCAAATTTTAGTTGCTCATTTCAAGCACATATCGGACACGAGCGCTGCATCACATTTCAACATGGACTTTGCTCCAGTGATTGCAGTCGCGTGCGCTTGGCTTCGGACTCCGCTTGTAGTTCTCAACCACGACCTCCTCTATAATGAGAGGAGGTCATGTTCTCAACATACCAGAAGTAATGGCTCAAGCATCCGCCAGAGTTGTCAGACCGAGTTTTTGGAAAGGGTCTAGGTACACGCATAATTCACTCTTCGGTCATAGACTGAAGTCGATAGGAAGGGAACGATGTGGCTCCGGATGATGCGATGAATTCAGTAATCTGAAAACAACGGCCATCGCATGGTTTAGTCAAAATGTCCCTTCGAAGTTTGTTTGTAGCTCAAGTGGAAGAAACTGCATAGGGTCAAGCAAAGAAGCGCCTCACACTGCCCACACTGTCTCATACTTTTCCAAACAAGTGCAAGTCGACGCGCAGAAGTCCGGCATGGAGTGAAAGCGGATTGTTGCCTGAATTCTCGGTCGGGGTGCAGCAGCTGCTGAAGGGTGCTCCTCTCCCTGAGGCAATACTTGGCAATCTCCGTCGTCAAATGCGGCAAGAGCTCATCTCATTTCTAGAGTGAGTAACCAATGGCCACACGCTTCGTCGAAATGGACTGGTGCATCTCAGGCTCGTTTTCTTTACGCGTGAGAAAGTTCTTTCATGTTATTGTAAGCGCAGAAAGCTGTACGTCTGCCTGAAGGCGCCCTAGCGACGGGGATAAAATTTACTCGCGGGTATTTCGAAACCCGAGTCAAAACTGAAAAACTGTTTTGTAAAATTGTCTACGAACTACACGAGGTGTGCTGTCGAGAAGACAGGTGGTGTCTTCTGCCATTGTAGTACATTATCTCCCGTTATTGTGGAGTTTCAAAAATTGGTTTCGACCGCTTCGCGAGCGTCAATTTAGGAGGTAGCAACTCCCACTCAACATTTTCTCCCCTCATAAAGCCGTTAAGAACTCTTCCGAACGAGCTTCAAGATGTTTCGAGACGGGCATCGAAGCCGGAATACGGGCTGGTCCACATTATTGCTCTAAAGTGGGAGCGACTGCGTCGAAACCGCTCGTAACCGCCCACAAGAAGAACAGACGCGAGAACACATCGACGCCATCTGTCGGGCAGCTTTGGAACACTTCCGATCTGCTTATACCTCACGCTTCGTTCTTCTACCGTGTGCTCGAAATAATTCCGCCCATCTTATAAACAATCATTTCTCATAGATACTGCATGGACTCGATTTCGCAAATACTGCAAAACTTTGGGTGTAGTTTAATGCCGACAACGGAAGTGTGCCTGATATGGTCGCTGCCAACGTAAGAATGGCATGTCACTTCTTTCGGATGCCTCCGGCATCCGCTCGTTGCCTCTGCTCGTGGTTTGGTTTTGCGTGCACGGTCGAGGCTCATGGGATGCCGAACCGTTATTGAAGGTCTCGCGCTAGAGGCGGGACAACTGAAGCTCGTCTTTGCCGTCCTCGTCCCGTCAGTCACCATAAATGACGGCAGTGTGCCAGTCCGTTCTCTCGTCGCGAGCAGTTACGAGCCAGGGGGCTAAAGACTGAGCAGTACTCGGCAAATCTGAGTGCCGACATTGGTGGCGCCGAGAGAAGGAACGAGAAAGAGGACGACGGTAGAGCGGAGGCAGGTTAGGCGCATTTGTTTTGCCACAACGGCTTAGAGTTGCCCGAGTGCTTGTCAACTTCACTTTTTTATATAATTCGCAATGCCGGTATTTTCTTGCAAAGTAAGCCGGAAAGCAGCTACATACATACCTTACAAGCAATGTTTTGCTGCCTTTACGCATATATTAAGGCGTCGCCAGCGATGTGGGCTCATCAGAATCGCCCATTGGGACCATCGATCTCCGCCTCTATGCCCCGCCATTCCAAAGCGGCCGCAGTGCAGGGGACCTATCCCTCTAGATTATTATATGAAATCTATGTTATGAGCGGTTGCAACGCAGTCGATCGGATTCGAACGTAGACACGTGAACTGGCCTTTGGCGTGCACTGGACTGAAACGGTTTCTTTCCACCCAGCGATCACAACTTGCTCCAGGAAGGAACGAGCGGAACTCTCAGGTGGCAGTACAGCGACCTGGGCAAGTGCCTCGCCACCAAATATCCCAAGCTGCTCTGGGACCCCCCCAGGGAGGGCGGCGAAAGACGCGTGGAAGTCTGGGTAGGCACCGGTCCCAGCTTTGGCTGGGACTGCTCGGGCTCTTTCTGGACTCTGTTCAGGGCCACCCGTCGTTCGCGTAGTGCCCCACTCTGTTTTACCTTACGGCCGACCGCGGCGGATGATACGAGCTGTCGAAGCCAATCCAAGGCCGTTTGAGTGTCCCGTGGCCTCGGAGAGCGGGTGCAACGACGTGTGGGGAGCGTGTCACGTGTTCTCGGAGCTGTATTGGCTGGGACGGCTCGTAGCATCCACCGCAGTTGGTCGTAAGGTGAAATAAGTAGAGGACATTAGACCTGTTAGGGAAATGCGGAGTCTTAGGTGTGCAATTGCCATACAGCATTTAGAATTGCTTTGGAGCTACAGCTGCAGAAGAGATTCTCGTGTCACGAGGCAGAACGAGCTGGAATTTTATTACCATTTTTAGGAATTTCTTTTAGTAGACGAGCATATTTATTTTCAGTTTCGTTGATCCCTTAAGGCGCGTTCACACCGGCGCTGTAAAGCAGTCGCGCAATTTAACTAGGTTGCGTCGCAAAAAAATTTGATGGTCGCAGTGGTGAGTGCGATGAGCGAGTCGCTTCTCGAACCGGGACTTTCACTCTAACACACCAGCAAGGGGCAAGCGCCGCTACCGCTCTCCCCTCTACTCTCTCGCTCTCAAAATAGTGCTACTCAAGTTAAAACGGTCTATAGTGAGAGCTTAAGGGGGCCCTGCAATCATATTTCGGCGTCTACCTTTTTCGCGGTTTCCACGTCTCTTGGGGTTCGGGCAAGCCAGCTACCATGGAGAGAGTAACTAAATATCAGTGCGTCATATTTTAACCGGACGACGTGGAAACCTCCTCCACCTATGCGGGCGACCCGCTGTGCCAAAAGCGCGCAATATGTGACGACATTGTAACGTTTTTGGTCCTGGCCTTACTGCTGGTCAGAGCCGCTAAAAGCTTTTTTTTTTTAGTCGAAATACAAAATATAAGTGGGCAAACCATTTCAATTATATATGAAATTAGTTTTTGTTCAGTATTTTAGATCAGAAAAGAAACAAATGCAGTTTATAAAGTACGGAAATAAGAAATGACCCGTCGACATACCCGCCACCAAGCAGTGGGAAAGGCGTCACATACTAGAAAGGTGTAGTGGCATCACGCACCGACAAGCGGCGAGCGTAAAAATATCCCGGATGTACGCAGTGGCGCTGCGGTCGAGGATCCGACCAGTTCCGAGCGTTCCAAAGGTCTTTGGCTGCTTCGGCGAGCAGGTTTAGCGGTATGGCAGCGCGAAGTGGCTCCCGTTCTGAACTGATCTTTACCCCGTGTTTGGTGTCGTTTGTGGCCAATGAAGTGTTATGCCGAAGTGGTGTTTAATTGCGAAGCAAATGCAATGCGAGCCTCTTAGGCCACCCGCTTCATCCAGCCTATCCTGCACATGCTTTAGTCGCGCCCTCTCGAGAAGTCGACACGGAGTGCGGCAGCCGTGAGCGCTCCCTGAGCTCACTACTCCTTCTCTAGTTCACGACCACTCAAGCCAGGGCCAAGTATGGCAGGAAGGAGGTTAGTTTTTTGCTTGTTTTTGTAATTTTTGATTTGCTTATAACTTTTAGAACAAAGCGAAACTCTAGAAAATTTTTATTAAGTTACTACGTTCAGTGCGCTCAGGTTCAGTGAAAATTAAAAACCAGTCAAAAAGTTGTTGCAGGGCCCCCTTAAAAAGCAACTCCAGTGATTATTTTCGAATTTGGAATTACGGTTGTTTTTCGGCTTAGTAAGTGTCCTTGAATTACAAAGTGTATATATAGTTTTTTTCTTTTTTTTTCTTAGATTTTTTTTGTTTTTTTTATATGTCATGGCTCAAAGTTTGGTTTCTGCAGCATTTACGGAAAAACGGAAACTAGGGACGGGCAACACTAATCATCAGCTTTACGGCCGCAACGTGATGTCACGGGGGTTCTGCTGGCTCGATCGCACTTGCGAATTCGTGGGAAAATCGGCACCGGGAGGGGAAATCCCCTCGCCGGCAACTGAATATTTGTTCGCACAGAGAAGTTCACACGCCGCCGCAACAAATCGGAACAGACAAAGGAATTGGCGCTTGCTGGCGTCACATCCTGGCCAAGTTGGCCGAGTTGTTGGGGTTGCCGCCAGAGTTGGCGGCGTATCGCTGCTATCGTCGTGTCGGCAGTATTATTCAACCCTGTTTGACAAGACTAGGGGTGTCGCGAACTTTTGTCGAACCGGATTTTTAGGTCGAACTTTCAGGGTTCGACTGGGTCGAACCGGTTCGACGAACCTTCGAACTTTTCACCAGATACGAACGGTTCGACTTTATGGACATTGTGGCCAGACCTTGATACAAGCATGTCTAGGTTTGGAGAATTTTTTTTTTGTATGCAATGGGCTATTTTATTTTATAAACAGTTGCAATTAAAAGAAATCAATTCTTATCACTGAAGAAGTTAATAACTTAATTTTTTTGTACTGAATTAACTGAAAGAACCAATCAGCGCTGCCCTTGATTCATTCCTTAGCCATCACTATCCAATCCGAAGCCAACTGGCCTGCCTGTCGCGCATGCGCACTCGAGTCGAACCTCAATACAAGGTTCGCCGAACTTTTCACTAAAGGTTCGAAAAAGTCGAACCTGGTCGAACTCGAACCGCGGCCGGTTCGCGACACCCCTAGACAAGACGCATCCGAGCTACTGAGGCACTTTCCAGAAACAAGATAATAGGTGGAATAAAATTGGCGTGAGCAGTACGTACGCACATTCTCTCCGTTTGCTCACTCTTTTATTATTGCCTTCTCGTATCGCCGACAGAATGTTGGTCATTTTCTCGGCACTGCGGGACAGTGTTAACTGAAAGAGGAAGTCTGCGAGAGCGTTTTTTCGAACATCACTCGAGCCAGGGGCAGTCTTCTCCGATATCCGCAAGGGAACGGAGCCGCGCGAACGTGACGGGTGGTAACAAATGTGAATGGCGCCGTCTTTTTCCACCCAGAAAATTCGGTGGGCGGTAATAGAGTTTTTTGCAAGTGTGAACGCGGCCGTACGCTGTACAACGTGCGGAATGAACCGCAGCACCTCGGTGACGTGACGTCACGGGGGCGCTGTGGTACACGTGGCCTAGTGTCACTGACTAAAAGCAAACCCGCTTGCCACCCGCTAAAGAGCAGCTGGTCGCATATATCTAAAGACCGACGACCGGTTCGCGCTTGCCGCTTTTCCCCCGCTTCCTCCTCTCCGCCTTCTACCCTGTCCACCGTTGCCTGTTTCCCCCTCCCCCAGGTGAGGAGGATCTTCTGCCTTGCAGAACTCGTGTCTGGTCGTCGGCCTTTAAGATCAGTTTTAGTGAAGTACGCGGCTTCACTTCGACGTAATATATTTCGGCTGCGATCATATTTCTTGTCGCTAAAGCGATACCAGTAATTTATTTTGGTTTTGTTTTCGACCGTGGTCGCCCTTTAAGAAACATAGCCCGTAGTGAACCCCACGTGTTTTATGATCGCTCCTCAGTCAACCAGATTGCAGGATAAGCCGACAAGAAAGCGAAAGAAAAAAATTCCGAAGCAAGAGGCGTGAAGCCCACATTTTTGTAGTTGTCAGTGGCTGCTGCTTGGATGTGCATCGTTAGCGTGCAGTAGTGATGCACGTCATTGGTACAAGCAAAAGCTTTCGGAGTCGAGCGGCTCTAAATTGAGGAACAATCAAATTTTAGACAGTCGATTCGATTCGGACATTGAGAGACTTTTACCATTGCGTAACTACACTACATCACATTTGCAGTCGTGCTGGGGTCGGCAACCTTGTTAGTTTTCATGCACTTCTTTTTTTCTTTTTTTTTTTGCTGTAAGACTTGCAACGTTTTCTTCTAATTTTCTTTGAGTTCGTAGTTAGGTTTTTGCGGATAAATCTCGACGTGTGTCGTCTGCCTTTTGTTTCCAGTCCACGTTTATGAGACGCCTCTCGGCAACACGGAGGAGCAGGAGGAAGACGCTCAAGGGCGACCGGTCAACAGACTCGCCCTAGGAAAGCGTCCGAATCATTCTTGGATCGACCGTGCCTCTTAATACATTCACATCATCGTGTCCAAGCATCGAAGCTTTCTTTATTGACACTGCCGCAAGCTGCTGCGCATTTAGTTGGAATCCGATTCCGAGAAAAAAATATTCTAAGGGCTTTTCCCACTGTTTTGAAAGAACAATGCCCATCCGCGCAATATGTGCCTGTCAACTTGGTGTTGATGGTGCCTGAATAGGCAACAAACAATGCAAGAATATAGAAGCTAGTCCACTGTGGCACAGTCTCAAGTTTCCAGCTCTGTTTAGAAGAAATTACCAGTGATCCTTATCTTCAAGGTACCGTAATAAGTGGAACGAAGCATTTAAGAAGTGATCGTGTAAATTTGTTTTGAAAATATGAAGCAGTCGTTTCGGACACCGTGACGTCAATTTTCTCGGTAAATTCGACGGGGAAATTGACGTCGTCGTTTTAAGACATGTGACACGCGGTACCATGACATCACGTGACATCAATTTTCCCGCTAAATTTAGACAGAAATTGCATGGATGGATGAGAAAAATTCTGGGATTAGGGGTTTATTCATTTTATACTCGAAAAAACGGGTGCCTTTTGTGTGCTTTGCAAGTGTTGTTTTTTATTATTATTATTAATATTATTATTATTATTATTCTTTTTTTTTTTTTGCATTAGCGTGTTGAAACAGAAATCTTTTCCAGACATGTGCAAATATATTTGAACTTTTAGAAATCCGAATGACCTTGCTTTTGGCTTTCGACTTTGAATAGTAGTGTACCCCGAGTTCTCTGCAGGGGAAGTGGAATGCGTGTGCTTGATCATGCCTGCCAGTTCACGAACGCTATGCATAGCCAATGAACGAAGTGCAATCAAACTTCTCACAAAGGTGTCTTAGGTGGTGCATTTATCACGCTTAAATTTCGTGTGTGTAGTTTACTGGATTTTCCATGCAACCTTGCTCCGTTGAGTGGGCTTTCCCTTCAGCACGGGTGCACTAGGAGAAGCAACAGTCGCGGCGTCTACTCCTCTGCCGTGGCGGCAAGACATCCAACTTCCCCACGGGGCCACAAGAAAATATATAAAGTGCAAGTATGGATCTATTTTTTCCGCGAAAGGACAGTTTTCTTTATTTACCTAAAATGAAGAAAAAAAAATAATGATTAGGTAGGTTTTTTCTTACCCACCTCCCACGGTGAAGCTATTTGATCAGGCTAACACTGCACACGTATTCGCCGACACCGCGTTTCCGCTCCGGTTTGTAGCAAAAAGCACCGATAAATGAACGCCGCACATTTTTAACATCAACAAGGGGAAAAAAACAATTTAAACGTTTTTTTGTCGTTTCGAATTTTTATTTTTGTTACTCGAATAAGTAGTCGGAGCTGATGAAAAGTTTGACAACGGTCCTGTTAATGCCGTCTTTTTGAGGAAATATCAGAAAGTCGCAACAAGTCTGATAAATAATCCCCGCACTTTCGCCCCGAAAAAAATAAATAAATAAACGGTGAAATGCGTGTTTTCATACCCCTAAGCCTATTTACCCTATATGCCAGTTGCGTAGCCTGGGAAAGAGCTGATGGGGTTCTGCACCACTGCTATAAATACTATCATAATATTTCTTTTATTTATTATTTATTTATTTATTTAAACATTTTAAACGGCAAACGCGCGAAATAAAAAAAGACATTTTTCTGATTATTGTTTTTCTTCCTCCCTAGGAAGGAAAGCCCTTCTCCGCATGCGCAGAACTCTTCTTGAGAAAACGCGCAACGACCTCTGCCTTTAGTTCTATAATGCATTATAAGGATTTGGTGAGAGAATTGGTGTGTCACGTGACGTACAGTTTCCTGCTAAATTTAGCGGGGAAGCTGGAATGGTGTCTAGGTCACAAGACGTGAATTATCCCGCTAAATCTAGCGGGGAAACTGAGTTAACGTATAGGTAACGTGCCGTCAATTTCCCCAAGGTGTAAGTATAGGTGAAGTGACGCCATTTTCCCGCTAAATTTAGCGGAAAATACACGCACAGACGGACGGATGGACGGACACATTTTTGGGATTGGGGGGTAGCGTTATAAAGAGCATTTCATGCTTTAAATTTCGTCCCATCGTAAATGGTCTCCATTTCGTTCCATCGTAAACTTATCTAAAATCTCGCGATAGACGCCATACATCACAATGGTCTTGGGCAGGTGGTAGTGCGCCTAAGGTTTGAGAGCCTCCAAATGAGATTGGAATCACGTGGTTCGAAAGCGTTGGTCGTCTGCAATCGTCTCCGCCCCGCTTAGTCTCTCTTCCTCCTCGCCACTCACTAAAGCAAGAACTCGCGGATTCGCGAGAGGATCCGCGCAGGCGGAAAGTAGATTTTGGTGCCGGGTGCCGAAATCGACTCGTCGCTGGCAGAAAATCTGGTTATGGGTCCTTTGGCCGAGAACACAGAGCAGCGAGAGAAAAAAGGAAAGGGAGGAGAGAAAGCCGCGTGATTGGTCCTTATAGTCACGTGGTACACGCCCCGGCTGTTCCCATGTTGTGTGGGCCGTCACCCCCCGCAAGCCTCGCGCCGCGAGCAGGCGCGCGTCCCGGACCATTTTCCGCCAGCGACGAGGCGATTTCGTCACCCGGCTCCGAAATCCGCTTTCCGCTCGCGCGGATCCTCCTCGGAATTCGCAAGTGTAAGGGCGCCGTAAAAGATGGACGAGGCAGTGAGCGACACCGGTAGGTGGACAGTACAACAACGGGAAGTGTTTTTATTATTGTACTTTGGACGTCTCGCTGTACACAAATAGTTCTACGCTCGCATCGCAGATATGTGGTGGTGCTGCAAACACACTGAGCTGCCTGCTCGGGCTAATACTTTCTCCCCTCTCTCCGACGACCGCCGATGGTCGAGGCGGCCTAGGACTCCTTCACCTTCGTCGGCGTCTCACGACTCTGCGGGAAAAAGTTAACGGAAAACAACACAGGTTGTTCAGGGCGGAGGAAGAGTCAGTCAAACCGTTTATTATGGTGTCCAGGAACAACATATCAATCTCCGTGCTCGCACACTTCGAAATAAATAAATAAAACACTTTCACACGCACATAAAGAACTCGTGCTCCACATGTCTCACAGAAACATAGCAGATTCAGAGGGCAGTTCAAACTCCAAGATAAACGTAGCTAGGTCACAAAAAATATACGCGAACGAGGCATTTATGCTTATCAATATTGCACTGACTTATAGGTACTTTTCAGCCCTTTTTCAGAATGAGCACGTTTCGGACGGAGTTCTTAATGCAGCTCGATAAGCCTAATAATAATTAATAATAATGAGCTTTATTCTGGCGGTTACGATAAGGGACACAAGAAAAAAAGTGCAGCTTGACAAGCCCTCGGGCCCCTACAGTGGTCAACAACAAACAAATACACAGACACACACACACATATATATATACGCACACAGAAGCTAAGGTTTAAAAACATTATCATACACTTATGATTGAAGTCGATATTCAACTAGGATCAAGTTCTTGCGCAATACGAATCTCATCTATAGCGGTCTGTTTCGAAATTTCTCAACTTTTTGCTGTTCTTTTTTATTTTGTTATTTATTTACTAACTTTTTTTGCAAAAAGAAAAAAAAAAGATTGTGGATACTGAATGCCTTTTTAATTTCCTTCAGGGGGTGTATATTGCCACCCAACTGAGCGGTATCTCCCTTCCATTAGAAAGGAGGGAGTGACTGGACTTCAAGAACGCCCTATTTACTCCCTGTGAAAAGAGCGGAGTTTCCGAGGCTACCTAATAAGCACTCTTCCGTTCGATATGCCGTAGATAGCATTTTGGTCTGGAATGCCAAAAATATCTGTTCACCTTGGGCACAGTTTAGTTTAATTTTTATATGTATATTAAAAAAAAAAAAAATATTGTGGGCATCCTGAAAAAAAAAAAAAATTCAATTTATAATTTTTCTTTTTAAAGTTATGGTTGCCCCGTTTGACCCTTTTTCGTGACGTTGTAGTGACGCTCTCAGAATGGAGTAATCCACATGCTAATTGAATTTAGAACGTTTATTTGGTTTTAAAAAAATTTCGAGAAAAGGCTCTTTGACAATATCTGGCAAAGTTTGGCCAGTTCTTCCGTATGACCTATCTTAGGTTCATTATTAATATTTAGGTCAGCTAAGAGTAGAGAATTGATCAACACTTTCTGTTAATTTTAGAATGGATACTCTGTGAAGGGAAGAGCATTTATCTGAACAGTATATATTGAATATTGCTTTCCATATATTGTATTACTTCTGTCTCTATTGACTCCGACTGTAGTCACACTCCGATTGTATGTTGCAAGGTTTTCCTTTTTTTTTCCCCAAGCACGGCCGAAACTGCTGATTCAGCCGAATACGCAGAAGCGCTTCCCTCCCTCCCGTATCCTACTCCCGTCAAGGGAGAAGGGCGAGGTGAGCCGCTAAAGATGCATTGGCGTGACACAAAGGCGGGGGAGGAAAAGTAGAACAAAAATCGATAAAGAAAGAGCCCCCACCGATCTCTCCGCCCTGCTGTCGTCTGCTTCCGATATCACCATCGTCTGCAAAAGAATAATAAAAAAAAAAAATTGAATAAAAAGGCTGTATTAAAATATCGTAAAAATAATTGCGGGAAAAAAATCAATATAGAACTACGGAAAGAACTGCTGATGAATTGTTCGCAGAGCATTTTCAATAAGCTACAAATGAAAAGTAATAAAGATATTCTGGTGTTGCGACGTAAACGCCAGAAGTCGAAAGTACATGCATGGAGCAAGTAAATAGCGAAGCTTCCCGATTTACCCAGTCTCCCGTTTCGAGCCCACAGTCAATTAGGCTATAAACAGCAGAGCTCTATATTTAGAAACAGCTAGGAGTGGGCAGGGAGCATGGTACGTTTGCCACAACCGCTAGACGTCGTTATCGCGCTACGTCTCGCCAGTCTACCTGTCAGTAAACCGCGACGTTCCTCAAGATTACGGCACATCCCTCAGTGACAGAGGGGACTTTTTTCCCCCTAAAACGAACATTCGCTTACGACGAATGAAACGCATGCGCTTCGACGAGAAAGCTCTTTGTTGCGAAACCGGCAGCGGGGTTACGCGTGAGGGCGCGGTGTACCTAGGCATGGGCGAAACGCCTTCTGTCCAAGCGCGGACGGTAGGCTAAGGAGCGTTTCAGCTCACCCTGTGGTTTGCCGAAGACAGACTGGCCACGGTGGCCCTGACAAGGGCCCCGAGGTTCTGCACGAAGAGCACGAACTCGACGCACATGGCAACGCCCGGAGGACCGCTCCTGTCGTCGACGGGACTGCTCGGACGAGACTGGTCCTCGGCGGCGGCGCCCGTCGCCCCGATTTCTGAGACGCAGTGCGCCGTTGTATCGATCGGGCCCACCGCGCAGCTCCCGGGCCGGGATCGTCTGACCCGGGGGGGCCACGGCCGGAGCCCCGGACTCGTGCAACGCCCAAGGGAGTTCTCCTTACCTCTCCCATCGTACGACCACCTCCTCGTTTTCCCGCGCTCCAGGTCACGCGATCACTGTTGAACCGCCGCTCTGTCGCGCGGTTCGCGGAAATTGATATTTTATGTAGTATTCGTTATCGGACGTATCCCTATATGCCCCTCATTTCGGGGATTGTGGCGCGTGTCCGGAATTTTCGTTTAAGTTGCAGATCGAGATAGTTGTTGGGGATGTGGAGTAAATAAATGGTTAAATAAATTGCTAAGAAAGAAAAGGTAAAATTGGGCGATTTATGTTCATTAAGATGCGCCTCAGAGAAACGGCGACGAGCTCTCTGTGCCGTCTTGTCTTCCTTGATCATGATGTAGAAAACCCGAGACTGTGGTAAAAGCGGGGAAACTTGGTCGGGGAACAAAGACAGGGGAAAAAAACGTCTGACGTTCTTTTCCTCTGTCTTTCTTCTTCGACCAAGTTTCCCAGCTTTTACCACAGTCTCGGGTTTTCTACATCATGACCAACATCCACCAGCTCGCCTGCGCACTCACTGTTCTTTCTTTCATCTGAATACGATGAGTGACTCTAGGAGCGTGCAAAATACAATGTGCTTCCGAATACGCAGTTATATTCTTGCTTATAAATATGTAAAAAATCATTCGATAGCACGCAGGCTTCCCCGTTTTTCCTCCTTTCTGAAAAGAACCTTTTTTTACGCGGAAATTATTATTAAGAAAGAATAAACAATTAAAACAGGGACAACACAACCACATCTTTCAACTAGCAACAGACGAGTCTGTTGCTAGTTGAAAGATGTGGCTGTGTTGTCCCTGTTTTAATTGTTTATTCTTTCTTCATCCTTGACCACGCTCTTCTACCAAGCAAATTATTATTGCTTTTAGCTATTAAAACAAATTATGCTAATAATATTGTTTATTGTGTGTGTGTTTGTACGTGTGTGTGTTGATTAACCCGCAGCAGAGCGACCACACATTCCTTCGACTTACTCAACCCCTCACAACAAGGCCGAAAAAAAAAAAAAAAAAAAAACTTTACATATAATACAAGACCGTCGGTGGTGAAACCGCTCAGTCACTTCTTTCATCTAAGATACGTTGTCTAAAGCGGATCTTTTTTTCTTTCGAACTGAAAGTGTACGAGCTGATATGGGATGAATCAGACAGGGTCAAAAGCGAACCATCCTGTTTCACGAAAAAATAGAGTGCAGGCGAGCTGGTGTAAGTTGAACATGATTGTAAACCTGAGACTGGGGCAGAAAGAAAACACAACAGGAAATAGTAAAAGAGGAGGCAACGGAGACGTTGCCTCCTCTTTTACTACCTTCTGTTGTGTTCTCTTTCTGCCCCAGTCTCAGGTTTACAATCATGTTCATCCTGTTTCAGTAAGTGTTTTATCATCGCTGAACCATTCAGGAGTGGAGAGCTCCTCCCACTCTCTCCACCTGAGCAGAGCGAACACTGGCAAGGAGGTCGCCTCCTCTCCAGCGTTCGCTCTGCTACAGTGAGCAGGGGTGGGAGTGTATTCTGCTTTTAACGCTGCTTGGTTGGTCCGATTACCTTGTAGCGACGGCGAGGTATAGTTGTCAAATTTAGGAGGGGAATTGCAAACACAAGCAAGCTTGCTGTGTTACGCGCTTCAAATTTTTAGCTTTTTTTTTTTTTATTTTTCTGTTTTGCAAACGTCTAAAATTTAAAAAAAAAAAAAAAAGCGTCGCGCTGGTTTTTTTTTTTTTTTGGTTTTGCTGCCCGTCTGCGCACCCACCGAGGACGCTCTGCCGGGATAGGATGACGCGACTCGTGGGCGGGATTTCTGGCACTTTTTGAACTGTAAATTTGACCAAAAGGCGAAAAATTATCGCTGGTATCTCGAAGAACGTTGGCAAAAATGCTTTAAATTGGTTTCTTGTTCCATCATAACCCGTCAATACCGCTTCTTACAACGTGACCCATTTAACCGATAATTAAAAAAAAAAAAAAAGTTCTTGAATCCCCCGAAACTAAAGTCAAGCACTGCCAAAGCGCGCTGGCCAACGGCGTCGCGTCGCTGGCAGGCTGGTCGTCAACTATCTTGTGCTACATTGTCGGGGCTAGTGTGCACTCCAGCCAGAGCACCTGACTTCGTCGTGTGCTCCTTGTGCGCTCGCAAAAATAGGTCTGACAGAGTTGGAGTAGGCGGCGACGAAACAACGGCAAGGACGGGCCACGGGCGTCGAGCTTAGGCGTGTTTGCCGCTTGGGGCGTGTCGGAGATTCACCATCGATGACGTCATGCGCGGACCTCGTCTTCTACGAGCTGAAATATGCCGACGCTTCGCCGGCATCGTACTTTTTAACGCGAAAGGCGTAACTGTCTCATGGAGCGAGCTGACGTCATCAGTCTGGAGCGCGAAAGCGACACCTTCGGTTCCGTTGGCTGGCGCGCGTCGACGGGGCTCCCACTGGCCGCTGCGCTCGTCAGTTTCCACGACCGCTCACCCCATGGCGCTGCGTGTCCATCAGTGCGCCGTTAACAGGGAGCGTCCAAGGTCACCAGGGGAGGACGCGCGCCGACCGGCGACGAAAAGTACGCGGCAGACGATATAAGGGCGGTTTGCATGCTTTTGCATTCACAACTCATAAGGAATGCTTAGGTGTACCTCGAGCTTTTCTTCAGGTAGATCCAAGAGGATTTCATCAAAACCATTAAACTCGTCGGTGAGGACGGGCGAAGGAGGGACAACGTGTGTATGTCAACTCAAATTATGCACTTCCTTCAGCTCCTCAAAAATGAATAAACTGGAACACGTGTGGGTACTGTACTCGCAAAAGGCTGGTTCGTGTTTTTTTATTTACTTATACAATTATTTATAAACATATTTATTCAGTTTTTACATATATTTATTTACTATCAACTCATTTATAATTACTTATTAATAAATTCAGTTATTCATTACTTAATTTATTGTCTTCTTTCTACATCTAATATTTTATTGATTCGTCTATTATTTTATTTATGAAGATATTTATTTATACAGTTATTTATGTATATGTATTTAATAATTTATAAAAAAAAGTAATAATGATCTTTTGATGTGTCCGCTAACAGCTCAAGGCCTGCTATGTGATACACAACAAATATAACGCAACCACTAATCTCTACCGCAAAAAAAAAAAAAGAAAAAGAAAATACGCACACGTACATATATTTGACTGGCAAGTAATATGGCATCGAAATTACGACGAAATGTTGCTGCATCATAAAATGTTTCAAGGTGGGGACAATTACACTCGTTAAATGCAAGTTATATTCTTAAAATATATGTGGTTAAGCCATAGAGTGCAACTGCAACAGAGGGAGCTCAACAAGGCAGGTAAAACGCCGTCCATCATACAATGCATTTTTTTTTTTATTTCACATACTATCAGTTCTACCGTAGGACTATAATAGGTGTGGGTTAATAAATTATGCATAAAAACAACTATACAACACATCACCACTCAGCTATTACAGCAATACCACAAAGTTCAAACATTCAGCGACCGTGACACAAGTAAAACAATACTAGGAATACAGTGAATCATCATTGTACATACCCGTTCGAGTGTAAAACGAAGATAATTTATTACTTTATGAATTTATTACTTTAATGTATTTCTTCATTTATAAATGTATTATTTCTCTTATATAATTATTTTATTTACAAATGTATCGTTTTATTATACATTTGTTTATAGTTATCTTTAAATTTCATAATGTATTTATACATTTATATTAAAAAGCCACTGAAAAGAAAAAAAAACAATTTTTTTATGCAGTCTGGTTGGGACATGCGTGTCAAAAAAAATTAATTCTACTCGAAAAAAAAAAAAAAGAAAAAAAAAAGAGCAATTTCGGTTGCGCAAGGCGCGATTTGGTGCGTAGTCACCTTCTTTCCACTTGTTTTCTTTCTCGGCCTTTTGGGCGCGTGGAGGAGAGGTGGATCGGCTTGGCCATCACGTTGATGTGGAGAGAGTGTACGACCATCTCGTAGTGGTGGAGAGAGGGCATGACCATCCCGTTGATGTGGAAAGGGTGTATGACCATTCCGTGACGTCGTGAACTTTGCGCGCAGAATTCAAAATAACTCTCGCGCCGTCAGTATTGCTCTCCATTACTTTTTCTCCGTAAAATCAATTTCCCCGATCCCGGGCAGCTCCCTCTCCTTGGCCTGTCCTCGTTTCCCCGTCTTCCCCTTCTTCCCAACATTCCTCAGTCACCTCGGCAAGAGGAATCCTCCGCCGCGGAAAAGGGGCGAGGGACAGGGGACCAAGGACGTCATGAAGGAGACCGTTTTTTTTTTGCTTGTTTTTGTAATTTTGATTTGCCTATAACTTCTAAAATAAAGCGAATTTCGAGAAAATAAAAAAGTTCACTAAGTTACTACGTTCAGTGCGCCCAAGTTCGGTGCAAATAAAAAAAAAAAAAAAAAAACAGTAAAAAAGTGTAAAAAAACATTAACACCTCCAATTTTTTTAATTTTTTTGTTAGGCGATTTATTGAATCAGAGTAGCGATGTGGGCGAGTTGGTTCATGCTTAGAAATAATGGAAACAGCGCGCAAACGACAAGGACGGGAGGAAAAAAAGTACACAGGACGAGCGCTGAACTGACAACTGAATATTTATTGAAAAGGACCCAACGAAGAAAACACCCACAAAAAACACACTCGCATCATCACGTGTCCATGAAAGTAATCTCCTTCTTATGTAAATACACAGAAGTTTGACTCACGCAGTTCTGTTCCCCCTCCTTCTTTATTCCATACGCTTCTGAAATTTAAAACAAAAATTCCTAAACCCTGCAGCCCGAGAAAGCGTCGAGCTTTTTCTGCCGAAACCCTTGAGGAGCGCTTTGATTTTCTTACTCTGCGGGACTTGAGAACTTTTTCTCCGTTTTAAAAATAAATAAGAGTTTGCAGAGATTGTTGTGTCTGTGGCGGGGAGGTTTGATGTCCCTGTCGTGTTTTCGGCGCCTCGTAAGCTGGCACACCTTTGTTCTAAAGTAGCCGAGAGGAGGGGGGGGTGGGAACCAATGCACTGTAAACCACAGAAAGAAGTACGTGGATTGTGCGATCGGAGTGGTGTACAGGATCCCGTTAAGCTGTGGAAGAGTTTACATCGGGCAAACGGGCCGTTGCATAAATGAAAGGGCACGCGAACATGACTGGTCGCTTAGTTCAACAGCAGGAGGGCATTTGCCCCTGCACTGCGGAACATGCAAATGTCATCCTGATTTCAATAAGATCACAATCATGGGGAGGGGAGTAGATAAAACAGCCAGGGAAATTTTAGAAGCGTATGGAATAAAGAAGGAGGGGGAACAGAACTGCGTGAGTCAAACTTCTGTGTATTTACATAAGAAGGAGATTACTTTCATGGACACGTGTTGATGCGAGTGTGTTTTTTGTGGGTGTTTTCTTCGTTGGGTCATTTTCAATAAATATTCAGTTGTCAGTTCAGCGCTCGTCCTGTGTACTCCTTTTCCTCCCGTCCTTGTCGTTTGCGCGCTGTTTCCATTATTTCTAAGCGATTTATTGTGCTGTCAGAAGACTACCCAATCAATATTTTGTTTTAGTGTCACGTATATCTTTAATAAAGTAAAAAAAAAAACAACTGCTCAAGACCGAAACCGAAACTGGACTGAGGAGGAAGAAGAAATGGAGAGGAGGAGAATGTTACCAAAAATCACGTGGCCGTGCAACTTTTTTTTTTTTTTTTTTTCAATCAACGTGTTTGCAGTTTTCTGAGAAGCTACAAAAAAAAAAAATGGGTATCATATTTTTTTTTTCTCCATTTCTAGTATTGAGTGTGTGCCTTCGATGACCCACGACTTTGATTATCTTTGGTGGTTGTTGTGTCTAAGCCCTACGGCCCGTGACCACGGAGAAGAGAGTGAGCGCGACTCAAACCAGCCAGTTCTCGATCGGTGGCTTTTGGGTGGAAAGAAACCGAATTTCGAGCCACAAATTGTTTTCTGTGTAGTTGGGCTCTCATGTCATGTACAAATAAATACCTCGGCGAGCATAAGTACCCTGTCAGTGTCCCTTTAATTTATATATTTAATAATATGTTAATTTATTTATAAATGAGTGTAATAACTCCTAAAAAAATATGGTGATTGAGAGAAAATAAACTTTTTGGGAACAAACTGTCAGTCACGGTGGATGTCGTGGATTGAATGAAAAAAAGACCTAATTAGCCAACTAATGTTCACTAATTAACTTCTTAATTAGCACAGTTTGGTGGCCAGTACAAATGGCAAGCTTGTAGCAGCAGACACAACAATCTCTGCAAACTCTTATTTATTTTTAAAACGGAGAAAAAGTTCTCAAGTCCCGCAGAGTAAGAAAATTAAAGCGCTCCTCAAGGGTTTCGGCAGAAAAAGCTCGACGCTTTCTCGGGCTGCAGGGTTTAGGAATTTTTGTTTTAAATTAATCGTTAAAGAAAGACTATGAAATCATGAATTTGTGAAGTTATTTATAAATGTATATGTACATAATTAAACCTCTTAGCAATTTATTTAGGAATCTATGTATTGAAAAATTTGTGTAATATTTATTTATAAATGTCTTTCTAAATTTATATAAATGTATTTGTTCATTCACTATAAATGAAAAAATGTGGCATTTCACAATGCAACGCTATTTAATGACTGACCAACATAATTCACAGAAATGAACAACTCTGGGCCTCCACACATCAAGGGCTCGATCTTTATTGGCTTGTGGGTACAAGTACAAAAAGAAACGACCCTTGTGACTAGAGTACATGAACTCTAACAGCATTTTGGGTATGACCACACAGGGTTCACCAGGACTGTACAAACATGCAAAATAAATTAGAAGCTTTGCAGCAGTCTGTAGACATGACAATGGCTTTCTGTACAGATGTGGCTGAGACTAAACAACCCCCAAGAAAGGTCCTAAATGCAGCACTCAGGTAAAAAAAAGGTGACCCACCTTACGCGGGGAAAATGACTCGGCAGATTCGGGCCTGCTGCAAACGTCGCACTGGTTCCATCAACGCCAGGGGTGAAATGATGCTTGCATTGCATAACATGTGTCCAAACAAACCCCAGATCAACCTTTGGAGAAACATGACGCGAGCCCTGGAAATTATTTGGCATAAAACATGACTGAACAGACCGCGCTGCAAAAACGACCTCCTGCAAGGTCTTAATAACGAGACAAAAACAATAAAATAATGCGTTGTTGAGAAAAAAAAAACACAAACAATTGCAAACAATCAGATCCTTCAAGTGGTGCAACCAAACTCCACTTAAGATCATGCAACAGCGGAGCATAGATAGATTGTATGAGATTGTGATGCAAGCTCTGCAAAGTGCGCACAGTAATTGTTTGTTCATAGCAACGAGCGTGCCAAAAGCTTTGCAAGCACGTGGCTCTAAGACTACAATGCATTGGCAGCGAGATTCCATTTGCAGTTACATTTGTGGCCCAAAAAGTGACTTGCCACACGACAAGTAACACGCCCGAGCTGCCTCTGTGGTGCTTTCCTTTGTGACCCACTCTTAAAATGAGTGCGAAAATTGAGTATTATTACATTGATGTGTGCAACCGATATACACACATTAGACTAAACAATATTGTATTAAATTGCACACAAGTGAAACAGGAATCGTCATGTTTTAGACAAGGGGCAGTGGCATGTGAGCGACCTCGGAGGCATTCCCACGATTCGCGTGACAATGCTTCCAAGTCTGGAACCAACGTGTTGCGCTCCTGGTTCAGCCTGTTCTCAGCACTCGAATCATAATATCTCCATTGATGCCTCACCTTATCATTGTACCAGACCCACCTAAACTTGCAGAATCGGTAGGAAGTTAGCTAACTGCACGTCTTTCACTGTACATCGCCAGATGTAAAATTTGTTTGACGGGCATTGTCCAGTTGTTACGGATAGAGACCAAATGAGTTTTCCATGCGAGTCAAGTTGTCTTATAGTATTTTTACATGAAAGTGGGTAGCTGCATTCAATTTTCCCTTTTCGATCCCTCAGCAGTTGCACGTCCACTGTCTGGCTGCCCGTGTGAGAGAGCACAGAGAAGTGCGAGACACTCAAAGCCTGTACAGAAGTGAAACTACAAAATTCTCACGGAAGGAAGAGCGCGATGCAACACTGTGGAAAGGTGTCAGTGTGAGGAACACCGTGGGGCATTGTGAAGCACATTTGGAATTCTCAAAGTACCTTGGTCCAAAGTGATAGGAACGCAAATATAAAACATCTCGAGAAGAGTTGGGGAAACAGACGCTGTGGTAGTGCCTGGTGCTGGCACCAAGCGTCGGTACGCGGACATGTCCGACTCGCTACACTTTGCAAAGGTGACTACGTAGCTAACCGTTCAAAAATTCTGCTGATGTGCAAAAAAACAAATGCTGAGATCTTTGGTATGAAACTTCATTGGAAATTTTAAAATGAAGACAACACCGTTGAAAGGTTTTGTACAAAAAATAAGCAAAATTAAAACAATTGCACACATAAAGAGGTGCATGTCACAGAATATGCAGGTGTAAACCTTTTGTTTTATAATGCCACATGACAATGGCTATAATAGAAATGTCATCTCACCTAAGTAGCTGCCTTGGAGCAGCTTCGTTTTGCTTTTTAAAGCTTCGAGGCAGCCATTCTTAAAAGAGATCCTGGCTTTTTTGGTATTTGCGAGGGAACATATACAAAAGCGGTCGACTAACGACAAAAACAAACTTAACAGACTTATCCTTTACGTCTGCAGGTACTTAGAAAACAAAAAAAAAACTCAAATTCCCATATATAGATAAGCAAAGTAGTAAATTAGCTTTCTGCATCGTGGCACAGAGTTCATGTAATTCAACTTAAAAGAAAAATGCTTTTTTTCTCCTTGCCTATCGCAGCAAGATATGCACACTTATGAAAGTCTTAGTTTAAGTGTATAGCTTCAACAATTCAAAATTACTTCCAACACAGGCACTTATACAAACTCCGAACTTTCATACCATACTTCGATAAGATACTCGGATTTTAACTCCCGTCTTTGAGGCAAATCCAATTTCAGTTCTAAACCGAATGCTCGAAGAGCAAGTGACACTGCAAATAGCTCATCTATCGCTTTAGTAACCTACCAATCGGAATCATCTTCCACCTTCCAAAATCAGCTTCCAAAAATGGCCACCGCACAACCCGAACCTGGAGCACAAAAAACAAAAAGTGCTCCCGAAAGCAACGTCGGCACCACAAGAATGGGCCCTTCCCCACCAAGGAGACGGACGCCCGCACGAACAACGAGGCACTGTCCTCGTAAAATGGCTGCAACCCCAACGTTCCTCTCCAACCATTCGTTAGAAACGTGTGTACCGACAACGGTAGAACTACGCCTGCTGGAACGTGTCTCCGACTGGTTTGCTTGATATTCCATCCGCACATTCAAAGCGCCGCCAAGATGGCAACAAATGATGTTACGAAAGCCAGAGTGGCACGCTGTCGGATGTCTTTCGTCCCGGCAGTTGGTCGTAGAAATGCTGGAGAGACGCACGAGCAAACGTAAGCGTTGCCGTCGTCGAGGCGTCCCGTCCCGTGGCTGCTGAAGGATCCATGGACCGGAGAGCCGGAGAGCGACCCTCAGCAGAACGAGCGTCTGCCGCGCCCACTGTCGCTGCGACACCGTCAGGATCCCAGCCTGCGACGACGTGACACTCGAGGGATCGGTTGAGCGTCGCAATCGAGGGGCCACTTTTTTAACGCGGTAAGCGCGCCGGTCGGAGCCGCGTTCCGGGCATCGCAGTAGAACCACCCCGAGATGCCGGCGGCGAAGCCGAGAAACGTCGACCCCTCAGGCACTGGACTCCTTGAGCGAGTCAAAGTACTCCACGAGCTGGTCATAGTTCATGCCTTTGGTGACGTCCTCCCACTCGAGCGTGTTGGCGCCCGCCGCCGGACCCTTGGCTCCGCCCTTGACCCTCCCTGCGACCTTCGACCCAGGAGAAACGCCCTTTGGTTGCGCTGGGCCCGCCCTCCGGTTCGGAAAGGGTGCCACCGCCGTCTTCGCGTTTGGAGACGGGGTTTTCGCGTTCGGCGACGGGGCTTTCGTGTTTGGGGATGCCGTCTTGGCGATCGGTGGATTCGGCGAGGGTGTCTTGCTGCCGACGGGCGTCGTCTTGCCTGCCCGGTGCGGCGGCACGGGTGGCGGCCTTGTGAACGTCAGCATCGGGTTGGTGCGAATTCGGGGCTGGGGGCGCTTGGAGTCGTCTGGAGCCACCACCGCCACGGTGACCATGGCGGCGGCGTTGGCGTTGGCGGGGGGCGGGGGGTGGGCGTGCGGGAGGTGAACGATAGTAGTCTTGGAGCGGTCTTCGGGCGGGATGAGGGCCTGGGAGCAGCGCGTGTTGACCGAGCTGCGTTCCAGTGTGGCCCGTCCCAGCCACACCCAGTCGTGGGCGCTCGCAACGGGCCGCCGAGGCTGCGGAGGAGGAGGCGGGGGCGCCGTCGCCACCGCACTGCTCACGGCCTGCGGGGAGGGAGAGAGACAACGTCGGACTTTGGCGACCCCCACCCGAAAAAATAAAGCACCCATATCGGGAGCAAAAACAGACTTTTCATGCGGTCTTTAGGCCTCTAATGCAGCATTTCTTTTTAATAAAAAAAAAAATTTCAGACGCACCTTTAAACTACTGCTTAAACATGCCGTTCAGTATAATTGCACAATTAATTAATTTTAGTAACTAATTTCTGAATTATTAACTTTGAAGGTACGGTTTTCAATAAGAAACTTGAAGCAGATCATTGAAAGCTACTAAATTTAGCTACGTTACCATGATATAAGGCACATGCAGCATTTAAGGCGTTCCGATAAAATGCTAAATTTAGACGAGTTTCTAGGTTTTGGTTTCTTATCGCAGTGCAGCTCCGTGCCAGTAATCTTGCCCCCCATGGCCAAAGACCACAACGTATGTGTGCCACCACGCATCAAGCGCATACGAGGCTAGATAAGAAAGCCTCCGAACAACCAGATGAGATCTGCCTTTTTGACATCGGTGCCAGTGCAAACACGCACCTTTACGTGTGTGATGGTGCACAAATGTTGCGCGTTTTGCCACAGTGGACGAGATTGCTAGCACAGAGGTGCGCTCCGATAAGAAACCAAGACCTAAAAACGAAGCCAAAACTGGAACCAAAGGGCCCATTTGTTTATACTAAATAAATAGGCCCTTTGGTACAAAACACTACGGCATCAACGTTTCGTTTTTGCACGTTGCATGGTTTCTGCAGGATCGATTTGGCCCGCATTCCCAGATACAATCTGTATGAGTTCAATTCTTGACCGAGTGACGCAATGTTATAATGCGTCATGGTGTTGCGTGCTGCTACGACTCGACATCTACTATACATCTATAAAGTTATTGACACCAGAATGTCACGTGATCCCACAAGTGTGTACCGTGAATGACATCGCATTGCAACATCTTGCGACTCCCGTCGCATGACAAGATATGACGCTGCAACATCACTCAACCGGATGTGGTTCGACACATATGTGACATGGTCACGCGACTTGTAGTGGCACCAGCCACACGACCCAGTGATACGAGCCACGGGACTAATAGTGGCATCGACCATGTTACCCATATAGTGGCGTCCCATTAAATTGACGGGGACGTTAGCACTCTAAATTTAGGTGACTACGGAACAATACGACGCTGCAGCACAAATCTCAACTCAATATCTGTTAAAACCTTATTTGCAATATTTACCAAATGTTTGGATTGCATGTAGCTACCATCTTAGATCTATCAGTCGACAAGCTCCACGGAAGGGCGGCGTTTGAAATAAGTTCTTTGTTGCCTGCACGTGTGCAGTTATGGGCGGAGAGTATTCCCAGTGCCACCAGCCACAACACCTCCATGGGCAAAGGGAAAAGACTGTTTCCAAAGGACGCCCATCAGGCAGAGTGTCGAACCGAAATTTTTACCGGTTCGGTTCCGGTTCGGGTTCACGGCTTTCGGTTTGGTTCCGGTTCAGTTCCGGGGAGCAAAAAATAACGGTTCAAACCGGTTCGAACCGGTTTGAACTGCTAAATTGAGAATATATTTTTCGCGTTGTTCTGGCAATATACACTATTTACGCCGTGAAACGATTAATTATATAGTTTCTTCGATCGTCCGTGCAATTTAGTTTTGTTTTTAGGTACCATAAATATTAAATTCAGTTCTTTAATTTCGACGCCAGAGTAGAAAAAAATCTACATTAACATACATAACGTCGTGTTCATACGACCCCACATCCCTTTGTTTACCAGTCACATATATTTTACCTGAATCAAAATGTTTAAGTACAAGAGTAAAGAGTTGAGGTGGCTGGTACATACCTGTAAATAGATCAGCTTCAAATTTAGAACTATACTGTGTTTTATTGTGCTTTCTTCGTGTTTAAGTAAAATTCTAAAGTTCAAGGTGATCTATTTACACGGTATAAAATGTTGTCGCAAAGTGCTGTAGGTCGCCTAAAATACCCGTGGTTAGTACAACTTTGTGTCGCAGTGTTAAAAATGAAATCGTGATTGTGTCCTTGAACTGAGGAATTAATTACATTACAAAATTATGAAATTAGCGTCTCCTGCTCATGCTAATTATGAAATAAGGTTTACGAAATACACTTCACAATATATATGTATGTGATGACGACACAACTGAGCTAAAAGCAATGAAATTTTCAGAATGTAACAAAAGTTTTAGGATAATTCCTTTCAGTCTTTTTTTTTTTTTTTTATAGAAACACTGAGCGGCAATTCAAATGCTTGCTGTTCTAACCAAACATTGTTTACACTCAGCACCGCATGCATGCCACTAATCATCCAGCAAGAAGTAATCGTAGTTGTTCACTCTAATCTATACGCACCTTCGCACTCAGATCAAATCTGGCCCCAAATAGCGCTTGCCCAAGTGAACATTTTCTTATGCAGAATTATACCCCTGTCAGACGGGCACGTTAAATGACATTTAAGCAAAATGACATTACAGCTTGGCCAATCCGCGTGTTTAATACGCCGCGCTGCGCGTGCACGCGCCACGTGCAGAACCAGCATCACGAGCTGATTCGCCGAGCTGTGAATGACATTCGATCAAAATAACATTTACTTTGCCGTCTGACAGGGGTATAAGCTGGCATAGCCTGGCTGTTGAGGTTTGTTCTTGACAAGATGCCGGTCAATTTAATTTGCAAATGAGCATCACCTTTGCTAACTGATGATTTTAACTCGATAGCGTTAAGGAGCTCATGTCTCAGAAAAGTCGATGACGGTGGCGTGTCTGAAAAATCCTGATTGGTCGATAGGTTCATGACGTCAGAGCTAGATACGCAAGAAGTTCAAGGAACCCACAATGCTCACGTGAAACGCGACATCACGCGTGGAATGAGAGTGATTAAAACATGACATGTAATGCGAATTAAAGGTCGCCGTATATCTCAAATGATTTCACTTTTGAAAGTAATTATTTTGCCTTAAAGAAAAAAAAATTAAGAATTTTAGGCGGGATTCGAACCCACGACCCTTTAGTTGCGAGTCAGACGCTTTTCACTAGGAACGGCGCGAGCATCTGGCACGACAAAAACGTGCTTTTTGGTAGGAGCGTTTTTGCAAGCAAAGTAGTTTCCGGAGTCACGCTTTTTGATCTGCGCCAAAGATGCAGGGAAGAGGAACCTTTACAACACAGTATGTTTTTGAGTAGTATTTAGTGATGTATAGAAATATTTTTATAGCTCCTTTAAGCAAAGTACAGAGGGAGTCGAAACTTGGGCAATAACTTGAGAACGATGCTCGTGTGAGACTTACAGCGACTGCCAACGTTCGGCTGTCTCTCTGAGGTCACTAAAATATCTTTTTTTTTGTATTCCTTCCGTACACACGTGTAGTTCTATGTAACATCATATTAATAAGTCGCATTTCGTAATTTCAGTACTTCTATTCTCGGGGACATCTTTCGGATGCAGTTCAGCAACAACGAAAAAATATTTGGGTGCCTCAATAATGTGAGATGGGTCTTGCAACATTTTTTCTTGTACTTTCAATAAATAGTGTTAAGAAATAACACCCAACGTTGATAGCTTGCGGAAACATCCATTAGTTTTCACCTAATAGCAGATGCAGAAAAAATGAAGGAAAGAGACAGCTGTCGATATCTCAACTCGCAATTTAAACAAGCGGCCTGATACCGCCAGTGTTCATCACAGTCATTCTCTAGGCGGCTAGGGTTTGGAAACCAAAAGCTTGGGCTGAGCTTCAGATATTGTTAGAGTTGGGCTATTATCATATGTATTTGACATGAGCCATTACCCGAATATTTGGCGATGCTGATTGTCATGAACCCGAGCACTCGACTAGGGGTTATGAAAATTGCTTACGTCACGGTGTCACGTGATTCTCGGTGCGAAATCGTGATGTCATGTTACGTCATGCTGTCAACAATGTTATACATCTATACTCGGCGACAACTTTTCTTGGCAATGCAGTGGAAGGTACGTCCCGCGTCCCCTCTTTCATTTTGAGTGTACGCAGGATCTCCTCCTCTCCCCGGAAATGGGGGAGGAGGAGAGCCTGCGTACACTCAAAATGGGAGAGGGGACGCGGGCCTGTACCTTCCACTGCATTGCCAAGAAAAGTTGTCGCGGAGTATAGTGACTTCCTTAAATTAAATCGAGCCGACGCAGTGAATCACGCGACGTCACGAGGTCACGTGACAACATGTATTGATACCATGACGTCACGTGACAACGTGACACATGGTTAATCATAATGCCATGAAACCCCCAGTTTACCATACTTTTCAATTCTGTATATGACGATTTGATCCATTGATAGAAATACAACTGCCAATTTTTCATTCCCATATGTTCATTTTGTCATACTAACAAAAAAGAAAAAAAAAAAGAAATATTCCCTTGCACCGTTTTGAACCGGTTACCGTTATTATTTTTTCGGTTTGGTTCCGGTTCAGTTCCAAGATGGCGGCAAAGATTTCGGTTCGGTTCAGTTCCGGTTCGGCTAAAAATAACGGTTCTGTTCTGGTTTTCGGTTCGGTTCGGTTCCGGTTCGACACCCTGCCATCAGGTGCAAACTTTTAGGGGCGAAGCTCTTTAGAATCTAGCCTTGTCCGGCGTCCGTGCTCACATCGATGGCCATCCCATCTGTCTTGTTAAAAAAAGTAAAAAATGTTTGCGCAGTCGATCAAACTTGTGCGGGGAGATCCCAATGGATTTCTAGTCTATCGCCTTAACCACTCGGCCACGACTGCGGGACGAGAGGGGGGCTCCGAGATGTGGTAGTAACTCAAGAGCTGGGAATGTCATGGATGAAACGTTGCATGTAGCCGCTCAACGTCTATACAGGAGAGGGCGCTGCGGTCAAATGCGTATATAACCACGTTCCATACCACACATTTTCTTTCTGACATGGACCGTTGACTTAAGCGGTGGAGATGCGTTCCCACGGCTTCTAACGGATCCAAGCTGATCCGCTAGAAGAACCACTGGCTCTGCATTTCACCGACCATAAAGCAGTAATAATGAAGTCGAAACACAACCTGGAACTCAGCACTACCTATGAGCAATAAAAAAAAATCAGCACCATCATCACTACCTATGAACAAAATCAGTATCATCAGCCCACCCAGAGCTTTGTCCCAATCAACATCATTCACCACGTGGAGATGAGGTCATTTTTTTGTTTACTTAAAAGATGACAACAGAACCACTTTTCACCGCAGGTGATGTGCAACCAACGTTTCCCCGGTTCCGCCGCTTCTCTTCATAGGGCAGGCCGATAGCACGGCAAGCGCCACACAGTGGATGCGCCAAGAAGGCGCCGGGCATTATAACAAGCTCGTGAACCGACTTTGATCTGGTAACATCAGTAGCCGCTGGGAAAACGTGGCTCCTGTCGCGGCACCACGACTGACGTAACAACGCGCCCGCTCCCCACCGACCGATCTTCATCTTCGTACGGTTCCGGGCCGAGCGCTCCTCTGGGCGAGGAGTGCGTGCTCACCCCCTGCTTCTGGTACTTGACGGCGAGCACGGTGCAGCCGGCGACCATGACGGCGGCAGCCAGCCCCAGAACCCCGAGCAAGGCGTAGAGGCCCAGCTCGAGCGGAGAGGCGATGAGCACGCGCACCCCGTCGGCGGACAGGGCTGCCCGGTTCTGGTGGGCTTGCACTGTGGGCTCGTGGGGACGCACCCCGTCCTGGTACGGCACCGAGTCCAGCCCCTCTCGGCCGCCGTCCGCCGTGAAGTGCGAGTCCACCCGGCCGAGAGACTCAGCCAGCGGGTCGCCCTTCTGCTTGCGCTGGCACGCCTCGCCCAGCTCAAGGTGCACCTGCGAGCGTGACTGCCACTCCGTCGAGGCTCACAAAGCAACCGGGAAACGAGCAACGCTTCGGAGACTCCTAGAAGAAGGGATCGCTCAGGATTCGAACCCTGTTCCCTGTGCTGCCGAAACGAAACCTCTATGCCGCAGAGGTGGTAAAAAAAGTTGTCTGCTTGGCACGGCGACAACTGAGGCTCTAACGGGCTCGAGTTGAAGGGTGTTTACAAGCGTCTGGTTCCAGATAGATTTTAAACCCGTTCATAATCAATCTACCATGCTCTTTGGGTTATAGTCTGCAGACATACTTTTAAGAGTTGATATTTATGCTGCGTGGATTACCCACTGCAACGGACTGTGTGAGGATTTCTTTCTTAATTCTTTCCTGACCGTGCCCATAGGCCGTTGGTCACCGGTGATCGATGGTTTCCAAGCGCCGTCAAGAAATTAAATTTAGCGCAGAGAATTATGTTCCACAATCTTGCGGATGGCCGAAGAACTCTAGTTTCGATTTCAATGTAGGCTTGAGCTTTATCGCAAGCTGGAAGGCTGTCAAAAATAGTCCCGGGGACGGTAGTTGCCTGCCTAACGCATCTAACTGCTAGCATCAGTCTTCGTAACAAAGAAGGCATTATTTACATATTTCAACTGTATTATGCCACATTTTTTAGACCTCAAAAGCTCTGGGGACACTTTAAATGATTTTATAGCTGTCGCTAGAGCCACTAAATGAGCTGCGCTTAGAGTATCGGCACTCTGTTCCTTGACATTCTTGTGGGCGTCGTTACTCTGAAGCGTAACTTATTTAGTGGCACCAGCTGTCGCTCAACAGGCGGTTGTCAGTAAGCATCACTATAATTTCCAATGCTGTTCTGAGTCAGCGTGCACGTCTTATGTACCCAACAAGGCAGACAAAAATGTTGAACATGCAGGAACTGCAATAGAGCCTATGAGGAAACCAAGGTAGAACACGAAGAAAGAAGGGATGGGCGAATATTCGGTTATTACGAAAAGCCAATCGAATTCCGTTCTATTTGGCATTCGCTTCGAATCGAATTTAAGTATTTGACAATATAAAATTATTCAACCTTTCCAAATACAGTCAAACCCGACTATATCGAACCCGTTTACATCGAATTATTCCTTATATTGAACAATTTTTGTGCACAGTAATGTTGGTGATAATATATAGCAAAAACTATGGTTGCATAAAACAAAAATAGCAGCCGCTACCGATATATCGAACTGCCAGAGCGCCGTTTTGCTCTGCAAGCTGGCTCTCCCCCAACGCGCTTGACCGCATTGAGGGAAAACCAACTTGCAAAACACGATAACTCTTTTTCTTTTTTTTTCGGGCGGCCGCGTCGATTGTTTGGAAGAAAAGAAAATATATCTTTTGCGGAGAGAGCGGAGACAGGTTCGTCTGCGACCGTTTCAATAAGGAATTGTAGTAGACCGTTTCCGCTGCCCGCTAAGCACCCGGATAGCGCTTCGTAATCCGCCACCAGATCTTGAACTATGCAGATAAGGCTGGCGGCGTGCATGCGCAGCTGCGGCGTTTTCTTGACGGACACCGTAGCGGTATCCGTCAAGCGGCCGCCCAGAGAGAGAAAGAAAGCCAGCTTGTTTTGCTAGTTGGCTTCCCCCAACGCAGGCACCTCTTTTGAGGGGAAGGCCAACTTGCAGAGCAAAACGGCGCTCTGCAGGATGTGCTCCCGTTGGACGTGCTCCGTGCTCTCGGCATAGTTCGGCGCTAATATAGAAGGCAGCGGTCTCAGCATTTTGGAGTCCGTCGATAGCGTAGAAAAATATCGTTATCGCGGATGCAATGAAGAAAAAGCAGCAGAAGATGCAAGACTACTTCATTGTGTAATATTTCAGCAGAAAGTGCATTTTTGAGAGTCAAATTCATTAAAACTTTTATATCGAATTACCCGCTATATCAAACTAGTCAACGTTTTTTTGCGAGTTCGATATAAACAAGTTTCACTTACTCTGGCTTGGATTTACGGCCAGGTGGCGCAAGCTTCCGACTGTTTCGACCCTTTCGTGCTACCGAATACACTTGAAATTAACAATTACAGTATATCTAATACCAAATAAGGGCAAATATAAAACTATACTTTAAACATATCTTGTGGTATTTTTTGCTTGTACTATTAAAACTTTTCGATTTGAAATTATTCGACCAAAATCACTATTCGCTTCAAATTCGATTCGGACCCAAAATCCTCTATTCGCCCATGTGAAAGCATTCTGCTGAAGGTGTGAGGTGTACAATCTGTGCTTCACCGATATAAGCATTCCTTCGATGAAAAGCACATGTGTTACGGAGGCTAACTCTCCGACGAACCAAGAATAGACAACTTCAGTTAGATTACACTAACTTTCAGAAGTCATAGCCGTGGGGGTGTGGGGCACATTTTGTATATTTTGAATATTTTTTATTTGTCGTTTAGTTTGACATAGCTATACAAGTTTCAGTGTTCATATGCTTAACGCACATACATGAAAGTTTCAAGTTAAATTTTAAAATCTTTTCTCACACTATACGAACCTGTTTCTTCTGAAAGAACAACTAATTGGCCACATTTTTATGTGTCATACTCATATTGCTCCATATGCCAATTAATTAGGAAAAAAAAGCAGTTGCACAAATCCCTTAACAATTGCTACTCTGCCGTGGTCAGGAAAGAGTTAAAGTCTTTCATGTTTGCTTGAGATGTCCAGTGTAATTTATCTGAATCACACTCTTTTATGTGGGGCACCAGGTGCAAGGGTGGAACAAATAATTTGCTCAAACTGTCGGTGTTTTCCTTCTCACTGTCGCATATTGCTAGAGCGTGGCAAGGACAACTTATTGAATGCCAATTTAGACACAAATATATGTATGAAGTTCTTAGTGCTGAACTCATAAGATCCTTTATTAAGGGGTCCTAAATGCAAAGTGCATATTTCAATAGTACTGTTACATACTATGTGAATTAAGCACATCACCTTTTACGGCAGCAAAAAAAAGTTATGTCTGTAAAATACATCAAGGCACTTGACCCGCTCATAAAAACACTAACGAAGCAAATATTTAACGAGAAAAAACAACTGACTTTCTTATCAAAAAGATCCCACTACAGAGTAAAAGTACATTGTAAACAATTGAATGTTTGCAAGGACCCAATTTTGTGACGAATAATCTTATGAAAAATGTGCCACAATATGTTCCCCTATGGTAAAAAATACATAGCCTAGAGTTCCCTAGAGTAACAAATAAATCCCACAAAGTTCGCGCTCACGAAATATTTCTAAAAACTACACGTCGCTGAATTTACGAAATATTGAGACCGCAAAAATAAATTTGTTTACAGTAAATGGATTAAAGAAAGTTGAAGCAAGTTCGTAATGCCGGAGAAGTAACTTAAATGCTAACATTATTAAGGAAACACCACCGACCTACCATAAAATGCCAAGTATGCGCCCATGTCGCAATAAAAACCTACCCACTGCCTTTGAGGCGTTCGAAAAATAAGCGAAGGACATATCAAGTGCCCACACTAGAGTTGCGAGCTCACCTAGCTCCCCGCGTCAACTGCTTCTCCGAGGACGCCACTGCATGGCAGAGAAGCATAACATGCGCATGCCTGTGCACAGTGGTAAAGCTCGAAAGCATGTGCACTGGCGCAATTGTGTACTACCGATTTTTTGGATGCAACTTGTACTACAGTTACGATGTGGTACGCAAGGAATGTGGTTTAATTATTTAATAGACGTCATCGGGATATTTTGTCTTTAGACAAGGTTGTCAACGGAACTGTGGACTCGCCTGTCTTGTTGATCTCCGTCTGTTTTCACGTCCCACTGCATACTAGCCACACTTGCCTTTCTCTACCCACGTGCGCCTTTTAACATATCTCCTATTATAAGAATGCAATTTAAACTTAGCAAGTGTGACTGCACCCACCTTAAAACATTTTGTGATGAACACTTCACTGTAATCTCGATAGTATATTACTTGTGTAATTGGATGCATTTCTTTTTTTATTGGGTTGCATTAGATTTGCTTTGTACCACATAGAAGGCATTGGGGTTTTTGTGGACACATTAAAGTAAAGATGGTTAAAGATGATTATCTAGATTTTTGCTTTCGGATTCAAGGAGCGGCCCATCTGGTACTTTTTCAAGGTTACCGCCAAACTTTGGGTGGGTGTTTGTGCAGTATTTTACGGTAGCAAGATTGACCTTTCCCAAAGAGAGGTTCATAGCCACGTTTCGATTCAATGCACACTTTAAATGCCGACATCCGCGCACTCCCGCGCCGGCGCAGGGCGCGAGCAGTCACCTGCAGCAGGTTGCCCTGTCCCTGTCCCACGGCCACGATCCGGGGCCTGGCGGCGCGTCCCCCCGACGAGGGGGCCACCAGGGCCAGTTCCACCACGGTGCGGTCCAGGCTCCTCGTTGTCAGGCTAAAGTCCGACTCCGCCACGTCCGTCAGCGGCGTCGACGTGCCGTCCGAAAAGCGCAGGGTCATGTCCAGGAGACCTTCCTGAAAGGACGCACCCGCAGAGATGCCGTCAACCCACGTGAAACTCGGGCGGCGCCCGTTGGCAGCCGCCAATTTTCTTCCAGGAAAATGGTGGCATATCCAGCCACCTCTCTTTAAACAAAAAAAGGGGATCATTCTAGCTAGGATGGAAAGGATGGCTTCATGCATTTAGGCGAGAAAACAGCACTAGCCAAGCTGTGATCACCGACGTAAGAACGGCACAAAAATATTTTCGTAGTCGCACCTCTCGCGTGAACTTCCTACCTTGGACGACGTTTTGCTGTCTTTCCAGCTTCGTGGGTGTGAAGTCAAAGCACAATGAAAGGCAACGAAGATTTGCTAGAGGCTGCAGGCATAAAAAAAAAACACCCTGAAGGTGCAACGACTATTTCTGGGCCATTTAAGCATATAGGACCAGATGGATGTTGTGGATATGATTAATGGTCCAAAGAAAGCCTCAGCAGGTGCGATAGGAGGCCCTCCCCCACCTGGTAGCGGGAGGTGAGGCTGTGGGAGGTGGATGTCTTGGCGAGGAACACCCCCGGCGTGGCCTCGTCGGGAATCACCGCCAGGGACAGCCCCGTCACCATGTGCACGTCCAGCTGCGTGATGCTTTCCTTGTCCGTGCTCACGCGCAGCTCTGCTGCCCCCAGCACCTTGCCCGTGATTGGGGACAGCACCTGCGTCGCCGAGCCAAGAACCCGCAGTCAAGTCAGCAAGTTCGCTCAAAGAGTCAAGTCAACAGGATGAGTCAACTAGTGAAGTCATCTAGTAGAGTCTATAATCTTTTCTCGTATACACTTCGATTTACGAACACCTCCTCATTTTAAATGGAAATCCAGCCTCAGTTTTGGCCAGGAGCTCTGCTTAATCTACTGGTCAGATGAAGTAAGGATCAAGTTGAATTTGTTTCTATGAAGCCAACATTCCACTTTGGCCCATTCATTTTGATGATGTTCCCATCATGCTCGAACACATGTTAGCTCTGTTCATTTATTTGCTTTAACTGGCAGCAGGTACACATAAATTTATCTCACGAAGGCCCGACGACCTGAAGCAATCGATTGACAGGAATGCCTATGTGCCAACTGACCTGGACCTCGGTGCGTCCGGCTCGCATTCCCCTGATGACGGTGTCCTGAAGGGTGGCCACGTGCGGGTCCGCCACGCGGACAAAGGGTGCCACCAGGTGTGTGACAGAGACCTGGGTGCGCCTTCCCAGGAGGTAGGCCTCGCGCCCGGAGTTGTGGTCGACGCTCAGGAAGCGCGTGTACACCTCCACCCTCGCCTGCTGGAAGCGCAACCGGCAGGCCACACCTTCCGTCTGCAAAAGTGCAGAAGTGGCACACTCGGCAACATGTTCACGGTGTTGTGCAGCACATGCAGAAGAAGCAGAACAATGCTGTAAAAAGTAATCGCCCCGCTGTGCTGGCTTGACACTCCACGGCGGCTACTTTCTGTGGTGCGATCACTTGATGTGGCTGCACCGCAGAAAGGCCAACCTGACTGCGTTGCCACTTCTCATGGCTGCACAGCAGAAAAGCCAACTTGCCGGTTCTGTCACTCGGTGTGGCTGCCCATTGAAAAGCCAACCTGCCAGCTTTGCCCTAGAGCGTAGCTGCTTCGCAAAAAGGCCAACCTGCTGGCTTTACCATTTGACGTGGCTGCACCACAAAAAAGCCGACCCGACGGCTTTGCCACTCAACATGGCTGCACTGCAGAAATCCAGCTTATCGGCTTTGCCAATCGGTGTGACTGCATTGCTAAAAAGCCAACCTGCCAGCTTTGCCGCAGAGCATGGCTGCTCTACGGAAAAGCCAACTTGCTCAACAAGTCTGCTACGAGCACAGTCGAGCCGATGGATGATGAGCAAACAGAGACTGTATCATAAACACTTTTTGTGGCAAAATATGTTTCACAATTTAAGAGGTGGTCTCATTACATTTATGTAAATATGACAGCCACAGAGAGGCCATAAACTGAGCAATGCTCCGGTAAATGCAATGTGCAATGAAAGAACATACTAAAACACAAAGGGGCAACATTTCCTTCAAAAGCTATACAGGCTGTATATGATGTCCCATCATCTTTCATATTCATTTTCTGGATATGTTATAAAACTAAGATGAGCATGTTTTAAGAAGAATAATAAACAGCATCTTGTGCTGAAATTCTGCATCCAGGAGATGAAAATAAAGATAATGTAAACACCGAGTAGTATGGGTGACACACACCTTATCCCACTTGTTGATACGTCGCTTGTTGCGCTGCCAATTGCTGCGACAGTCCATGTCCCTCTGCAGCAACGAGCTTCTGCACCTGGTGAGCACACGTGTTTTGAGGTGATTTGGAGTGACTAGCATATCAAACCTTAATAGCAGGTAATAATAAAAACCTGCCAGTATTTAGAAAGCAACCTGAATGTGAATGCTTTCAATTCTCCACTGCCCGATTTATAAGGCAAAAATTAACGAAGACTATACTCAAAGACAATGCAAAACCAAAAGCCTAACAATAGAACTTTCGCTAAATTACCCGAGCATCAAAGAGGATGTTGGGAACATAGGTACACGCACTGCACGTGCTTGCCTTCCCTATAGAAAAGATACAGTAAATAACCAAAATAAAGTGTCCATGGAAGGCACGTGTGCAAAGCGCCATTGATTTTAGGTTTTTGCTTTTGAACAGTTAGAGCTGAAGCTGCCAGCACGTGCAGTGCGTGTACCTACATTTCCAGCATTCTTTTTAATGCTCGGGTAATTCGGCAAAAGGTCTATTGCAGATGAGATAAGCAAAGCACATGGTTTCTAAATGAGACATGTACAGGTTGGAACCAACAAAGGAGAGCCTCTTCGAATCAGGAGCGTGGTAAGTTGGTTTAAAGGGTGGAATATACTATATTAACTTGTCCCAAAATGTACTCACCGACTGACTGGGCTAACTCAATGGTGTGGGTGGGGGGAGGTGAGGGGGAGGTTGCTTTGTCAGGCATACTGTTGCCTTTCTTGACAGTTCCTCGGACAACTGCGCTACCCGTCCTTGTCAGAATAAAATTTTGATTCGATTTAAGCGTAGCCAAGTTTTATGGGTCGCCTTCATTCTCATTCAAACTTATTTTAACCCTTTTGTTTTACAACGACTAGAGACATATCCGACGTGCCCAGAAGTTGATCCACGAGGGGACAGAGTACCGCTTCCTCTGGAGTGGCCCACCCACCTCTTGTGCTTGTGTGGGGTCCGCCACTCCCGCACCTGGCTCAGCTTGGTGTCGGAGAGACGCAGTTCCAGCGGGAGCTCCGGCATCCAGACCAGGAAGTGAGTCTGGCCCGTGTACGTGCCGTATTTGACCAGCACAGTCGCATTCTGAGAGCCCCGCACCTCCGAGCCGTCCAGGTACACGGACGTGCACGAAGGCGACACCTGGAGGGAGCGGGGGGATGACAGGACCGTGAGCATGCAGTTGTAGTAACGCCTACTCAAAACGAGGCTGTAGGGCTCGGTTTTCTGTGTCACCCACCGGAAACCAGTGCTCTGTCAATGTCCGACAAGAACTCACGTCCTCACCAACTGAACCCGCAAGTTAGCCGAACGTTGAAGCGGCATTTGTGTCTAACCTGTACCCGGGTGTCCAGCGCAGTGACTAGCGATGCATAGTCTATATGGCGGCGATCAAAAAATGCCGAACGTGTTTTCTAGATATTCCATAGTTTGGAATACTGTAAACGACCATATTTTCGAGGGTTTAACATTTCACGAAGTTTGCGAAGTGAGAGTTTTGGGAAGATTTTGCGGGCGCAATATTGTGCGAACGGAAGAGATTTGCTATGAATTAGTTACTGTAGAGCAATATATTCGCTGAATCTATTTTTCGCAATAATATTGCCACACGTGCAGCTGACCAAGCAGGCAGCACGCTCGTGGCCTAACAGTTATTGCGCCTGCTTAGGTTCGATTCCTGGCCGCGGATACACATTTTTGTTGACTCTGTAATGTGATGTTCTAGTAAATTCGAGAACCGTGTTGCTGATTCGAGGTTAGAAATTTCTACGCATGAACCTTCTACGTCGATTGTTCCAGAAGCCCGCGCGTGTACAAAAGGAGCTCTGCGTGGCAAGCCGCAGTCAGTATCGCCCCAGCTCAATCCTGCTGCTTCGCCGACATCGATGCCTGCAACGCTAGTCTTTCTCTATTTCGTTTTGGGCACAAGTTCGCCCTATTAAACGTTTAGTTTTGTCAGTTATTGGAAGCCTCATTATTTGTCATTCGTGACAATACTGAGGTTGCGACATTCGCGAAAATTAGGTCCACGTGAAAATAAAGCTTTTTACAATAATATGCTCTTTAGTATTCAATTCAAAAACATTGTCAAAATAACTATTTACATCAAACTCAAAATCCACTATTTAAATCCACTAATAAGAGTAATGACGAGGTCAAAAAAAGATTGTGCCAATCTGTACACAAAAGGAAGGAAGGAAGGGAGGTACCTTGAGGATCGACTCGTCGGCCGAGTGGCAGGAGGACTGCAGGGTGACGTCGCCCAGCAACCCGGACTGGCTCACCACAAACACCTTCATGGGCTGAGAGACCTGCTTGCCAGTCAACACCGCCGTGTTCAGCAGCTGGCTGGACTGCAGCCGACAGAAAAAAGATGGAGGCCCAGCAACAACTGCGACACACTATGGTGCCTGTAACACATCTCCAACAGGTGTGTTTACCACATCAGTGTTGGGACGTCATGATGACAGTGACACTCACATTCTCTCATGATTTTTTCCAGAACTTCTACACCCAACCACCAGGATCGCGACTTTGCGACATTCCGGCTTTTGTGCTGTCATTTGTTTCCACTTTGAGACCACTTTCGACGCATGGGTGTAATAGGATGCCAAAACACCAGTTGAAGATGCATTCCAAGCACCGTAGTTGCATTTCCCGCCGGACGTCCGTTACTCCCTCAAAAACTCTCCCGAACCATTTTGGCTGCATGCCACCCTCAATTCATGCAGATGAGGACGTCTAGTGGGAGTGTGCGAAACCTAAAGGGCGTGCACCGATCCGCCTTGCCAGCTAAACAAACGATAGCATCCGCGGTACGTCTGCAAGCTCACGCCTTGACCCACAGCAACTTGGCCGCATCTGTACCTTCCCACAGCCACGTTTCTCGATTTCGATTTGAAGTATGCGGAGCGCAAGTCTGTCTTCATCTTGCACAGGGGTTGCAATGTCGTTAGAGTGCCGAGCTTTTATTGGATGATTAAAAAAAAAAATAGTGGGTAGACCTCAAGGCATCTAGCATTGAGGTCTACCCCCAATCTTTTCAATCAAAGCCATGGCGTCGTTCTGATATCACCGCAACTTCTGCGGAAGAAAGCGAGTTGCCTTCCGCATAGCTTTGGCACATTGAAATTAGAAAATGTATCCATGTCCAACGTTGCTCCGTATGTGTTCTAACGTCATCCGACCCTCAGGAGTTGCTCGGAGTTCAAATTCAATCGTATCTCCCGCAATCGTAAACAGTAACGACTGCAACACGTTGCCATGTTTTTCATTTATCTGTATTAGAACATGCCTTTATGAAGCGTGTGTGTGTGTACGACAGTCCAGAAATCACCCATCCTGTAGTGATTTCCAGACCGTCAAACACATAAACACTTCATAGAGGCATGTTCTAGCGCAGATAAATTAGAAACATGGCGATGTCTTTGTTGTTGCCGCTTACAATAGCGGGAGACACGATTGAATTCGACACAATTCCATTCGAAAAGTTGGATAACAACACAAACTAACACACTTTAAACAATATAAGATCAAAAACAACCTTTTTCAAAAATGACTTCAGTGCCCCTTTAATTCGAACGGTGTTTTCGTGTAATTTATACTTTTTGTTCTCGCGGCCTTGTTGAGTGCGTTTCTTTCTGAGCACCAGTGCACTGCAAAGAGGCAACGCCCATGGAGCTTGCCTCCTTGGGAGTTGCTTCTCCTCAGTGCACCAGTGCTCTGTGAGAAGCGCACTCAATGGAGCTCAAACAGGGCACACATGAGCTATGAAAACGGGTACCACGCGGAAATTTCCATAGCAGCTTGCACGAACGCTGCGACGTGGTGGCATGGCATAGGTCCACATCGCAGCATTTGTGCGCCGGTGCAAGTTGCTATGAAAACTGCCGCGCAATGCCCATTTTCATTGCTTATGTGTCTTCCGCTTAATAGTCCACATTAGACAACTTCTTGGCCTGATGAACGAACTTCATTTTCTTTTAAATTGCCATGCACTGTCTAAACATGTAGTTCACTATAAACCACATTCTTGAGAGATAAATTAACTCATGTCAAACATTTCCCAAATGGCACACCTGCTTATGATCAGTAGGCCTATGCAGGGGAAATCATAAAATATCTGCTTTGTATGTGTAGCCATTCATATGGCAAATCACAATTTTATCTTGCATTGTATTTAGATAAATTTTTGATAATTAAGACTTCTGATGATTTAAACAAAATGAGGGCCACCTGGAGTTTCAATTAATATGAGTCTACTGTAACATATCCATTTGTGAAGTTTAGAGGTCTTCCTACCTATTGCACTGAGCCATCTTTGGATATTACAAATTCTCTTATAACATACATTTGGATATAATAGACTATATATTAGGGGGTTTGCAAGTAGTTCAGACAACGGCTTCGGTTCAATAGTGGCGGCATCCATTTTGCAAACTGCTGTCATCGCGCTCGATGCCTCGCAAGCCTCGTACCCCAAAGCGCACAGCACTGACGATCATCAGGACAGCTCAATGAAAAAATCGCTACTTTTCAAGCTCAAAAGTTTTAACAAACTAGTTCTTTTCTAATATTCATTCATATTTTGTAATTCTCATTGGTTAGAACAGACTCCAGTCATCTTTCGTACATTGTTGCAAAAGACAAACAAATCAGGAAAATGCCCGAGCACAAAAAGTTTGTAGTCGTACCGTTTTTCCATAAGATTTTACGCAATTTAAAATCAGTCGGTGACAAGTTTGCTTTACGCATGGCGTTTAGCACAGATAGCAGTTTGAAACGGTTAACTCCGTTTGCTTCCACCCAGAAAGGTTGTTTAAAAAACACAGGAAAAAGTGTGTCACATGTATTTCAGGTATAGTCCACAAGATCCCTTTTGATTGTGGTTTGTGCTATATAGGTCAAACAAAGTGTTGTCTTAATGATAGACTAGCCGAACATACACGATGTATCAAAAAGGATCCATATTCCGAGGTATCCAAGCATATTCAGGAGTGTAGGAATTGCATGCTTTTATGGAACTTGACAACCACAATTGTAACAGAAAAAAACTACCACAAGCGCCTGCTGAAAGAGTCAATTGCAATAACGAAGCACGGGAATGCAGTGAACAAGCCTTCTTCATCTTCAGATGCGGAATGGAAGTGATTTCTAAATCTCTCATGGTATTGCTAACAATATTTCCTTTTTTTTTTGTTTGTGTAGTCTTATAGCTGACTTTCTCAGTGAAAGGTCCAGTGCAATCTGTAGTTTTCACAGCGTTTTTTTTTTTTTTTTTTAATGATGTGTCATTTTTGGTGCTGTCAGTTCTTTTGTTGGTTTGACCCCATTGTTAGAGGTCCGGTGTTGTGTCTTTCGTGGAGAGAGGTGGTGTCGTGTCTTTTGTGGAAAGAGGTGATGTGAAGAAGGGTTCCCTCTCCTTTCTTCTTGTTTCAACCCTATATAAAGGGTTTTTTCCTCAATAAAGGTTTAGCTTTGTTTGAGACGTTCTTCTCTTCCTTGTCGTCGTCTGTCATTACCTCAGTCAAGAGTTTTACAGTAACTTGTACCTTGAAGGTAAATAAATAAATAAATAAAAAGTCAGAAGTAAGATGCATCTGCATTCTGCACGCTTCTTTTACAATAGACCACAATCTTTCTCACCATCAAGGTCTGTTCTATTGAGTTTTCATATGCTTTGTCATCAATACGCAGCACACCAGACAAGCCTCCACGATGGCACTTAGGCAGGTACAGCATATCACTCCACGGAATAGGTGGCACAAATTGTCACCTGATCTTAAGAGTTCATCCAACCACTTATGCGTACCTTGGCAACGAGCAGCACGGCCTGTACGTCGTCCTTCTGGATGTCGAGGCGGGAGGTCATCTTGACGCTGTCCTCTGCAGAGCCCTCTCCAGTGGTGCTGGCTGTACCCACGTTGCCCAGGTAGCGCAGTTGCCAGCTCACTTGACCCCCGTCCTCATGTGCCACACCTTCTTCCACCTCAAACAGCCAGTTGAACACCTCTTCCCCGCTGCAACCGAAAACGGCAGAAAATGCCTTCGATTTAACAGCCACGAAGCGCAAATGACAATTTGTGAGCTGCAATTGTATAGGACAGAACAAGCGGGTTGGTATGGATAATTAAACTTGAGGAAGAAAACAAGAAAAGATAGACAAACACAAACTTCCAGTTTGTGTTTGTCCATCCCTTCTCGTTTTCTTCCTCAAGTTTAATTATGCAATTGTATACGTGCCAAACACTCTGGAATTTTGGGGTTAAAGGCTGGAAGATGGCTGCAGAACGAGGCTTAGCAAAGCATATAGCGAGTTCGTTTCACGGCACTCGTGCCCACGCGTGCCCACTCGCAGCGTGGAACGGGTTCATTTCGGCCGGCACTCCACGAGTAGTTGCACTCTCCGAGTTCGTTTCAGCGCTGACACCCCACGCGTGCATGCACTCGCTGCACCGAGAAAATCGGGAGTGCGCCAAAATGCAATCCCGTCATGCCTCGCTCCGGTGGGGTCGGCGAGGAGCGGGAGCAGACGACGAGGGTTCGTCTGCTACGATGTGTCGCGGAACCGAACGAAAAAAAAAAAAAAGTAGATTTTCTGATAGAAATCGCGTCCCGCGGGCAACGAAATCAAACGCGAGCTTGAATTGTGAGCGTCTGCTATTTCACGAAGGAAGCAATTGACAACCCGTGATTTATTTGCAGGTTTTAAATCGCTCTGTTGCCGTACAAACGCTGAAATATACCAGTGTGTAAAGAAATGCTTAGAACAAACGCCACAGCGGCCCCCGAGATGTCTATCCCCATCCGTGTGCGGGTGAAAAATTTATTATTTGTCGACAAAACTCCCCCAGCAGAAACCTCTGCCAAATAAGCATCAGAGAAAGCTAAAGATGGTGACTTTACCTGAGGATTGGGCAACATCATCATGTTTAACATTTACCTACGTCAGCTAACTTGCCCCGTCGTATTTTGTTCGAGAAAGCTCTCGTTCTCGACGCCCTCACCGAGGTTATAATATCTAATCCTGACGATCCAAATCGAAAGTCCCAGTTTTGCTGGATATTCCAACAGGCTAGTTTTAAACCGTACCCTTTCAGTGGTTCACGAATAATACCATGCTCAAACGGATCAAGCTTCTGCTCGGACAGCATCATCAGTTTTCTTCAGTGTAAACGGTTATAAGAATTGAAAGATCGCAACCAGCTGCTTTGTAGACAGCTGGTTGCGGAAATTTACGCCGTCTGTAATTATCTCTACGGTAGCCTAGCTGCTTGAAGTCATCGCAACTATAAACTACAGGTTGCAGCGACCAACGCTTGTAGATAAACGTTGGTAGCGACTGCATTCTCGCATTCCCACACATCACTCCGAACAGAAAGGCGCTAGTTTCGTTTTGAAGTCGGTACCTTTTCTACAACATAGATGGCGGCAGCGTCAGTCTTCTGCACTCGGTGCATTTGGCGAGTTCGTTCGAGTCCAGTTTTTCGTGCAACACTCTGTGAGTGCGATGCATTTTGGGAGAGAACTCGAACGGTGCCAGTGCGTGTGAAACGAACTCGCTAATAGAACATATGAGTCAGAAGCTTACATAATCGACCTACCCGTAACAAAATTTGAGCTGCGGGTCTGGCAGAGCTCATTAGGGTGCCATGCCAAGCCATTTGACTTTCTTCTCTTCAAGGTGCTCTCTTTCTTGTAAAAATCATTCTTGCAGCATTTGGTGACACAGTTAGCTGGCATTTGGAGAAACAAGGTGGCCCACAATGCAGATTTTGTTTCTGCAGCAGCCCAGTACAATGCAAGAGCAGCCGCACAACTATTTGCACGCAGCCTGGATAGGGGTGCTAGCATCTTTTTGCACATGTGCAGCAGTCTTTTTGGAAAAGGTCAATTGTCTCGGTGGAAAGGGACAACCAATACTCCTACAAGGCAGTATAACACCCTTACAAATTGTACCTTCATTTTAATTACTGGTCCAACTAACTAAAACAGAAGGTATATGGAAGGTATATCTCAAAGCCATCAACGAACTGCAATTGAGCCATTCGTGCAGTGCACCACTATGCATGATTGCATTACAGAATGCAACTTCACCGAGATGGCTTGAGTGTACTTAGGCTTGAGACATCATTGAAATGGCAGTAAAATATAGTTCAGACGTTTGTGTTTGAGTTTAACCGACCACATTCAACCGTTTTTGACTGCTTACGATGCGATGATGACTACGACAACTAAGGTCTGATCACTATGTCGTGGCATAACACAAGGAGTTGTAATGCAGTCAATTATGCTTAAATGAAAATGCCTGAACCAGTCTTAGTATGTTCATCTTGAGAGGGGATCTGACTTGTTTTGTTGTTGCTCAGCTCCAGGCACAACTGCTGCTGTTCGACCCTAGCTACTACAATCCCATTGGAATGTGGCCAGTGCACTTGGGCAATACCGCAATGTACCTCTCGGGCAGGGCGGTCTCTTCGTCCACCCGTGTGACTGTGACGGTGGCTGAGGTGTGTTTGGAGTTGGTGTCCACGGTTATGCTCCAGGCCTTCTTGGCAGTGGGCTGCACCTGCAGGATCCTCAGGCCCGGCTTCACTCTGGCTCTGCCGTGATGTAAAAAGCGAAAACGTGGTGACAAATTGAGCAGTCGCACACGGAGTCAGGGTCTGCGTATACAGCTGTCACAATTTTAAACTCTCTAAATTAAAAGCATTCTTAATCGAGGAGTGTATACAAAATGGCGGACGATACGTCACGGCCATGCCATAACATTACATCGACGACTTTTTCATCTGCACATTTCAAAGGCCCTGATTTAGAGGGCGGGTAGATCTTATTAAAAGAAACGAGTTCCGATAGATGGCTGCAATTACGACACATTGATTCAGCACGCACAAACGGAGGATGCCATGCTTTCCACACACTTGTCTCAGAAGTGCTTGACCACACCCTATAACATTTCTGCCACAAATCTTACACATTTTATCTGCTAGTAAAGGCTTCCTATTTGCATGTCTCATAAAGCACTATCTGGTTAATTCTTACGCGAGCCGATTCTCCGACTTCCGACCAGGGGCGGATGCAGGAATTTACTGAGTGGGGGGGGGGGGGTCAGGTGTTGGTCAGCGTACCATATATGTTTAGGAACCCCCTCTCCCTCGTTTCACGCCCTAAATTTTACACATGCAGAAATCAAGAGGGGGGGTCAGGACATCTGGACCTTCCCTCTAAATCCGCCCCTGCTTCCAACGCACTTTGGATGAGTACCCCCATGATCCCTCAACTTTCCCCACGCTCCTCAAAACTTCTACCACAAATTTTACATGTTTAATCCACTGGTACAGGCTTTCGATTTATGTGTCTCGTAGACCAGCATTACTTTATTCCGGATCGATGCATGCCCATTCCCTTACTTTTGAGTAAATCTTAAGTACCAAATTTCCTTACACTCTCTAAAACGTCCACCACAAACTTAACATGTTTTATCTGCTCATACAGACTTCCTATTTGTGAGTTCTGTAGACCAGTCAGATTTATCCAGATGCATGCTCATTCCCCAACTTCCGACGACGTCTTCGGTGAGTGCTTTTACAAGAGACCAATCTCACAAGCCAGTTTGGCTACCTGCTGCCACAATGCATCGAGGGAACTGTAGACTTTTTGGACGTGCAACAGCTTCGATGGAGCTTTGCACATGCAAAGCATGAGACTGCAAGTGACGACTTGGACACTGCCGCCTTCCTCCTGTAAACTAAAGCAACGGCAGCTTCATGCATGCACCGCCAAACTCTTAAAAAGATCGATTCACAAGCCAGACCAGTGACAGATTAATCCAGAAGCGTGCTCATTCCCCGACGTGCGACAAGACCCTTGGCGAGCAGCCCGACAGTCCTCCAATTTCCTCATGCAATTTTCAACAGATTCCAGTCATCTCTCTCTCTCCACTGCGGAAACCCTTTGGAGGAGCCCACCCACCTGATGAGGAAGGAGCTGAAGGGGTAGGCTGGGTTGGGGCGGACCAGCACAGGCACGTATACCTTGGCCCTCGGGTAGACGGGGCCCTGGGGCACCAGCAGGCACACCACGCCGTCCCCGCTCACCTCCTCGTAGCTGCCGTGCAGCGGAGACAGCGACAGGCGCCCCAGGGGGGCCCCCGAGGCCGCCAGGGGGCCCGACACCCGCAGCGAGTGGCCTTGGCACTCCAGCGACGGGCTCCGCAGCAGGGCGTACCTGCGAGCGTGCGTCGTGCGTCAAATTAGGGGGTCGGCGGCACCAGAGTGACTCGCAGAGTGAGAACAGCAAGACGTGTCTTTAGAATGCTAGCACATGTTCGTTGCCATCGGTCAAGGTTTGGCTGCGCACGCACGCCCGAGGCTCACGAGATGAACCTTTACCAAAAGTAGGAAGCTCATGCTGGAGGCAAGAAAACTGAAGGACCTCCCTGTTCTCATCCTGTCATACAGAGTTTTCCTTTCGCTGCTAACATCTCATTGACACTAGTCCTAAAATGATCCAAAGTGCTTGAGGGGAAGCGGCCTTGCAGGTGCCAAGTTTTGGGAAAAACATATTTTTCGCTTCGTGCCAAGGCAGATAGGAGTTCCTTAAGATAGGAAAGTTTCACAACCTCCTCTCTAAAGTAATCTTAAAATCCACGAAAGAGGAAGCAAACCCTCAGTAAATACGAGAACTAGAGCGCAGGCGTGCAAACAGGGCGAGTGTTGGCTGCCCACCTGAGTGCCACGGAGGGCCTCTGTGATTTCTGAGCCTGTGCCCAGAGGGGGGGCCACCAGGAGGCCGGGAGGGTTAGTTCTGCCAGGCAGGCCCCATCCCGGTTGGGACTGCACACGCTCATCAGGTGCTCCTGCAGGTGCTGGGCGTACAGGGCCACGCACACCGGCGGGGCTCCCACCTGCCGGGGGACAGGAGGATGTTCTGGATCCCCTGTGCTATAGCCAGGCTAGCGCAGCAGCCCTGGAGCGTCCCTTACTTCTCCTTAAAGGGACACTGACACCCACCAAAATTTTTTTTTCATTTTTTGCCAGGCGCTTTATTATGGTGTCGGAGGACTACCCAATTAATATTTTGCAACAGAGTAGCATATTTTTTTTAATAAAGCCAAAAAACGCAACTGCTCGAAACCGAAACCCGACGAAGGTCGGAGAAGTGGAGAAGAGAGTGGAGTGGCGGAAGTCACGTGGCTACACCCAACCGTGCGTTTTTTTTTTTCTCCTCTCTGTAGCAGACGACATGCGGCGTACGGGAACTGTTCGCCGTGCGATTCGTTTGCAGTTATGTTTGTTCCACCCATTGTTCTGTACTCCAAGATGAGTTGTTTTGTACATTGAGGAGTTGGAGATGAGTAGTGAGTGCCCGTGGTGAATTTCCGTGATCGGCTCCGAAAAGAATGCACCCAAGATGTTGTGTGAAGAGCTGGCTCACATGTCCTGCGTCCGAAAAAAAGTGGCATTGTGCGACAGAGTTTCCGAAAGATCAACGGGATCGGGACCACTGGCTGGCTGCAATTCCTGTAGAACATATACGGGCACCTCGGAAAGCGGACGCTACCTGATTTATATGCTCCTTGCATTTTCTGCAAGTGATTACATTGAGTTCGCATGTGTCAAAAAGGAAATCCCATACCATTTAGTTCAGTGACGTGTCGTCCACAACATTTGTTTGTTATTTTTTTTGTTTGTTTCTTCAGTGATAATTGTAAAAAAAAAAAAATGTAGACATCGGAAAATGTTTGAAAAAAAAAAAAAAAGAAGTTTCTTGGGGTATCGAACTCGGTCCTACCGCACGTGAAGCAGACGTCTTTCCCACTGAGCTACTGGGGCATATCTTTTGTGGGGGATCTCTTTCCTTAGTAATATATGAGCCGGTAGACTAAGTTGAAAAGTTTGCTGTCGATTTTCTTCCAGCAAAAGCGCTCCCGGGTCGAAATCGGGAAGCACCACGCATTGGCGACATTCGCACCTAGTAAAAAAATCGTACGCGTGCATATTCAACTGGAAGTAGACCCGTCGTGCTAGACGTTTGCGCAAGCGATGTCTTCAGCCACGAGAAGGGAGTGACGGCTCGGCGACGTCTTCGTGCAAATCGGCTTGGTGGTCGGGCGTGTTGTACGGGATGAATACCAACTCTTTTGATCAGACCCAAATTTCTCTTTAAAAGGCAGACAAAATTCGCCGGTACCGCGAACGACAGTTCTGAAATAGAGGTCTCACGCCCGTCGTCCGCTACCATCGCCGTCCCCGCGAGTCCCACGATACGTGAAACGACGCACGCACAAAATGCTTCCGGTTGTCTGTGGAACTTTTTTTTTCAATCGACGTATTTGCGGCTTTTTAGAAGCGACAAAAAATGGGTTTCATATTTTTTTCTATTTTTAATATTGAGTGTGTGCCTTCAGTGACCAACGACTTTGATTAAATTTGGTGGTCGCATCGATACTTTAGAAAACGGCCCGTGACCACGGAAAAGAGAGTGAGCGAGACTAGAACCGGCCAGTTCTTGATCGGCGGTTTTCGGGCGGAAAGAAACCGAATTTTGAGTCGCAAATTGTGTTCTGGGTAGTTGGGCTCTCATATGTCATGTGCGAATAAAAACCTCGACGAGCATAAACACCCTGTCAGTGTCCCTTTAAGTATAACTGACTCGTTCGGTTTCGAGAAACAGCTGTGAATTCCAGTAACAATGATGTTGCCGTCCCTCAAGTCTGTCCGCTCGCTACAGTGACATATCATGGAGCCGAACTCTGACTGGAGGATATTAAGCTGCCCGAACATGGCAGTGTCTGCAAGTTGTTACAATGGTTGCCTTGCCTTTCGTGAGGCTGTGAGAAACCCACTGCTTGTTTACAAACAAAAATCAGCCTTCGATAAAAGGAAGGGGAAATGGTTCATTTTTGTTGACCAGCTGCGTTACAACGAATGAAAAAAACAACCGTTAGGGGATCAAAAGCCTAGCTCACAGCCCTATAGAAATGTCGGCCGACTTTTCCTATAAATTTGAAGCACATTTAGGCATCTAAAACAAGCTTTCTTAGAACCTATATAATATTAGTTTGTTCAATTTGGCTTAACTGCGTGGATGAACCAGTTTACACAGTTCAGAAACTGGTGCATTCCATTCAATGCGGACAACAAGTCGTCTGCTTCTGGTGTGGGAGTTGCGGTGACGTCAGATTGACACCGAGCTCTTATTGGCCGATTGCAAAAAATAGCGTGTAGATGTGAATGGTAAACGCCTTAAAGTCTACCCACTTCTTTTTTTTTTTTCAATGAGCCAATAAGAGTGCGGCGTTCTGACATCACTACAACCTCTGTGCTAAAAGCAGACGACTTGCTCTTCGCACTGGTTTGAACTAAAGTATGCTGATGTAACATCTACAGGAAAAGCTTCGCCTCCGACACCCGCCCGTTGGCTTTTGTTGCGCCTTGGCTGCACGTGGACCAAAGTGTTAGAGGAAGTACACAGCTCAAGCCGGAGGTGGAGCATCCATGAGATCGCAACTGATTATAGTCAGCGGCAGGCTAAGAATGTGGTAGGTGATCCGCCACAAAAGCAAGTCTTTCGCCTTTGTTTAATACTTCCTTGCACGCACAGTCAAAGCCCTGCGGAAGAAAGACAATGAGCATGTGCTGGAGGCAGATCTTGAACTGCATTCGAAGCACCGACTAAATAGTTCGGAACATACTTTTCCAAATCGAGCAAACCCAGTTTCTGTCTTGGGCATCTCAACTACATATTGTGAGAAGAAAATAAAACGAGAGGGAGACGACAACAAGCCAGTGTCCGAGGCAGAGATATTGACGCACCCTCAACACTATCATTCGTCGTACACTGTAAGAAAGACATCAAATCACCTAGAGGTGTGGGTTTCCCCTGATTGCACCTCTAAGTGGCTGTCCAAGAAACGGTGAGCACAGTTTAGTGCACCCGAAATAAAGAATTTCACCCGCCTATCTGTCAAGCATGCGACCGGCAGGGCACCCACCTCCGAGCCCGTGTGGAAGAGCATGCGCAGGGTGGGCCTGTCCCTGCGGGGCGCCGCAGTCACCAGGTGGGCCGTCACGTCTCCCATGGCCTCGGGGGCCCCGCCCCCGTCCCCGCTGGCGTTGTGGGGCAGGCCCCCCACGGCCCCGCTGGCGTACACCGTCTGGCGCACCGAGAAGGGCCCGAAGCGGGCCAGCACCGTCATCCGGTTCGACAGGGTCAGGGCGAAACGCCGGGACACCTCCTCGGGCCCCACTCCGGGACCGGAGTCCTCCGGGGTGCTCAAAAAGAAGGCACCCGTTGCGTCTCCGGAGTCCAGCACCACCTCGACAGATGCCACATGTCCCCCCTGGTGCCACGCTGTCAAAGGGGAACGCCGTCTCAAAGTGAACAAAAAGTCAGCTAGCGTGCGGGCGAGCTGGTGATAGAATCATGAAGTAGTGTAAAGGCTGGTTTAAACACTTGCGACTGCTCACGACCAAGTGAGTTAAAACCTCTCGTGATTTCTTGCAACGAGAGATCACACCAGCGCCATATGTTGGGTAGCCATGAAACTTTCGTGATTTCCATATTTTTCCTGTCTTTTATGTGCATCACTTTTTATTAGGGATGCCGCAAACTTTTTTCGAATCGAAGTTTCGATGATCGAATCAAGCGGTTCGAAAGATTCAAAAGATTTCAAATTTTCGAACTCTCCATATCGAGAAATTCAACGGAAGTCGAATTTTCAAACTTATTAAACTAAGAAGTTAGACACTTTTCAAATTTTCGAACTTATTACGCTGCAAAATTCGATGCTTGTCGAACTTTCGACTTTATAGACTAAAAAATTCAATGATTTCAGGACTTTCGAACTTCTTGCACTAAAAAGTTTGAAGCTTTTCGAACTTTTGAACTTCCTACGCTAAGAAATTCGATAATTTTCGAACTTATTAATCTAAAGAATCCGAAAATTGTCGAACTCTCGATTCCTGGAAAGTCAAAAGTTCGAAGAACTTCGAACTTTTAGGGTAAAAGTTTGAAGCTCGTCGAACTTCGAAAGATCGGCGGGCGGTTTCATTTGAATTTAAGTAGTGAAGTACATTCATAATTTTTTTTTTTCGCAGTTTTACATGGGGTGAAGCATTCCTTGTTCATTTCACTCATCTGGCATGCTTGGTTTTAGAAAAATAGATTCCCGAAGGAGCGAGGAAGGACGACGAGTTTTTGACAATTGTCATTTGTGCCATATTTGAAGTGCATATAGCCGAAGCTATTTATGGTAGAGATGTTAAACTTTTTAAGAATGATCTATACATAGCATAGGTGAGTGTCGTCTTAAGATATGATTATTGTTGTTCAAGACGAGTTTCGAATAAATATCCAAACATGTACCTACGGACAATTATGCCCTAAACTTGGTAATTTTTTTTGCCTACATTGTTTGGGTATTGCATTTAAATTAACACCAGAGACAGTACATATCATTACCATCTGCAGAATACAAAATAATGTATTTATTGTTGTTTTTCACGTTGAGGAATAAATTAACTCACGGGGGAAGATTTCTAAAATTGTTCAAGTTCAGCGCGTCATAAAAAAAAATATTTTATTTCTCATTTTACGCTCTTGGGACGTGTTTCTTTTGGCCTGTACACATTTTGGTAGGAGAAACTTGTTTCATAGTTCTGGGCCTCTGAATATGCAAGAATACAACACTTCCGACGGGTTCTTGATAGTTTTTTTGTTTTTCCTCTCCAGCTTTTTATTTTTGCATTTATTGTTATGTTTATTTATTGATTATTTTTTACCAATGGCACAGTTATTTAGGTCGAAAAGACATAGCTTTGAACTTTCGAGCCACTGAGCATGTGATGAGTAGTGCCTCCTGACAACGAGTTTCTAAAGGCCTGTTCACACAAGCAGCGGAGCGCTACAAGCATAGCGCTGACCTCGTGCTAAGCATGTGCCCATGGGAGCATTCACCAGCTTTGTATCGCACAGCCAAAACTGTTGTTCATGGCATACGATACGTACCTGACGGCACGTGAGGAGCGTTACATCAGCGCTTCGCTGCATGTGAGAACCGGCCTTAACAATGACCATCTACGCGATCTCTTTTGCAGAGAAGAGCGACAGTAGCTATACATATGCATAAATAATTTCAGATCAAAATAAGCTCGACCATGCCCTCTTTCCCCGTATTGTTTTCTTTAACAGTCCGAAATATCTGGGAAGGGGGAGGGAGAGACTGGAGCTCTCCCCCCCTTCCCCCTTCCCCTTCCCCCTTCCCCCCCCCCCCCCCCCCCCCCCCGTTTTTCCTCTTCCGACGCCACTGGTATGGTGGAACGCCCCTCGACCTCAAGTTGCATCAGCTTCTGCGCTTTTTGCTCGGCGTTTCTTCTACCCCAGAAAATAAACCTCCAAAGCAATTACAAAAAAAAAAAAAAAAAATGTCAAGGTGCAGGTGGGCTGGTGTATGTTGATCATGATGCAAAATCCCGAGACTGGGAATGAAATTCGCAAGAAATAGTGTAAGAAGAAAGAAAAAAAGGGGACAGGACAACGCCTCAAACTCAGCTGAATTGAGTTTGAGACGTTGTCCTGTCCCCTTTTTTCTGTCTTCTTACACTTTTTCTTTCAAATTTCATTCCCAGTCTCAGGATTTTGCATCATGTCCAAACTAAACTTACTATATGCCAGCGTCACTCGGGCAGCGTTTGATCGGATTACTACCAGCATGCAAGGGGGTAGGGGGGCAGTTTGCCAGATCACTTCAAAGTTTTCTGAACCTCAACCACCTGCCTGCCCCAGGCCGTTTCGAACTGGAAAGGTATCGTTAAACAGTGCGTTCGTAGGATCACTACTTCGTAATGCACGTTAATGACCACCCCGGGCTGGCGGTCACAATTACTGATCTATTGTTACATGTCACTGCACTGGCAAATATTCCAGCACATCCGGGGCACTCGTCGTCTCATTTAATTGCCTGACCAACTTCGCGCAGTCTAAATATCACACCCGAACTTTTCTAAACCTGATTTCGTGAAAACCAGTGAGGCATGAAAACGTTATTTGAAACTGAAACTGTGGCGGAACATGAAAACCGGACTTCAAACTTTGCGCACTTGGATTTCAAAGAAATCGGAAACCTTCGAAGTTATTATTTTTTTTTTTCGAATTTAGCCTTAATAGAGAATCGAAACCTTCAAACTTTTCAAACTTTATGTAGAAAGAAATTCGAAATCTTCGAATTTATCGACCTTTATGTCCTCAAAAATTCGAAACGCTCGAATTTCAGATCCAAAGAAATTCGAAACATTCGAATCTCTCGAATTTCAAATTAGGGAAGTTCTAAATCTTCGAATTTATCGAACCTCAAGTAAACAAATATTCGAAATAATCGAACCCAAACTTTTAGAAACCGTGAAAGCTTCGAACTTTTCGAATTCGAAACCCCACGATTTTGGAAAGTTGTGAATTTTTCGAATTCGAACCTCCCTACGGTCGAACATATCTAAACTTTTTGAAATCGAACATCAGTTCGGTTAGAAAATATCGAAACCTTTCGAATTCGAACCTAGGGTGGTTCGCGGCATCCCTACTTTTTATTGCTTCGAAAAACTTTTGACAATGTTTCGTCATTCATGATTTTTGTCATTCTTGTCCAGCTCGCTTGCACCTTTGCATTTAATTGCATTATAATCGTTACCAACGACCGTTTCTCATCAATAATCCATACATTTGATCTCGCAAATACCGCAAAACCTTCGCTCTAGTGAAATGCAGTTCCAGGGCCACCTCATGGATGGGGCCAGCGTGTTCTCTCATCGTAACAGATAGCAAGAACTCGGTCGTAAGCAGACGCAAGTTTCCTCACATTGCGTTACGTTACAAAAGCTTACTTCAGCTTATGTCAAGAGTCACCGAGACATCTGTGCTTCGAATGAATCGTGACAACTAGTTGAAGGAGTAGACTAGCACACTACATTCCAGGCAGTGACGTTCCGGTGACTTGAACGTAACGTGAGAAAATGCAAGGAGACGCTCCCGTGCGAATGGGCCTGTACATCCAAACGCTGTGGTGAGGAAAAACAGAAGAAACTTTCGAGTCGAGGTGTTTATTTCTTCAACTTGAAAGTTTCTTATTTGTTTTTCCTTACCTGCAGATTCGGGTGTTACACAATATTGTTTTAAGGTTGTTAACTTATATATATATTTTACCCTCGGGGCCAGGGGCACTGCGTAGGAGTGGTGAAAAGAACAAAATAAAATTTGAACCAATGCAACAGTTAAATTATGGGGAAAACATGGCTCGTAACACTTCAACAATAAGAGAGCACTATCGACTAATGACACTTAGGTGACGCTGATAAATGATTCAATTAATTTGAAGCACCAAATATAAACAATGAAAAACATTTGTCATAATTGCAAAATGGCACGGCTCAATTTTGATGGTGGGGCCACCTATACTCTAAATGACCAATTCATTTTCGCGAGGACTCTATTTTTTAAGAATTCTGCGACTATTTTGAAAAATTTATCCCGTGAATACATCGCCCAATGGTAACGAATGTATAGCATATCAATCGCAAAATTTTGTGCTCTCAATATATTCAAAGACGCACACTTCGCTTATTTCGCAATATATTTGAGCCCGCAAAAATAAAGTCATTTATAGTGGCTGACTTCTGAGTACAGAGTTCAAGTAGAGTATTTTGTGAAAGACGAATAGCAGAAATTCTGCAACGATTTGTGAGCCAGGAAGAGATGAAGTATTTTTCGTTGATATTAAACTATCGGTGGAATTATAAATAGCCAAAATAACACATTCCTGTGTAGTGGACATAGGTCGGCTATAGTGATATCCCGTCTGTGGTCATAAAAAAAAGTACTTCCCATCATTTAGTCTAGAACTGCAGGTCGGACAATGCGGGAAGTGAAAAACAAAAGGAGAGCGGAGCTACAATTCAATGCTTAGGGTGCTGTAACTCTCCCACACTTATTCAATCTCTTTATGACTCAACTGAATTTGTTGAGTGGTATTGCGCAATAAATGCTAAATAAAGCAGAATAAACTTCCTAAATAGGTCGAACTTTGCAAAAATGTTTGTTTTCATTTCCTCGTATATTGTCTCGTCTTGTTTTCTGCGAAACAGTTTTGTGAGATACTAAGGGTTCCACTTGGGGATGCTGCATTTTTTATCCAATGATAGAAAAAAAAAAAAAGATGTTTACCATTCTCTGCAATGCAAATTAGAGTGCAGCTCTTGAGGAGGAGGAGAGGAGGGAATGCCCCTCCTCCCCTTCTGCTCCCCTCCCATTTAGCAAAACATTTTCGCTAAATTTTCCGCTGAAAAAAATGTTCCGCTAAATAAGGCGGGGAAATTTTTTCGCTAAATTTAGCAGGGAAATTTTCCCATAATACAATGCGCGGTTACGCCCTCTCACATTACTTTCAGAATGCAAAGCGGAATGTTAAGCCAACGCCGACGGCGACGCCGCTCAAGCCGGAAACGGGCGCCTAGCTGTGCTCTAAAAAACAAAAACAGGAGAAGTTGACAAAACAATTGTTTTAACACAAATCTGGCCTTGTTCGGTTATAGCAATGACTCGACAGAATAACTTTAATGCAAGTCGGTTCATTTATAAATGCTTTAATTCACATCTTTTCAAAATTTAATTTTCCTTACATAAAACACTCATATTGCCTCTCTGTCATTGCTGCGGTGTGTTGGCTATAATACAGCAAAGCACAAAACAGTAAAAATTATGTACATGCAAAAAGATACAAATTGAACATCCAAAAAATAAAAGAAAACATCAATATAGAAATTATGGCATGCAGAGATTTGCCAAAAGTTAAATGCTCTTCTCCCTGCCACAGAAAAAAAAAAGAAAAAAAAGAATAGAGCATTTGTGGGAATTTGGTTGTTTTTTTTTGTTGTTGTTTAGTCTGCTGTAACTAAACAGCCACACTTACATCTTTTTTTAAATTTATTATGATGTGTTATGTAATTTGTAGATCAACTTGCACATCCTGTTTTCCTAACAGTCAATTGAAAAAGTCCTGTCAAGGTCGTGCCTATTATTTAGTTTCTGAACATCTAGCTTAGCTTGATGAATTTATGTGAAAATTAAGGGGCCCTTTAAAACTATCATGCCCCACTTAGCCATCAGGAGGGTCGAACTTGCGCAAGAACTCAAACAAATGTGCTCCTCTCTCCTTTTTTTTGACACGATAGATCTTATTGTCACAATTTTTTAAGAGATTGAAGTTTTGGTAGTGGTTAAGTCACTTCCAAAGTCAAGAACAAAGAGTTGTTGAATTATAACGACTTAAGATAATATGATTAACTGCTTATGTGAGACAAATAAAACTGAGTTTCATGCATGATGAATTAACTATAGCCTGTAGCCTAACAAACAAACAAAAAACCTCTACAGCAATTGTAAGAATGGGGGGAAAGAAATCACACACACACACATAGGAAAGTGGAAACAAAGAGCAAAGTAAAGTTGGTAAAAAAAAAAAAAGGCTCATTTGTGTTATACTTTTTGTATCTATATTGCCCGGTTTGTTTTCAAAGCGTAGCCTGCTTGGACCCGAAGTAAACGAAGAACGTCTGCTAGAAGCATTCAGTGCAAAGAAAGCCCGCCCCGAAGATTAGACAAGCGACACGGCAATTCGTTTCCCACCACAGGGTGGCTTCGCCGCCGTGTACCGGTGCCGAAGGTCCCTTTAAAAATGGCCTCCCTATTTTTGGGACCATTTGAGCAGGCACCCGACAAACGGCTTGGGCGGAAAAGTGTCTCCCCCGCGAAAAAAACAAAGAGAAAAAAAACATAGATGCACCGCCGGGCACTCTCACGAGCATTGACACCTCGAGAGGGGAACAGCCAGCGCCTGACAGTTCGCAAACACTGCAGGTGCACGCGCGTCGCTTCCCCATCAATGCCGCAACTACGCGCGTGATATTCGCCACAAGTTTTCGTCTGAGAAACCCGACTGAAATCAAGCCGAGAGCTACCGTCTCCACTTCACAGACTAAGAATTAGCGAGACTCAAGATGAATTTACATAAAGCACGGAGGCCCCTCGGTGTTTTCACAACAAAAGTGAGCAGCGCTGCCTGTCACTCGGCAATGTTTGAAGTCGCCTCGCGCTCGTTAACGCACAGCTATTGCGAGGTATATAGAAACTATACGATATTTTAAACAGAGATGTTGGAACTAAGTTAAACGTAAAGCTGATTGTTTCGCAAAGTTGTCGACTAAGAAAAACTTTCCGAAACGGTTACCCTTTTTCAGCGCAATATAGGTACCACCGAGTTCGACAATTCCGAGAACCGAATACGTCAGCCGAGAGGGATATAAACGTTTCCTTCGTCATACGGAATCATCCGAAAGTTGAGCTTTAGTCAGGCGAAACACGGAGAATAGCACACCTCGAAGCAAAGAGAACGCCAAGAAACGCCCTACTCGTAAAGATTGTCAAAGCGAGACCGCCAGCTTAGGGCGAAGAAATCGGCCAACAGCCGTGAGATGCGAGTGCGATTGGGACTCACCTGCGAACCAAATCCAGACCACGGCCTTCCAGCGATTCATGTCTAGAGTTGCGGGGTGATCGCTAAAGGGCGCCCATCCCGTGAAGTCGGGGCACTATCGACTACACGGCAGCCATGGCCCCCGCAGATCATCGTCTGCATCGGCTTTCCCACAATGCACCGGAGCGTCCCTCGTCCCCAGCATCCTCCGCCTTGCCTTCCGTTGCTTCCGCGCATAGATATGCTTCCGCGCCTTCCGCACGCGCATCGCTCCGCAAAGTGGCGTCATTTCCGGGCCATGACATCACGCTTCCGGTCGCGCCAAGCGGGACATCTGAGGGATTTTGACACCTGAATGCCGTGTATGCACCTGATAGTCCCTGGAGCTTAGTGCCTGCGACATCCCCAGAAATGCACCCCCCCCCCCCACATAAAAAAAAAAAAAAAAAAAAAAAAAATCTGGACAAGGATAAAAAAAGAACAATATTGACGAAATATGGTTTTATCTACATACAAAACTAACTCGTGGAAAAACAGGATTTAGCAAAACCGAGAAGGAAGTCTAGCTTCACTGTCTCATTTGGTACGGAATATTCATGGCACTAGAAACCAGGTAATGATGGTCTATGCCAGGGGAGGCAAAGAGAGAAATGAAACGCGTTTTGAATCGAAAGACAGGTTGTGGTTTGATCGTCTTGTGCAACCACTACCTTACGTACAGTTGGACTGGTTTTGACTAGGATAGATTGAAAGTAGTTCTAGTTTCGTTTATTGCCCTGAACAAAAGTTTGCCTCCCCTCCCCTCCCCCCCCCCCCACCCCCCCCCCGCCCGCGGCTCTTGGAAGTTTCGTGGTTATGTTTGCGGCTCTTGGGCCGGGTCAGCCTGGCCACCCCTGGTCTATGCTATTCTAATGAATCTAGTACTTGCATGCACCTACAACTCGGGCTTTATCAAGTCCTGCATGTGCAATGTAAATAGATACCACAGGACGAGAGCGATGACATTTTTGATTAGTCGAGGTATTTTTATTGTGCGATGATTCATGGTCAGCCTTCACAGCCGATGTGTGAAGATCCCTGGCTTGGAGAGGAACTTGTAAGGGCGGCTTCTGCTGCGACCCCTGAAAAAAAGAAAAAGAAAAAAAAAAGCATAAAAAAAAAAGCTTAACAGATTTAGAAGTCGTGAGCCAGGTGGCGCAAGCTACTGTCCATTACAAGGGGAACAGCCACAATCATTTATCCACCTCAGGGACAACCTTCTGGATCGAAAAATGGCCACTTGAGGTCAACCGAGAAATAGCACGCAAGACAGCGAAGGTGCGACCAACGGTATTCAGTGCGATGTCCTCTCTTTCAGAAGTCTAAAAAAATTAGCCACTGTGCCGTTAACCTTTTATAAATGACTTGCATCTTACAACAACTTATAGACTGTGAATTAACAAGTATAAATGACCAAGAAGAGAAGAACAAGACAAGACAGAGCGCTTTCTATTCATTGCAAGTTTTAAAAAAATGCAGAACTGATTATGCAATTGTAATTAATGTACTTCCAATCACAAACACACACACACAAAAAAAGCTTAGAAACTTGTGTTAAGAGCAAAACCTACAAATATTCCTTTTAAAACACCTAATCCCTTTTTGGCAAGGGCTGAGGAACCACTCTCAGTGTCAGCATTGCTGCTCTAAAGCAGTGCAGAAGCCCAAACACCTCGTCATCAATAACAATGATACCAGGCAGTGTCGCAGATATTAGTTACGCACCAATGGGCGGCTCCATTTTTCTAGAACGGCGCTTACACAGGAAGAACGCATTACGACGGGGCAGGGGCAGTCAGGGAAATTCGGGATTTTGGGGAACCCCTGAGGGTACTCTGGGGAACCTGCCAGGTTCTTAGAAACGCAGTATGAGAACCAGTGTTCTGCGCTATTCATACGCCTACACCGAGTTTTTTTCCTTACACGCAGCAGGCTCTCGGCAGGGTCCGCCCACCACCACTTAGCATAATCGAAGCCCTTGCACTAGAATTTTGACGTCGTCGCGGAGAGATTGAGTGAAGACAGAGACGGCACACGAGTGCTGTGTCGGCGCTCGGCCGGGCCTCGTGTCCGATCAACGCGTCGAAAGACGTTCGGCATCAAGTTCAAATATGACTGACCCTTTTCGAAATTTAGTTTGGCAACTTCGATCACCATTATCCTCTCTGTGTATGGCATGCGTGCCAAATTAGCGGCGGCCTTCTCGAGCTTGACGAAGCAAGAAGCTGAAGATACTACCGGGCGGAGGATGTATCCGGTCTGTATGTTCGAGGCGTCGGTATGGTACGACACACGGATAAGATACAATGGCTGTGTAAGCATTTATTTCAGAGTGCGGTCCAACAATTTTTTTAAGTCTGGCTCTGAAGTCTTTTGATGGTGGAAATTTAACCGAGGGACCTACGGGTCGCCGCCGCTTTGTTCTGGTCAGTTCTCCAGTTCACACCGTCGAAACTGACACAAATGGTGGCGTTGCTTGCATCTTTGTATGTGATCTTTAGTCACCTTCGCCTCTCTCCACCTTCTTTCGTTTCTTTTTGTCACCATTTTGCAACGGTGGCAGTGAGCTTTTGTTGCGAATTTGTCAGGATGTCAATGAAGCTGATGAAACTTCCGACAATGATGACATGTCCGGAAGTTCTGACAATGATTAAGTTTTTGGCATCGTGCTGTGATTTAGCTTAGTGTGCTGTAAATAAAGGTTTGTTTCTTTTTTTAGCCCAAACTTTCTTCTGTTCTTTAAAAGAAAAAAAGAAAAATTCAACCTATATTTGAGTTTTTTTTTTTTTTTAAATTGTCGGCGAGCTTAATATGAATACATCAACCTATATTTGTGGTAGACTTATATTCGAGTAAATACGGTAATTGCTGAACGGGCACCATTTGACTGCGACGACATCCCATGGAGGAAGACGAGAATGTCTGCGGGTTTCGGTTACCATACGGATGGAGACAATGACTGACCTGACGACGCGTGCAAGCACTGTATCGTTGGAGAACTCCCTGGGGCAGTCGAGTCCGTCTGAAGAGGACTGCGACTCCAGGAGTACGTCCATGGCCACGAGCAGCTGCTGCAGCTGGTAGCTGAGCAGCTGCTCCCGTTGCTCCGCTCCAATGCGCTCCACGCAGTGCACGTTCAGCTCACGCTCCAGCTCCTGGGGGCAGACAGAATGGGCGGCATCTCACACAACCGTTCCCCCCACGGTTCGTGCCGTTACGTCGAACCTCGCCACAAGGTGCGGGACGGCGTCTTGGTTTAAACAGATTGGCGAACAAGGTCGGACGACTCCGTGAAGTCCGACGCGTATGGAGCGAAATCCCCCAAAGCACAAAAAAACATCCGGCAAACTCAGTTCAGCAAAGCCGCAGGGCGAATTCAATGGTCGCTGCAATTGCGCGGTGTTGCGTGATTACGATGAAGCAAACAAGTGCCGAAAATTACTTTGACGGATGGGGGGAAGGAAAATTGCACCGAAGGTTGTATTAAATAATTGCAGTAGTGGAACTGATGAGTAGTGATTTGGAGCAGCTCTTGTAGCAGGGAAAAATGGGTTTTGCAGCATAGATTCCATCTTTTGGAGCAAACAATTTTGAGCTTTCATGTCAAAAATAAATTAGCCTGTGGAAAAACACTGCAGTCGTTTGAGTGTTGGGAGACTATACAAGGTGGCATACTTACGGGAGACCTGGCCGCTACAGATATTTATTTATATATTAAACAATCATACGGCGGTAATTTTGGGCTTAATTGACCTATTAAAAGTACTGATAGCGAATTCGGTCTGTGTTTGATGTAAAAAAGATGCTTTTGGGTACTTTGTAGGGTTTGCAGACCTGCCAACCCTACAATGCTGAAAATACTATAGGGAATGCCAAAAAACACTACAATTGTGTGAAGAAATATAAAAACTGTTTTATTCTTCAAAAACTTGGTTTAGGTAAGAAAAATGCATCAACTAGGGCACAAACACACAAAATGTCTTATTGCACAAAATGTCTTTTTCTTTAGAAGTAGAAGATTGGGCCAACAGTGAGGAAGTTGCAGATTTTGCTTTTCTTAGGAAGTTCTTGTCAAACACTTGTTCATGGCACTTTCCGGACTGGCTGCATCTCACAACAACTGTTCAAGAGTCTTTTTCGACATAGAGGAGCGGAACTGCGTGTGTGCCTTCTTCATTTTGCTGCAAACTCTTTTGCCAGTGCCTGGTTTAACGAAGACGTTAAAGAGCAAAGTTCTTGCTCTTTAACGTCTCCAAAACAAATGCTGTGAATGGCACGTTGTGTTCGATCAAAAAATGCCGTAAAAAAGCATTCTGCTCCGGTAGTGTCGTAATCCGTTGATCGACTAAAGTACCCTCCAAGCTTCCCGTTGGTTTCAACTAATTTTGCAGAGTCCTTGTGCTTCTTCGTATTCAGATGACACAAAATGTCCCGGCGACCAGCGTGCGAAAGGTTGACATAGCAGCGACACAGACTACCAAATCCGTACCTCTTGCCCTTACGCGACGTCTTCATAAATGGAGAGTCGGTTGAACAGCTGGGAATAAACACTTGCAAGTATTTTTTTTTTTTCAGACATCTTGTACCAACGATGGTTTCAAGGGATCGTGAGTAAAAGTTCCAGTAACACATACAAGTGTTGCCAACCCCAACTTATAAACAGGCAAGATGCAGCCTAAACAAAACCTTTTTTTTTTTTACACGGGGTGCGGAAAATCATACAAATATAGTTGTTAATAAGATAACCGCAAGAAAGCGTTGGGAAGCGGACACTTTACGATAAAATCGTAAAACTTGGCAGGTATGGGTTTGTATCACGCTGCTCTTGCTTGTATTCCACTTGCTACTGTTCATAGAGCAGCTAAGCCGAGCACATAGCTACTCTAACTCATCACAATTAATAGCTCTAGCTATTCATTGTGATCGATGTGAGCACCGTCTGCACAAAAACCGATAACTCTTCGTAAGGCATGTGCAAATAATAAATTTTGGGTTCGAAGCAAATTCAAAGTGAATAGTGGTTTTGGCCAAACATTTTATTAAATTGAATATTGAATAGTTTCTGCACCTTTCTCCACGCCTTTCACTACAGTTACACCATGCTGAAACTAAAATTCAGCTGAACTTGCGAAGGTTGTTCCCAAGCTTCTAATTGCCCACTTCCGAGCTCTGTTAAATTTAATCTTGCTATATTTACAGACCGTGGCCTCAGAAAGTCCAATACCTACATTGGGATGGTAAGTAAACGACAGATTTTACATAAAATTATATCGATAAAGGAGCCCATCTGTATGTAATTGAGGGAATTTATAAATATTCTTGCTATATGCAAATACTTTCTTCAATTCTAAATTAAAAAAAAAAAAAAAAAAAAAAAAAAAAAACAAGCAGAAATAATGAACACATGTTAGAATATCGCTGCCTAACATATATGCTTGCAAAATAGCCACAGTTACATTTTAAATATTTTACTAATTTTTCCTGTTTTTTTTTTTTTTTTTTTTTACTACACCAGGTGCATGCGTGTACCAGACCACTTTGAAGGTGTTCTTCACCTAAGCGTGTGGCTCTGCTGCGACGAAGCGAGTCGCGAGACCACGGTGTCAGCTCCGCGGGTATTGCTTCTCCGCAGTACACCAGTGCTTGAGGAGAGGCACACTCAACCCGCCGCGATCAACACTTCCTAAAGTATGAATATCGCAGTTCAATTTGGTGAGATTATCAAAGAGCGCATTATTTGAAACAATCATATAAAAATTCGAATATTCGCATAACCCTACTCTTCATACATAGTACTTACTCATCCGAAAAAACAAAAACTGTACTTTATTGATTTTCAGTAATATCACCAACAATGAGACGTGCCAGACACTTTCAGTTTCCTTTTCGAGAACAGCTTCCTTTTGGCACAGACATGGTGCAAATTGTGCACAAATACAGTCTTTGGAGCAGCACATAGCAGGTTGTTCATTCTGGCGCAAATGGTGCAGCAGTTCCACCACTGTAATTGTTTCTTTGGTACCCGGTATATACAAGTCCATTACAGAGTCAATCATGAAAAGACACCGGGCATGGCAAACGCTGTTTTCCCTCTGACATTTGTGAAGAAGAGCTTATGCAGATAAACAAAGGAAAGTACCAATTCACATGCTCTATAAAGTCACAGTTTCAGTTCGAATTCGGACAATTTGCACATCAAGTTTAAGCGTTACACGCAAGAATGGGTACCGATAAAACTTTGATCTTATTGTCGCGAAACGGAAGGTATCCAAACCAGCCTAATCCCGTCTAAACCCAATGGGCAAGATACTCCCCGATTTGCAATGAAAGTGAAGAGGCTCCTACCTTGACAGAGTCGTCGTCCCTGCTGGAACGTTCTTCTCTCAGCTGAAGGGTGAGCAGGAACAGGGGTGCCTCTGATGGATAGTTGTATCCAAGCAGAATGAACGCCTTAAGCATGGCTGCACAAAAACAACAAAAAAGAGGAACATATCCGTAATGCACCTCTCCTCAGCAACCCACGAGAATGGTAGCATCAAGCTTTCTTTCTGCTGGCATCTGCAAATGGTTGGATCCGTTGTCACCTCTGACCTGAGGTAAAACTTTGCCTGTGCATGGCATCAACTTTCTTGTGCTACACTGTCGAGGCTAGCATATTTTTGGCAGCGTTTTGATGCTGTTCAAGATAACATATTCGCACAAATATAACGCGACCACGATTATAACGCGAGGGCAGGTTTTGATGCCCTCAAAAATAAAAATAAAAATATTACTATCATAACGCGAGCCGAGGCCGCGTAAATTTACCGCACTCGGGGGCAGAGCAGAAGTGAAAAGGCAATGGAATCAAAGAAATATCAGTTCATGCTCAGGTCCTTCCGTTTGCAATCCACTTAGCGACTTCGCACATATGCAGCAACACAGCACCGCTTGTCTGGTAGTTCTTTCTTCTTCGAAGGGAGCTCCTCGGCAGCCCGCAAGAAAAGCAAGGCAGAAGCAGAAACACCAACACACAAACACTAGACCACTCTGGAGCAGAAACTAAGAAATGCGCAGGCAGAAAAAAGACTGCTGGACCCGACACAGGGTCACACTCATTCTTGTTCTGGTCCCTCCGCAGTGCAGGGAGACATGGGCTCGGCATCTTTCGCGGCTACAGAGGCGATCAGCAAGTTGAAATTGGAACAAAGACTAGACACAATTGAGGATACACGATGGACGAGAAACGTATATAAGCATCTGTACACGAAAAGTTTGAACACTAAATGGACAAACCGATTGCGAAAACTAAAATTAAAATACCAATCGTCAAGTGTGGATGCAGAACAGACTACCTCTGTGAAAAAAGTCAACAGGTCTCTTCTGTTATCCCTAAGACGACTTGAAGGCGAAAGCCCAAGCGCCGATGTAAACGTGATAGCGAACCTCCAAAGACGGCACGCTTTCTGACAGCGCACTTTTGGTGCCGTTTCATTGGCTCACTCGGATCGTGGCGTCGGCTGTGGGTGATAGCAAACCTCTAAAAACAGCGCACTCTTTGACGACACACTTTTGGCGCCATTTCATCGGTACCTTTTGTGTCGCCGTGTTTTCGCTCAAGGGCTTTTAAGGTCGACTGAATGATGAGACATATAAGACTCTCGGCTTAATAACAAAGAGGAGATTGGAAGACTGGTGGAAATCATCTAGGGAGAATTGAATGACGTACAACTAGGCTAGGTGGCGCGAGCTGCCGCCCAATATATAGGGTACAGCCGTTAGCATCCATCCTTGGCCTGGCTAGAATTGGCCAGTGCCCGCATTCCCGCGTGGCGCGCTGCATTTCTGCGGCGTGCTTTTCGGCATGTATTGTACAAACACAAAAGCAATAAAAATGCTTTTTACGTTTTCTATTCCCTCCTTCATGCTGCCCAACAGATAATAAATTCCCTCCCACACCCTCACTTCTTTTCTTACCCTATCTCCTGTATTGAGCCAGAGAGATTGCTTTCTCCAGCCACGCACGTCGTGGCTAACTCAATTCCAAATATAACGCTAAATGCATGTTAAAGCATGTAATTAAAAAAAAAAAGACAAAAAAAAACCCAAAAAAACACACACACACATTATATTTGTGCCAATACGGTGCTTGCGCGAGCGCGTGACTTCATATAGCATCATGTAGCGGTGCGGACAAGATTCAAGATGAAGTCAGATGCTCTCGTGGCAGTGCGGGACTACAGCACTGTGAAAACTGCACTAGTCTTGACAATGTAGCACCAAAAAGTTGGCACCAAGTGTAAAGTTCTGGAGTTTTAAATGTCTCAACTTTTGGGTGCCTGTAAAGACAACAGTTCACAAGAGTGTTTTTGTATTTCCTGGCTTCCTTCAATGAAACGCCATGGAAATGTGATGATAGGTAAAAGTGATAGCCCCCAAATTCTGAAAAAAAAAAGAAAAAGGTTCAGACTGACCAGAGCCCCTGCGGAATACCGCCTGGTATGTGAGCTCCTCCCCTGTCACCAGGCCCAGCTCCTCCATTTTGCAGTACGAAGGGTGGCCCTGTAAAAAAAAAGAAAGAAAAAAAAAAAAAAAATCTGGTCTTAGTGTTTTGAGCAACTCGAAGTGAAAAAGACCAAACATAGAATAAATACATCCACCGTCCCACTCAATGCTCCCTCAGTTTGAGTATAGTGCTCATTCCGTTAACTTTCTACTATCAGCGGTTGCCGTGAAATGAAGAATGCCTTTGTTTTACCAAATGTGTGCCTTACACTGACAGTCTGTTTAGTGAACCAGTAAACATACCCTAATACAGTAACGCTACAACAAAATGTAAGTTCGAAGGAAAGTGTTTGGTGTTCACAGACACCCAAGTTGCAACAGCTAAGCAGCAGAAAATTAAAAAAATTATGTTTTCTAAGCTTATTGGGCATCACAGGAATAACACAGCACCGCTAGTGTCACTGCACATCTGTGCAGCGCATGTCACGCTAGAAAATCAGCACGTGCGAGCAATCAGCCCTGAAAGGTGCTTTGAGCTAGAAAATGTACGTCCGTCACACTTTTCCGAATGCTTTACACGACACTACACAATCAAAAAGAGTTGACAAGGTACCACTAGCCACTTTATGACAAAGCGGTGAGAGATGAGACCGGGACCCCTCGGCAGGTCACAAGCCGTGCGTGGCCAAACGTGCAAATGCAAAGGTCGCAAAAGGGCGTGACGCCACCCACCTCAACCTCCTCTCGGCTGACCTGGGTCCAGAGCTTGAGGGCAGAGGTCACCTTGGTTGGAAAGTGGTCCACCATGCTCGGCGGCACCGTCACAACGCCCTTCTCTGTGAGGGTGGGCGGGCACCTTTTTTAGCCCTATGAAGGTATAGTTATTCTCCCAAAAGATGTTCCCAGTGGCTGGGTTTTGTTTCCAAAGGAATAGTATGAAGAAAGGTTGAATGCACAGGTTTGAGCAGTGCTTGCAAACTGTTCAGTTTTACAAACATAAAAAAAAAAAAAAATTATTGAGGGCAAAAAGTTGTCACCTTCCTTCCATTCGGTTTCATTTTGGCTCGTCCGCTTCCGCGAAATTCCGGCGGTTTCAGATTCCTAACTTTACAAAGCTTCTCCGTCGGATGGCAAGCTCTCATATGCTGAATTCAAGTCCAAGAAGCGTTAAGATTCCGAATTGGAAGAACTGGCACTCCAATTGCCGCTACTGTCAGAGCAGCCGGCATGCGAGGCGACCATCTCGCGCGCGACTGCGGTGTCTAATTTTAATACTATAAATAGCCCCAGCAAAATTGAACATTATAACATTAAAACTATAACAGTTAAAGTTGGCCAAACACACATCAAATAGCAATGTCTCTTGCGGTGCACGCGGTTTTGCGTTTAGGCGGGCACGTTCAAACGTGTAATTGCTGCCGTCAAAGGGTTAAAGGGGCCCTGAACTTCAGTATTTTGAGTATGTCTTTTCAAGGTGATAACTCAATCTGCACACCACCTTCCCAAAACGTCTGCCGACGACGACAATGACCAGGGGTACACCGGGTTGAACGCGGAACACTTGTACAGCCTGGCGGCAAAGGTGGAACTGGCCCGACACTGCGACAGCTGCCTCGATGTGCTATAGTTTCACCGCCAAATGCACTCACACAGCAAAAAAGGTCAAGTCACAGGCCGTTTGCTGGACCTCAGCTTGAGATTGAATGTGCGATGGGACAGAATCTGACCTTGTGGTCAAAACCAAACGGGAGAAATATTTTGCAACATCAAAGTCGTGAAACTGGCGATCCGGTGGTGAAAGCGCACAGCTTGATGCGCAGTTATAAGTAACTGCGTTACTGATGCTCACGCGTTTGGTCCTGCACATGTTTCGCCATTTGTGGTAAGCAGTGGACCGACCTCCAGCACGTGCTCGTGGCTTTGCTTGAGTTGTCCCGCTGGAGGCGGGGCAACTCAAGCACCTGCCTGCCGTTCTCTTCTTGTCACGTGACAGTAGGCAGCTACACTCAGCAGACTACGATTTCACTGTGACTTTAGAAGTATCATCACCAAAACTGACTACTCGCAACGACATATTTAATTAGTCGCTTTACAGCCGTGGATATGCCAGTTTTGAGTGTAAGTGAACCACCTCAGTTACATCCCAAAAAAGAAACACACTTACAGCAATTACTTGGATGTAACTTTGACAGCATTCACCCACCGGGACCATATCTAATCACAGTCACTCAAAATGCTAGAAAATTATACATGCCGTTTCCGAGCACTTTTCGGGCATAAAATAACTAATGTCCATAAACTGGAGGAAAACAGAAGCAAGCCATCAGGTTGGCGCTGCTACTTGCCTACGGCATGCACAATGTTACAACAAGTTGAAAGCTTCTTCGAGATGAACACCCAAAGCGGATCCGGCAGATGCGAGTGCGTCTGGTACAATGTGCGAGCAGCAGCAACAACCAAACGGCTTGCTTCCGTTTTCCTCTGGCACATGAGAAAAAACAAGTTTTGTTCAAAAGCCCATACGTTTCCAGACTGGAAACGCTCAGTCAGTTTCTAGTACAGATACAACGATAATCGGTTATAACGATTGAATTTTCGGGTTTTCTCATTATCGTTATAAAGGCCCGTTCACACTCTTGCGACTGCTTGCGACCTCTTAAACCTGGGTTCCTTAAAACTTCTTAAACCAGAGAACACACTGGCGCCATCTATTGGGAAGCAGTGTAAACTCGGCGGTCCAGCATATTTTTTTTTATTTCTCACGCAATATCCTTTCTTTTTTGGCTCGAAAAACTTTTGTCAATGTTATAAACGAGCCTTTCTATGGGTATTACGCACATTTGACCTCGGAAATCCCGCAAAACCTTCGCTTTTGTGAATTGCAGTTCCAGGGTCACCGCATAGATGGCGCCACAATGTCAGTGTGTTCCCTCATTCTAGAAACATTTAAGAAGTTGTAAGAGATCTCGTCTCAGTCAGTCGTACTCGGTCGCAAGAGTGCGAACGGGCCTTAAGAGGATTGCACTTAACCCGCGAAATTTGAGCATGATAAATGCATCACCTAAAAATATTTTTGTCAAAAGCTTACATGCACTACCCTTGTCGGTTTATTTGCCCGACTGGCGCTCGAGAATACCCCGTAGTTACTTCCCGGCTGCAGGGGCTTCTGCCACAGGCGGGGGCCACTGACCGAGAGAGAGCAGCTGCTCGTAGAGGGCCACCCGGGCGGAGAAGCGCAGGCGCACGGCCGTGGCCACCTGCTCCACGAAGGCCCGTCCCAGCTCGTGGCTGGCCACGGGGGCCCCGCTCCCCGAGGCCCCCGTGCCCAGGAACTGGAGCCCCGAGAGCCGCTGGGCCCAGCGGTACGGCTTGCCCACCTCGCTCACCACCGCCCCAAAGTCCTCCAGGCTGCGCGGACACGGGAATGAAAGAATGGGCGAGTCTCTTCGGCATTTCCCAAAAGCGTTCCAAGTAAGCACCATTATAGGGCTGCTTCTGGCTACTCAATTGGAAAATGTGGTAAGGATTTCAATCAAGGGCACGTTGAGAGGGTTTGCAGAGTAGAGGGCATCGCCGCATGGGAGCTCAAACTTTCACCAAATGTGCACCGAGCAGGTCAGTTTTAGTGCGTGAAATTTCGAGGCATAGTTCTGATCCTGCAAAAGAGACAAGAGCAACAAACTTGCCAAAGTCAACGTTGGGCGTGTTCGCAGATAGAGTTAGCGACGCTATTAACTCGAGGCGCCATCTACTGACAGGCGCAGCGAGCAGACCACAGGGTGCGTCGTCTGCTCGCCGCGCCTATAGAAAGATATCGCCGCGAGTTAATAGCGCATTCGCATTCACTCATACCTTTTGCTAGAACTTCTTTGCACAAACGCCGGTATCACGACATCCAACACTCTGGTTTCTGCAAAGTCATCCGCTGCCACTTCGGGACCAGATTCAATGAATGGCCAGGATGGGACGCCAAACGCACCAGTCTCGGACGCCTTCAAGCACCGTACCGTAACCTCACTCACATGGCACTTCCTTCGCAATGAGCCTGCGTCAAATCGTGGGCCTCTCGACTGGGATTCGAGCTTGCTAATCGAGGAACCCCGTGCCGGTACTTTGCCTTGCAGCTACGATCGTCTCGTGTCCGGGATTTTTAAAGGGTAACGCCGGTATATTTTCTCGATTTTAGGGTTACGACAGTTTTCAGTGAAGGAAGTGTCCCTAAATCACAAAGCATCAGTTCTTTTTATTAAATGTTTTGTGTAGTTTTGTAGATATCCTATTTCAAAACTTTGTTTCAAGGGTCTACGGCAAAGCCCAGACTTCCGGCTCGAGCCTGATGGAAACCCTTGTGATCGGCTGCATGGCCATCGTGTGATGCGAAGTTCACAATACGGTACCAGAAAACATACGACTGGCCTTGTTGCAAGATCAGTTCCGATCAGTCGGATAAGATGCTATGGTTGTTTTACTGCTTTCCTTTGCAGAAATCAAACACTTGTAGCCAATATTCATGCACATTCATAAAGTTGCCAGCCGAAAAGGGAGTTTGTCACTATGTACGCAGGATCAGAACATGCCACCGCTCAATTTTCTGAAAAGAACTACAATCTTGGAGGTGTGCAATGCACGCTGCAGAGGCATTGCGGAAGCTAATCATAAGCTCACGCTGAGCAGAAACAGACTAAACTATGGCCGCCAGTGAATGCCACTTTTGGCATCACGACATGCTTGACCGAGAAGGGAGTTGACAATCTTTGTGCATGATCGCCGAGGAGCGCTTACGAACTACGGCCGCTAAAACATAATGTTAAAGCAGAAATCATACACTAAAACAGCTAAAAACGCGGCAGAAAAAAAAAAAAAAACTGCGGAAGTGGCAGTATGAACAAGAAACATCCTTGAAAACAAGGACGACACGAGGGCACAAGGTGGCTTGACAAACAGCCAACCTGCTGAATGCCTGCTGAGAAGATGGTGGTTTCTTTAATATCAATTTTAGGGTGGATCGCAGTTTCCTGTAGTGTAACATTTTGGCAGTGCTCGTACTAGTCTCCGTATATCGTTATCAGTCATTTCCTTTGGTTTGACTTTTGAGCGGAGTTACCCTTTAAACAGTCATAGATACGAGCGTCCCTAATGGTGTATTCGCACGACGGAGTTCCTTCCCGAGGAGAAAGATAAACGTCATTGAGTTTTGAGGTCACGTGCTCCGCGTCACGAATGTTCGCTGATCCCCCGAACTCGCGGCGTGCTCGCGGGGTCCCGAGGAGAATCTGTGACAGGCCTACAGAATCTCCGCCGTTCCGTCGGTATCCGTCGGAGTGGTCGGGCCCCCTCTTTTGTCCCCCTGCTTTTGGGGAGGGGTAATGACGAACAGCTTTGAAGTGTGGGGTGCCTTTTCTTTATTATTTCTTGCCGGCCTTTTTGTTGGATGAGCCCCCAAAAGTCGCCAGCAGGCTTGAAGTGTGGGGTGTCTTTTGTTTATTATTCTTTCCCTGCTTTTTGTTCAATGAGCCCCCGGAAGTCGCCAATAGGTTTGCGAAAAGAAAGACTCCGGCGACCCAACTGTATGCGACTCCGTCGTGCGAATGACCGCTTGGATTTTCTCCACTTCCGCCTCCTTCTCATGCCGTTTCCTTCTCTCAGCTCTATGACGTACTCGGCTTTCTCCGGGGATAAAGATCTCTCGTGCGAATACACCATTAATGCGGTGGCCTGGAGGCCGAGGCAGCGGACCAACCGACCCGTTCTTCTTGAGCTGAAAGTGGTTGGCCGGGTTGGGAGAGCTCGTCCCGTTGTCCGCGCCGAGCAGGTTGTCCAAGACGGAGGGTGGGCTCAGGGCGGGGCTGGGGAGGAAGCGAGCGAGAGAGGTCAGGTGGGTAGCCCGAAACCTCTCAAATTCAGAAAATAAAGAAAGAGAAAGGAACTTACACGGCAGACACGCCACAGGAGGTGCCGTGAGGCTCCATGACCTTGGCCACCACGGTCACAATGTGCAGGGGAATCACGTAGGCAAAGGTCATCTGCAGCGTGTAACCTGACGGCACAAAGCAAACGGACAAGAACGGTAAATTCTGCCGCATCGGCATTTGGCCGGTACTCGTGTTTAATCAGTGGGAACGTGAGTCCCATCCCAAAGCTGATGCAATCCGCGAGTCCAATCCGTGTGTCTTGCTGGTTTTTGGCACAGCCCATTATACCGGGAGGGTTCGGCATCCTTTTGAAGATGCCGATGTTCTAGCAACTACGGTTGGGGGTCTGGCAATCACAAAACGTGACCTTGCCTCCGACATATTGCGGCGTTGAATTTTAGGCCCACTCTGGATTAACCATGCCAAGAATGTGTCGACCCATCGTAATAAAAGTGTTCCTCGTTAGTGTGAGAGTCTTTGGGGCTGTACACGCAATCAACAGCAAAAACTTATTTACCCGCTACAATCTCTTAAAATTATACGAGCTTTCATTCATTCCTCTTTTCTCAAAAGTGAATTTTCGGTACTTTCAGTAGTACCCATGTCTCAAAAAGGACCACCACCGAAATTCAGTGCCACAAAGGGCGCCATGCGCAGCGAACATGGCGCTCAATTCCTCGACTCCTTTTCGTTTGAGAAAACGCCATTCTGTTTAAAACTGAAAGACAACAAAGCTTATTTGTACATTCTATTTTTGGAGATTAACAAACAAAGACCAGCATCTTGATACGGTGATCAGTTGCAGGCATAACAAAATGTCTGCATACCAGAAATTCTGTTGACCAGACAACTTCTAACTGCGAATCTGGACCAACGCATGCAGAGTGGAGTGGCCAAAAGCAAAAACCTCCATCTTGCGCCACGGCAAAGTCCACTAGCTCTAGCGGGCGGCAAGCTCCGCCCATCGGCTGAACTCTCTCAGTAAAAAGGGCCCTGGTTTCCGGTGGGAAACAAAGAAAATCTATCACCACGTAGTGGCCTCATCGTCCAGGGGATGTTGGACGGGCTCTGCGTACCTTTGAGCTGCATCTCAAGGACCACACTAAGCGGGTGCTTGTGCAGGACCTTGGCCGCGCTGGACGTGCTGCTCCCCCGTGTCATGCGCCGGTGCCGCTTCTGGAAGGGAGGTGCCAATGTCGAGCACCACCGCCCCAACCCCTCGCAAGAATCGGGAAAAATGTTTCACATTCGTTTGTGCGATACCTTCCTAGCTCCAACACAATAAGGTTGTAACATCCTTAAGGGGTGAGCACAGCTCGGAAAATTGTGAAACTAATTGGGCAACGAATATTCTAGCTTTCTCTCGTTGCGCTACAACAGACATGCTTAGTTTGACGGCGGCATACGCTTTGTCGCAAAAGATGAGATTCCAAATCAGTGCTCGTTTTCCGTTCGCTCGAGGCCCACTGAATGTAGAAATTAAAAGCAGAACTACATACCCCTTTGGTGGATTCCTCTGGATCGGACTCCCCACTGTCTTCCTCTGCAGAGACAAGGTTGTTTCCCTCGCATTACAAGAGCCACCTTCAGAGTTTAGACGAAGACAGTGCAGACTGCACCGTGTAAAAAGAGGAACACTTGCCTGGCTTCTCTTCCATAGGTGCCAGGAGGGCCTTGGACTCTTCAACGTTTCCCTCGATCGACACGTCAAAGCTCTTTCCTGCGACGTAATCGGAGGGGCAATCAGCCGCGGCACAAGCGCGCCTGTTAGGCGAGCTCATCCTCATCTTAAGGGCACTAAAGCTGACCAACCTTTCCTTCACTAAAGGTGTCTTTCAAAAGTTGAGCAGTTCAGGGAGCTAGGGTATCTTCCAGGAGCTTGACGATCTAATGTCTCGGATAGAAACAAAGCTGTTCCAACTTTTTTAGGTCTTGTGCCCTTTTATGAAAGAGCACTGGCATGCTACCTCACACTATGAGGTAGCCCTGGAACTGCATTTATCTAGAGCAAAGGTTTCTTAGTATTTGAATGATAAAATGTACATATTAGCTATGAGCGATGATCGTTTATAACATTGCCAAGTGTTTTTCGAGTCTACGGCAGAAGAATGAGGAAATATATGCAAACGTAGTCTTCGACAGATGGTGCCAGTGTGCTCTCTCGTCCTAAGTGGTCACAAGGAAGCGCAAGGCTGCACAATGCACTCTGTTGCAACCAAATAAAAGTAAGTGAACCAGCCTTAAGTGTACTCAGTCTAATGTAGTAGTGCAATGAGAAGTTTCTTGGGGGCACCACCCCCACTTACCGTAAAATACCAAGCAAGTGTCCATTCCAAATATAGAGATAATCGTAAAAAGGTGGGGGATGCGTGCTTGTCTGGTCATCAATTTTACATATCAATGTACTGTGCATATTTCTGAGATCTTACAAATTTGGGAATGGGTGCTTAGTGTGGAATGGGTGGATGCACGGTATTCTAGGGCGGTTCACTTCTCACCTCGCCTCCCACATTGGTTTGAGAAGCAAAGAAATTAGTCTTGGAACCGAAACCTCGTCGACACTTCTTGCGACACGTCAGGTAAATAAATGTCAAAAAGTGCAAATACTGTAGTTGCTTGGCATAGTTCTCCGTTAGGAAGTGATCAAAACACACGTAACCCTGGCTCATGCCAATGTCGTCTGGGCCATCGCAGTCAATGGCTCGAAGCCAAGCCGCTCTTCGCTGTGGGTCGTCCAGCAAATTACGAAACCAAATGGCGCTCGCTCTAGCGTACCTTGTACTGCACTGAATCACAGTGCAGACAGTTGGCATGGCGAGTACTGGAGCACGCGCACAACACACACCAACGACGCTGAGCACGCACCACTACCCAAACCTTCCGCACGCAGAAAATGCGCAGCGACCAGCAAACGACAGGAGTCGGCATTGCTATGGTTGCCGGACGATGGAAATCTCGGATGTATTTCAAAACAAAACTTAACAGCAATCACGTGATATAGTACCGTCGAATTAGTTTGAGAATGCCAGTAAATACCTATTTTCGTAACTTCCTTTTTATTATTGGAACACAAAATAAAGTACAGTAGATCCTCAACCTTAGGCCAATATCTTTGCGACATTTTGTTGCTCAAGTTGGCCAACGGCGTCACATGGTTGTTCCAGGCACCCCAAGGAACTTGATTGTAAAGCACAGTTTATAAAATGTGCATGCAATATTTCGCAGCAATATTTGGGATTGAGGACCTTTGATGTCTCATCAATTTTATAAACTATAAAATGTGCATACAATTATTCGCTGCGATATTTGGGACTTAGGACCTTTGAGATCTCATCAATTGTATAAAATTCTCTTATAAAAATTTTATACAAATATTTTATAAAAAATCTGGGCATATCTATTTTCCTTTGCAGGACTGCTGTAACGTCGAGCAACGCTCCCAGCGTGTCACTCGTTCACGAAGCTCGTTTGTGATGCTTTGCTCGGAGGAAATGACTCCCAAAACACATTCTACGTTAAATTGGGCCGTGGCATGTTCATGCCAATTGTGCTGTGCTCTACAGGCTGAGCAAGGGGGCGTCAGCTCACCGTAGGCTTCCCGGTAGGCCGAGGTCTGCACATAGAGGACATAGAGTGGGCGAGGCAGGTACTCTGCGTGAGCGTGCTCCAGCTGGTGCGTCTGGAGCGGCAGGCCCAGCTCCGCGTGCAGTGGATGCGTCGCCTGCACGCACCATGGCATCCAAGTTGTGTCAAATCAAAAGTCAAATTTGGGGGTTTTACGTGCCAAACCTACGACGGGCATCTGGCACGCCCCAGCGGAGGACTGAGGATTAATTTCGACCACCTGGGGATCTTTTGACGTGCAACCGAGAGCTCGGTTACACGGCGCCTTCTCCGCAATAAGCCTCCGTCATATTGCGGGCACCTCGGTCAGGAATCCAAGTTGTGTCGACTGAGAGGTTAGGCATAAAGCTTTCTCCAATGCGCACGATAAGATACAAATCGGCACGGAGAAACAGGCTCGGGTTTTCTCGAGAGGATGCAACTCTGTACCATCTCACTGTGCAACGTACTGCGAACATTGTTGCGAGTTGTCCGTGCTTACGCCACGACACGGTCGTGCCGCGTGACCTCGCAATCGGACGTGGCGATGCACGAAGTGCAGGGTGAATTAGCATGATCCCTGCACTAAATTAAAGAATTGCTCGGAATAAAGTTTAGGGGCCTTTATGTGCCACAACAACAAAGGACATGTGACATGCCCGAGAGAAACCACTCAAAGATTTTTCTTTTATGGCTCCTATGCCGTAATAGGCCTCGATCGCAATATGGGCACCCCAGTCAGGATTTGAACGAGCCAACTGAGGATTGAATTGGCACCTCGCGTCGGAGTCACCGGGGCAGCTAACTGAGAATTCTGGTGGCACCTGCCAATAAGAAGCCAATGCGGCGTATAAAATGCACTTAACTGTTTGTGAGAAGACCATTTTCCGAAGCGTGCCAATGAGAAAATGATTCACGAGCGGGGGAAGGGTGGCTACTGACCTCCAGGATGGAGTGTAAGGTTGGCTGGATGTTGTCAATGCACTCCTTCTTCTTCTCAATCTCCTTCTGGTACGACTGCTTCATCGCCTCCATGCCCTTCAGCTTCTTAGCCAGTCTGCAAACGCCAATGTATCGACCCCTTCGGCTACCAGCAGAGACAGCGGCAAGCTTCCTCTGAAAGTGATGCTCGACATTTTGCAGTAAGTGGTAGAATATATCGCCTTCCATGCAAAAGACTTTTTCTGGACCATGGTCCGCAACCAAGCCAACCACACTCTGGAGCAAATGCTTACCATCAAATTCCGTAAGAACGCCCCCCCCCCCCAAGAGATCGTCCATGCTGCTTTTCTGGCTAAATATCCCCATAACATAAAAATTCTGAAACATCCCCCCCCCCCCCCCCCCCCCCATTTCCCGTCAAACATCACTTGATGTCCGACGGGGATTGCATCAACCGCACGATCTGTGGTACCGGTACGGGTGACAAGTGAATTTAAAGCGGGTCCCCTTGTTTTTGTCCGCGATCTGCGCGCACGGTATCGGCTCCCACAACACACGAGTTATCGGTTTATATTACATTGTGAAACGCAAATCAGCTGAGTCCGCAATCTGCGGTGTCCGTTCCTGTGACGTGCGAGTTTGTAGCGGATTCCCGCATTTTTGTCCGCAATCTGCGTGCGCAATATTAATTCCCAGATTACAGTAAAACCTCGTTATAACAAAATGGGATATAACAAACTAATGGATATAACAAAGCAATCATAATTCCCCTTGCTTGCTAATAGTATGGAGAAATGGACATTGGCTATAACAAACTAATGGTTATAACGAAATAACTACGACCGCTCCTTCAACTTTGTTATAACGAGGTTTTACTGTAATTATTAATTCCGTGATGTGCACGCGTGACATCAGTTCCCATAATGGGCATGTTTGTAGTAGATTCTTGTGTGTTTATAGCACCATGAAACTTGAATCTGCTGCGACCGCAATTGGCGGTGTCCATTGCTGCGAGATGCGAGTTCTTGGCGGGTTCCCGGAGGTCCTTCGCACCATGAAACGCTTATCTGCTGCGTCCGCAACCTGCAGTATCCTTTCCCGTGACATAGGAGTTCGGAGCAAATTGCCACAACTTTAACGCACCGTGAAACGCTAATTTGCCGTGTCCGCGATCTGCGGTATCAGTACCCGTGCCACGTAGTTCGTAGAGGATGCCCCGGTGTTTATCATTAAGTTTTGATAAAGTTTTGGTGTCACATCCCGAAAGATAGCCCACCCTATGTTTTTAACCATTCATCTCTTCCTTTTGGGAGGGGGGCATTCTTATGGAATTTTATGGTAGTGCACTGGTGTTCTACAACTGCACTACACAAAGCAATTCTCAAAGAAAAATTGTGCCGCGCTTAAATTGCATTTTTAAATTAAGCGCTACCCTCACATTAGTGTAGCTGTAACATGCCTTCTGGTCGACAGGACGAATTCCCCGAGACAAACATTCGAGCAAGAACGAGAAATCTTGAACCTGTTGTCCCCCGATATATACATTAAGCAGCTTCGCAATAACTTCTTGAAAGAAGGAAGCTCGCTCTAAACAGGATCAGGCACACTCAGCCTACATCCGACCACCCACCCCTATTCAGACGAATGAAGAGTGTTCTTTGGCGCCCAGACACACACATTACGACCACTGAACGATCAGAGCGAGAAAAATGGGCCTGTTGAATAAAAAGCTGATTAGTACATGCACGCAAGAAAAATCAAATTTTACTTCTGCACGATTCTAACTGGAGACGACGGATGACAAAGGACAAACACATGTGTGTTTGTCCCTTGTCCCCGTTGTCGTCACCGGTTAGAATCATGTACAACGTTAACCAGCTTGCCTGTCTATTAACCTTGTCTTCTATCCTCTGGCACTCCGCTTCACAATCGGATATATTTTTCTAGTTCTCGTAGATGCAAGCCACGCCGTGGCGCATGACTAGGAACTCAAGCTTGGTAACGAGAGAGTTTGCCGAAAACTCTCATCTGCACTCTTTCCAAAAACTGCCCTCCCAAGCGGAGAGATTCCATTCTGCACTGATCGACAGTCTGGCACTCACTGCTTCCTCTGCTCCAGCTCCCATTGAAGCCTGGCCAGGGTCAGTTGGTGGGGGTCTGCGTCGGTTTCCGCCTGCAGATGGCAAGGTTGCTTTGAGCAGATGCTCCAGACGCCACGCCCGTTAATCGAGGAAAAACATGAATCAGAGGGGTCCGTCGTATGAGCACTGCCCCTCCCCCAAACAATAGCCTGCATCGCTCTCCCTTATCATGTCGCTGATGCAATATGCGCTACAAGTCACTTTACCCACTAAAGAGGCTGCTTGTCTATCTGGGATTGGGTAATCATTGTCTTCACAGAAAAAGTGACTGGTCCTTCGATGAATTAGAAGGTGCATGAGTAAATAAAGCCCTTCCTTTGTCTTTATGATGATCTGATGATTGTTGCATATAATGCACACAGCATGGTGCAGCGCAAATGACTAAAAAGCGCTCTGTTCTGCCCCCTTCTTCTCTTCTTAGTCATTTGCACTTTTTAAATCCCCGTCTAGACACAAATGTGCACCGCCCATTGTTTTGGGAGAGCAGAAATAGTTGCGGAATACCAGACCTACCCGTCTTGACACATGTGCTGGGGCTTCCCTGTAAAACTCTTCCACCGGCACCAGGTCAATCTCCTCGTCTCTGGACCTGCAAGGAAATCGGTCATTCGTTGGTAACTTCCACATTTCTGCTTCCAATAAAGAGAGGCTTAGACAAAGTGACGCTGTCAAGCTGGCTCATGGCTGGCCACCAACGAAATCGTAGGAAAGCGGTGGTCGTCAGAGGTGGTGCAGGCTACTGCCTAATACAAAGAATGCGGCCACTACATTCAATACAACACCCATAGAAAAAAAAATGCCACAAAAACAAAAAGTGTTTTTTAAAGGGGATTTATAAAAACACTGGGAGCACCCAAATTTTCTCCAATGTCTGCACCTTAGAGAAAAACAGATTTTTCTAGTTTAAGCACAATCGAAGCACACCCGAGCAACAAGCTGATGCAGGGCCAAGCTTCCAAACATTCCAATATTTTCTCACTGGAGCGTGGAATACAACTAACAAAGTTGTAATGCTGTGGACCGTTACATTGTAGCGATGTCGAGAAGGTGGAGGGGACCTCCTTTAACTGCGCCACACAAGGCAGGTTCCTCGAGATCAAAAGATTGCAGAAGCCCCACCCCGAGCAATATAAAGGGACACCAAAGACGGTGGTGAATCACCTGAATTCCATGCACTTGGTGACTTCCTTTTGAAGGTGCATCACCTCGTAGGTCAGGTTCTGAAGCTGCAGGTGGAAGTTGTCCACCTTCTGCTTCTTCTGCGAGAGACACAACACAAGTGTCACACTTCGTGGAAAGAGCACGGGCTACAAGAGTGATGCAACTTGCCAGAGTTGGTCGATACCACCACTACGGCGTGTCCTCCCAAAAACTTTGTTGTTTCTTCACCCTAAAGACAAACTACACATCGCCGAACGCTCCGCTTAAAGGGGCAAGGAAACGAAATTCCAGCGCTCATTTTCTAGCTTGAATGTGTTGCATGTTGCACCCTAACCTCAAAAAACACCAGTCTTCCATTGAAAGGTACAAGAAAACTAATTTTAAAGCTAAACAAACAATCTTTCAATGTGCACCTGGTGGATGCATGCGGAGCCTATTTGGAAGGTAATCTAGCAACATTGGGGCACTTGCTACATAGTCGTGACGTAGCAGATTCCTTCGGAGCAGCGCCACTCTTTGGAATTTCAACATTTTCTTTCTTAGCTTTCCTTCTAGCTCAACTCACAAATTGCGCATTGTAACAAACGGTCCAAGAAGACAAAAAGAAAGGACTCCCCTCTTTCTCGGACCCTCATTCGTGCAACCGGATAGAGCCATTCTCCCCCTTAGAAGATTAGCCCGTCGCCCAAAACTTGAACAAAAGTTGCTTTCCCCACCCTGTTCAGCCCTAAGCTGACAGTGTTGTGGAATCTACGTGCACCTTGGGCCAGTCACACGCTCGTCACCCCACGGGTACTTCGAAAGGCTCGGCTGTAACGCGCTGACGCTATTGACACCATCACAACGCTGACAACACCCCCAAGAGCAAAGCTTATAACCACGCCAGCCTTGCTATGTCACGAATGCGGGGAATCTTTTCTTTGTTTTTGTTTGTGCCGGATATCCCATGACGCATCGCGCTCTCCTTTCGCTTCTTTTCGAGCGCTTGCTCGAGTGCACCGTTTGGAATGAAAAATATAGCCAGTCTATCAAAAAACAAACATGTGATTACCATTTACGGTTATTATTTGTTATGCTTGACTCCCAAACGAAATTTGAATATTTAAATTTTTGTTTCCGTACCCCTTTAAATGTAGCGCTACCAGTCTTGACCAGCTTCCAAAGTTTCGAAACTATCCGTTATCCTATTCAAAAGTTATAAGCGGTTTTCTACAAATTTCAATGAGAAAATGGGGCTTGTTCTTGGCGCTGGACGCCATTCAGCTCCATGCATTGGGGGGCTTTGTTGCCTGCCATTTTCCTATTGAACATTTCTGAAAATCTTTTTTTTAAATTTTGAACCAGATAACGGCACGCTCAGAAACTTTGGCATGCAACCTGGACTGCTAGAGCTACATTTACACGGAAACTGAGTGTTCAACACAGTATAGCTTATTTTCAAAAAAAAAAAAAAAAATCTTTTTAGGGGACATTTTGTGCTCTGCATAAAAAGCGGAGTCCTATAGACTTTTAGTATGGCTGCTGAAGTTCACAGGCAGTGGACGAAATCTTTGTTTGTTTACAGTCATCCACATGTGCTCAAAGCAGTGGCTAATATGCTGAGAATATGGGCAAACTAGGTCACTGAAGTGTCTAAAAAGAAAGTTGAACTGCAGCTAATACAAACAATCCTTGGCAAAGTAGTGAATACGGTGGTTTTGCCGAGGAGTAGTGCACCGAGGCCTACCTCGTTAACGGCATCCCTGGCCACCTTCAGCCGGTGCTTGTCCAGGCGGTTGATCTTCTTCAGCATCAGGAAGAGGAAAGACGTCTGCACTCGAAGGTCCTCCATGTCAGCCTGCGAAGATAGCGACATCAAACGAGGTGGCAGATCCAATTTACAGCTTGCATCCAGGCAGTGGAATGCCCATCAAGCACCTTTATAACAAGGTTCCTCCGTAGTCATTGGCAATTACATCTGTAAACCCCATGGCATTGTGCCGACTTGTTGCGGGGTTGACGGTCACTTATGACGATGCAGGGGCTTCACTATAGAAAGACTTGTTTAGAAGATATATTTGCAGCTGTTTTTAGACATTATCTTACCCCCCCCCTCCCCCCCTTTTCGTTTTTACAGCATTATCTGTGCTTATTGTAGAGGGCGAGCGCCGTGTTGCCAAAAAGTAAGGAAGTATGCACGCGTTGACCGCAGGTGACTTTGGCGCCGGGAGGGGGCGAGTACAGCAGTGATACTCTCGTCCTTTCATTGAAAACTGTCACGGTTGAGGCGCAGCGCGTTATGTCAATTGAGACTGCGCTTGGGGTCATGTGATCGCGCTCCTTGCCACCTGCCCTTTCTGCCTTTGGTTGCATGTTCCCTCGGCACTTTAAGCCCTTGCACGCAAGAATGGCGCGGCCGAAGCGTACGCTGAAGCAAGCTGCGACTCCTCAATGGTGCAAACGTGCCCGGGAGAGAGTACGTCATCGATGTGTGGGCGCCGACGGTCTCACCATAGGTGTTAGGATGGAATGCTTTGATGTTAAGATCATGCTTCGCCCGACTGTAAAGCGGCACATGGAAGAGAATGCTACCGAGCGAAGAATGGACATGCTGTTGCGACTGAGAAATTCCTGCAGCGCATTCACGAGAACGTGTTTGGTGCTAGCCGTTCTGTGTATGATCGGTCGTGGTTTACGCGAGACCTGGTGTCCTTGCCGGCGGCTTGCCATGAGGTTCTTCAGTCCTCATACCCGGACAGTGACCCTACTGCCTTCAAGGTGCGCACCACGTGCATATGCAGTGTTCGTCCGTAGGCAGGTAGCAAACACTTCGCGATGCAAAAAGAAAAAATAATGAAATGCCACATCACCACGCGACGCAACATCACCGGAATTTCCACTCAATCACGACACAATATCATAGAAATGTCACACCAGCCAACGCTGTCTATTGACATATGTCGCATAAGTGTGCCACAGTACTTTGACGCTTACAGCAGCCGTTAGAGTTTTTGACACTCACCCTAAATGTGCGAAGCTCTCTGCCAACTGACAGAACAGACTCGAAGGAGCTGTCCAGGGTGTATGAGTCTTCATTGACATCCTCGTGATCCTCCCTTCTCCTTTTCACAGGGGTTACGTATGGTAACAATGTATTTTTGCCCAATCTTTAAAAAAGTTCAGCAAATGTGCAGCTTTACCGAATCTTCAATTTGGCAAAAGTTCGGCCCATCACTAGCTCTCACCTATCTGTCCAGACCCAAACATCACCACCTGTGTCCTTCTAAGTGCGAATGAATTATTATTATTATTATTAGCACTTATGTAACCTTCAGTCATAAAACCCGAGTATGACAAGCATACCATTGTGACACCAAGCGACATATTGGCAGTGATTTGCCTACGCACACACTAGGGGAGGGGGGTATACACCCCCCCTTGTTTTTCTGAAGGCACCCCCTTAATTCGAAACGACTCCTCTATTCTCAATGCCGCCGCCCCGGCCCGCCCCCCCCCCCCAAATTTCAGTAGACCTATTGTTATATTACCCAAGCATCAAGGAGAATGCAGGGCTTGGTGTTCCCCACGTCACACGCCTTTCCCGTCTAAAAGACTCAAAGTAAATAACCCAAATAAAGCGCTGACGAATGTGCGTGCAAGATGCCGTTTGCTTTAGGTATTTGCTTTAGAAAAGTAACTACTGCTGACGCCAGAATGTGCGGCATGGGGAACACCAATCCCTGCATTCTCCTTGATGTTTGGGCAATATAGCAATAGGTCTATTCCTGAAGAAACCCCTGCATATTGGTATTTCCAAGAGAAGGAAACATGTTCTGTCAGTCGTGGTCATGAAATCCCGGACGTACAGTGGCTAGCAACATGAGCCAGAATGTGCAAGCGGCAACCAGGCAGTTCAGACCATGCGGTCAACCAAGCAGCGAGTGGACGGTAAGAACGGCAGTGGAGGTGTTTACTCGCCAGCCGCACACGATCCCTCCCCACCCCCGACGCGAACACTGTGGCCGTCTGACAGCGTGGTTTGTACCGTATAGAGGGCTAGGTTGGACATTTACATGAACAATTTAAAAGGTCATGGGAGTGGTGCATTGTCATTTGATTGGTATAGGCAATTGCCTCCACCAATCAGATGCCAATACATCAGTGACCTTTTAAAACATACACGTAATAGCATCCTTGACGATCAACACCGGTGTGTACTGGGGCATCAAGGTGTACCCTGCCGTCTTCAATCAAGTGCACTGGTGTGCACCGGACACCTTCAATCAATAAAGCGCACTCTCCTTACACTGCTCCTCATTGCCCCAAAGCGCACCAAGAAAATTGACTGTGCGCCGAAGGGCAGTCCCATCAGGCATTGCAACCAGGAGCGGGAATCGGAGATGGCAGGAACAGCAGACGCACAGTCTATTGAGATGGCGTCCATGCAAAAACTAACACATCTCACAGCGACGCTCAATGAATTCCTTAGCTCTTCTGACAGCGAAGACGACAAGCTTCCTAACATGCTGTGGCAAGAAGCACCCGTAAGTTCTGAACTTCGTGGAAAAATGTAGTAATACAGTGATGCATTACGCCCCTAATGTGAATAATAGTTTGGAGGTATACTCATGTGTGTGCATGTCATGTGACCTAGAAAGCCAATAAACGGGCCGAGGCTCGCAACCTCGGCGAAGGCTCGACACAGACCGCAGACCTTACCGCACGTCTCTCTTTATCTCCCGACGAGGCCATGGACGGTTGGCGTCGACTCGGAATCTGCCCAACGGTTCGGTCAGTGGCACTGATGAGCCGGCGCGCTACGTGGCGGCGAGCCTTTCCTACCAGTGGCAGGCGTCACCTTAGAACACTACAAAAGTGTTGCGAGGCTTTTCGATGACACCGAGACACGGCTATTATCTAGTGGTACTCTTTCTTTAACCAAAAATGATGGGCAAAATATACCTGTAGAATTGTCCCCTGCTTTGTGACCCCATCCACAATCACGTTCACAATGTTAATTTGTGTGAGACCGCTAAACCGGTTCTGCACACAGTAAGTAAGTAAGTCAAGTCAAGTGAACCACGACCCTTTTAGATCACGGCGGGTACTCTGAAAGAGTTCCTCTGGTTTTGTAATAAAATAAAAAGAATGAACCAAACGCGAAGTGGTGCTTGCCGCGGTGCACCGGCGCGGCGCAGTTTGTCCTCGATGTTGGACCGACTTCGCGCTGCACGACCAAGGAGCGCTGTATACTGTCCTGGTTTCAGGGCAATTCCGGTGCCAGTTGATCAAAGATGCTATAAATGTCAAACTTAGGTAACCAGGTCGCCGTTTGTGGATTAAGCTCATATCGCTAACCACTCTAGTACGTAATTTTCTTCAGCAGAGTCATCTGATCACTTTACCAGTGACAACCAAGGATACGGCCCCTGGCCTGTTGCGATCTCCCTTTTGGTCGACGTACCTGGGATCTTTTCTGCAGCTTCATGTCGAAGAGAATCTTGAGGTTCTTTTGGATCTCGGCGCTCGTTCGCTTGAAGAGTGCCTCGTCTTCCGTCGAATCCCGAGCTTTGGCCTCATCTTCTTCCAGGAGGAAGTAGTCCACATTTAGGTTCTGGAAGGAACCACACCGGGAGTGACTTTGTTTAACCTAAGCTCAGCGAACAACGAAGCCCGCGGGTAAGAAACTTACCGGCGCGGCGCCAGAGTTCGAGACGTCGTTCTGCGTCTTGACCCGCTTGACTTTCTTCTCGCGGATGGACATCGCCGAAGTGGGCCGCGTTCGATCTACACTCGAGCTCGGGCCACCTGAGTACGAGTAAATCCCGCTAAAACCTACAAAAACGATTTACAAATTCGCTAAAAGTACAGCACTCAGAAGCGTCTTCTTCACCGTGTTCTTCACTGTCTTCACCTACTTCGCAAAAATAGAGCGGCGGCGCGGGCGGCAGGGCGCATGAATGGATGGATACCCTTTGTAACGGGCGGTACTTTGCGTCACCTAGCCTTAGTCGCCTGCGACGATCCTTTGGGAGCAACCGCCCTGATGCTAAAGGATTTTGGTGCTACTGAATACAGACAAACATATGATTCCTCCCGCCCTTCTAATGCAAAATAACATCATTTTAAAAACTACACCTTTTTTTGAACAAAAGGTTAGAAATTTTTTTGTTTGTCCGTCCCTTTTCGTCCCAGTCTCGGGGTTTTCAGTCAAACGTTTAACGGTTTAACCAACGGTTTTACCCCCACCAGCTCGTTTGCGCACTAACCTTTTGTTCACTAATGTTAAAAATTTGTTAAAGGCCGCAGTGGCCTGACGGCCAGACCAGCCGAACCGCCAAGCATCATGCACAAACAGCAACTACAGCAACATTGCAACAGCGAATGCTGGCTGCAAGGAGGTTAGGGCAGTTAGGGCCACAGGTTAGGCGGGTTAGGGCCGTTGGCGGGTCGTTCGAGAGCTTTGAGCGCTTTGAGGGGGTCCTGTCACGTGACAGGTTCGCTTGCGGGCATGAGCGGCATGGGAGCCTCAACTGCCTCAACTTGGAAAGCGTGGTGCCAGAAACGGCTTGAATTACAAGTTGTTCCCGGCCGTTATCGGCAAGGTAAGCCTGTTTTTTGTTGCTGCTTGGGGTGTAGGCACGTTCGCCACATGCCGATTCATCATGTACTTATGTCCGGACGCAGCGGACGGTACGAGCTATCCTAGCCAATCCCGCCCTGTGGACGTAGCCCGTAATACGCTTTCCGCGCGTCACTGTGGCCCTTCTCCAAGGTCACGTGACACTCACACGTTCTTGGATTGGCTCCGACGGCTCGTAGCATCCGCTGCGCTCGGACGTAAGCTCGCACGGGATAATCCGTTATAAAGGCACTTTATATTTCTTTTTTCTTTATATTTTTCCAGTAATAAAAAATATAAAGAAAACTTCTACTTTTGCTGTGCGCATTGGTGCTAAAGTTCAATACTAGCTCTAAATCTAGAGTTCTAAAACAAAAAGCTTGAGGTACACCTAGGCACTTCTTATGAGTTGTGAATGCGAAAGCATGCAAGCCGCTCGTCCGCTCCCTTTTTCGTCTGCTGCATACTTTTCGTCACCCGTTGGCGCGCGTGTTCCCCTGGTGACCTTGGACGCTCCGTGTTAACGGCGCGCTGATGGACACGCAGCGCCATGGGGTGAGCGGTCGTGGAAACGTTGACGCGCGCCAGCCAATGGAATTGAAGGCGATCGCGGAAACTAGGTACCGTTTTCACGCTTCAAACTGATGATGTCAGCTCGCTTCATGGGACCCCAGTTAATGCTTTCGCATAAAAAAAACAAACAAAAACTGTCTCAGGCGTTTGGCAGAATATTGTGGATAAGCCACTAGAGCCCTCCGCACGTCCGCCTCCTCAAGGGGGGAGTGCAACTCCATGAGAGCATGAGGTTGGGAACCGGGTGCGGGCGGTCCAGGTGTTGCTGGCAAGATGGAAGGGTGTGTGGGCAGTTCCAGAGCACGTATGGGGTGTCAAGGTATCCCGAGCAGTGAGCGTATCGGGGGTGGGAGGGGGATCGGTCTATATCAACGTTAATATCGGTGCTTGTATTTTGGTCTATTCGTGTTCAAGGAAGCAGTATAACATCTGATACACCAATCTTTTCTTGAAAAAAACACGAAAAGAAATTTTAAAACTAATTAAACAATTAGCAAAGAGCACCTGGTGGATGTCGCTAACGCCTGGTTTGTAATGCTCATCTAGGAACCTCAACAGGTAGTGACAATAACTGTCTTGCCTCCTGCCACCACGAGAGAAGAGGCGAAAGAGGAACTCCCCTCTTCCCAAGACTAGCCTTTGCGTGTTTCGGAGTTCGCTATTGTCCCTCTACAAGATTATAGAAGATTAACCCTTCACTCAAAATTCATACATAAACAGCTTTGGGGTTGGTCCTCGTGTCCCAGTCCCTGGCGTGCTTCGGCCGCTTTTTTGGCTGGAATGGCTAGGATGTCCTCTTGACGTCGGCCTCGCTGCAACTTTGCTCGTCCTGATTGCGGCGAATGTCACGTGCTTCCCGCTGGCTGCTCTCTGAGCGCTTGCCAAAGTTGGCTGTTTACAACGAAAAATACAGCCATGAGGCTTAAAATACAAACATGCGATTGTCATAGATATCGTGGATCATATTCAGCCTATTTCTGAACACGACGGGTATATTTCAAATTTCGTTGAAGTATCCCTTTGAAGGGACACAACAACAAAATTTCGGCGCTTATTTCTTGGTCTATTCATGTTCAATGGAGCATTATCACATCCGACACACCAATCTCTTCTTAGAAAAGACACAAAAAGTAATTTTAAAATGAATTAAATGATTAGCAAAGAGCACTTGGTGGATGTCGCTAATGCCTCGTTTGTAATCCCCATCTAGGAACCTTAACAGGTAGTGACGGTAACTGTCTCACCTCAGGCCATGACGAGAGAAGAGCTGAAGAAGGAACTCCCATCTCCCTGAGACTCTCTCTTGTTAAGTCGCTATTGTCCATCTAAAAGATTATAAAAGATTAACCGTTGCTCAAAATTCGTACAAAGACAGCTTCGGGCAGTAGCATACCAACTTGTTTTTGAGTGGGGGGGGCAAACCAGACCCCCCCCCCCCCCCCATTTCCCCAGCGCCGGCGCCATTGGTATCCCTCGGGCGCCGCCGGTTAGTGTTTGCCCTGCCCAGTGGCGGCTGTTTCAGGGGGGGGGGGGGGGGGGGCAAAACACATACCTTGCCCCCCCCCCCCCCCCCCCCCACTCTGAGAACTGGGGGGCCAAGCACCCCCCCCCCCCTCCTCGGTTGGTACGCCCATGGTAGTGCCGTACCAACTTGTTTTTGAGTGGGGGGCAAACCAGACCATACCTTGGGCGCCGCCGGCCAGTGTTTGCCCTGCCCAGTGGCGGCTGTTTCAGGGGAGGAAAACACATGCCTTGCCCCCCACTCTCAGAACTGGAAGGGGGGGGGGGCAAGCGCCCCCCTCGCCCCCCCCCCCCCCGGTTAGTACGCCCGTGGCTTTGGGTTTACTTGTGGTGGCCCGATCGCTGGTGTGCTTCGGTGGCTTTCAGCGGATGCTACGAGCCATCTGGGCCTATCCAAGGCCGTGTGAATGCCACGTGACCTTGGAGTGGGGACACAGCGACGCGCGGAAAGCGTATCACGGGCTACGTCCACAGAGCGGAACTGGCTGGGATAGCTTGAACCAAAACCCAATGGTGTCAGTGACTGCGACCCAGTTCGCCAGGGTTAGCTTCCTCCACTGCGTGTCCACAAGGTCAATCTTGCTTGAGTGGACACCAAAAGGTTCAGCCAACTCCACGATAGGCTACTTCGGTACTCGCTGGCCAGCTACCACAGACAGTCATGCCATGGCCTGCAATACCCTGAAATCCAATGGCAGACACTGCTGGAGCTCGTTTGATAACTTCACAGTGAAGGCAGTGCAACGCTGGCGTACCAGCTGAACGTCAGGAGTGGCTGTGATGGTGTTTGCGAGTTTCTCGAATTCGTATTTGAGCTATGGCTTTGGGTCTAAGTGGCCATCGATGGACTGGCACAGTAGGTCAATGTTTGCCATTGGAATCAGCATTTTGCTGGATACAGCCTTGATCAAAAACGTGAGATCTTCAAGAAGCTTCGCAGGATCCACGTCGTTCTTCTCGTAGGCCTTGCTGGTATGCTGAACCTCACGCAGGATCGGCCGAAGGTAGAGGAGGTAGAGGGGGTCGAAAAGCAATCAGGTTGGCAGGTTGGTCGCTGACCCTTGTTGAAGCTGGTGCCATATATACTCGGAGAGTTTGGCCAAGGGCGCGGCACCGCTCTGAGTCGGCTCTGCCTAAAATACGTACGCCATATTTTTTTTTGTTTGTTTTTTTACAAGGGGCGCGTGTTGGTTTGCACGCAGCAAGTGCGCGGTGTCCACGAAGAAAACAAAGAGTCCTGCTGTATATCGTCGTAGTGATGAAATGGGTCCCAGTTTTAAAACCCATGTGGTTGAGGGCGGAATCATCAAACGACGTAATAATGTGATTTAGTTTAGCCTTTCGAAACTTCTATGTGTTCTGTACTTGAGTAGGAGGTAAGCCCCACGCAAAGTATAGATAGAGTGTTTGGTTTGAAACAGTGAAACTTCCAGGTGCCTTTGATGGTAACTGCAGTGCTGAACCTTCGCGCAAGCTCAGATGCTTTTTCTTCCACTATGCCAGCGGGTGCCCAGAGGACCTTAATAGCTTTAATATTTTTGTTTGCCCATGAGAAGAGCTGGTGCGGTGTCATTATCTGATCTTGAAAAGGCCGCTGCAAACTTGCCTTTGCCGCTAGGCGCTTTAGTGTTCCTCCGACATCGTTCAGGCACTCTTTCCGTGAGAGGTAGCAAAAAAATTCCATTCTGCTGCAATGTTGTAGTCCAGTTGATGATAGCAAAGGTTCACAAAATTCTTTTTGTTTTTATACTGCGACGAAGCACCATCAGAAGAGTAGTATATCTTTTCAATTTGAGGCAAGTCGTGCCTCACTATTTTCAGTACCTCGGCCTGGAATGCAGAAACAGCGGCTGTGTCATGCTGCAAGCAGTCAGAAATTACGGCGATAGATTTTACTGAAATATCAGCGCCGCTTTCATCTTGACGGAAATATATCACAATGGGGTGGATCGAGGCCTAAATGTTCACCCAGTGGTAGGACTGCGGAGCATCTTGAACAATAAAGCTATAGTTTTCCGCGAAGTCCATCAGCATGATAGCTTCGCTGCTCTTTAGCCTGGTCTTCAGTTCTCGCAAGTAGCGGGCTTGCTGCTTGCTCACGAAATGGTGCACTTTAATCTGCCTTAACATATCTAAAATCCTGTCAATGAAATCCTTATGCGTTAACACAAGGGTTTCCAGACGGCAACGCACTCACTCACCCACTGGTGAACTGGCAGTTCGTCCGCTTCGTCGCTTTGGAGGGCGGGAACGTTGCGGACAAGTGCTTCAGCGTAGTCCGTGCCTGGGCATTTTTCACATTTCCCGAACATGCACCTCTCGTTATCCAGTTGACACACTGTGGTCGCTATGAGCTCTTCGCAAGTTTCCTTGATACCAGCTGCGTGAAGCATAAGCTTAAAATTCTGATGCTCCATACATACACAAACTGTGTGGAGGACGGAGACCTGCACACAGTTTGCGTCCTCCCCCTGCTAAAACACAGTGTGGAGGACGGAGACCTGCAAACGTCGAAAAGCTGCATTTCAGATGGGTAGCTTTTTTCATTCTTCATGCATTTCTTTCAGGTTACTGAGCAGCAGGCGCTTTTGACGTCCGCGTACAGCATCTTTTTTTCCTGGGAGGCAGTAAGAAATTGAATCATCTTCGTAGAATGCTCTGATAGACTCTTTAATTTGTTCGCTTACGGGGTGGCCTTTCCTTTTTGGTGGCGTGCTCAGTATACCTGCCTCGGACTTGAGTTTCATGGCGTTGCGTACCTGTCGCGCAGAGGCGCCAAAGAACTTCATGATTTTCTGATTGATCCAGGAGTCTGGAGCCAG